TGGATTAGGGGCGACCCTAGTCAAAATCAATTTTGACACTTTTTTCTTCGAGGGTTTATCCAAATGGATTGAAACTTTGCATAAATATTTTAATGTTTAAAACAAATACAAATAAAATATCCAAAAAATTTTTTTGAGCAAAGAACCAAGTAGGAAATACATTTTCAATTTTGGATTATGGGCGACCCTAGTCAAAATCAATTTTGTCCCTTTTTTTTCGAGGGTTTATCCAAATAGATTGAAGTTTTGCATAAATATTCTAGTGCTTAAAACAAATACAAATAAAACATCCAAAAAATTTTTTTGAGCAAAGAACGAAGTAGGAAATACATTTTCAATTTTGGATTAGGGGCGACCCTAGTCAAAATCAATTTTGTCACTTTTTTCTTCGAGGGTTTATCCAAATGGATTAAAACTTTGCACAATAAAACATCTTAAAATTTTTTTGAGCAAAGAACCAAGTGAGAAATACATTTTCAATTTTGGACTAGGGGCGACCCTAGTCAAAATCAATTTTGTCACTTTTTTCTTCGAGGGTTTATCCAAATGGATTGAAACTTTGCATAAATATTTTAATGCTTAAAACAAATACAAATAAAATATCCAAAAAATTTTTTTGAGCAAAGAACCAAGTAGGAAATACATTTTCAATTTTGGACTAGGGGCGACCCTAGTCAAAATCAATTTTGTCCCTTTTTTTTTCGAGGGTTTATCCAAATAGATTGAAGCTTTGCATAAATATTCTAGTGCTTAAAACAAATACAAATAAAACATCCAAAAAAATTTTTTGAGCAAAGAACGAAGTAGGAAATACATTTTCAATTTTGGATTAGGGGCGACCCTAGTCAAAATCAATCTTGTCACTTTTTTCTTCGAGGGTTTATCCAAATGGATTAAAACTTTGCACAATAAAACATCTTAAAATTTTTTTGAGCAAAGAACCAAGTAGGAAATACATTTTCAATTTTGGACTAGGGGCGACCCTAGTCAAAATCAATTTTGTCACTTTTTTCTTTGAGGGTTTATCCAAATGGATTGAAACTTTGCATAAATATTCTAATGCTTAAAATAAATACAAATAAAACATTCTAAAATATTTTTGAGCAAAGAACCAAGTACGAATACATTTTCAATTATGAACTTGGGACAGGTCTAGTCAAAATCTAGTTTTTCACTTGTTTTTTTCGAAGGTTTATCCAATTACAGTGAAACTTTGTGTGAGTATACTAATGTTTATACAAAACAGTTTTAAATGTCTAAAGCAAGAAATGTATGCTATATGTCGTCAGACTCAAATTTTATAAATTTGGTTGTCCATTCAAAAACAACGTGACTTAAAATTTTGTCCAAAAAAATGATTTTTATTAATTCATAAATGTGTGACCTGAGGATGAAAATGCTCATACAAAGTTTTACTGTATTTGGATTTATCCTCGAAGAAAAAAAAGTGAAAAACTAGATTTCGACTAGACCTGTCCCAAGTTCATAATTGAAAATGTATTTCCTACTTGGTTATTTGCTCAAAAATATTTTAAGGGGGTTTTTTGTATTTGTTTTAAGCATTAAAATATTTATGCAAAGTTTCAATCCATTTGGATAAACCCTCGCAGAAAAAAGTGACAAAATTGATTTTGACTAGGGTCGCCTCTAGTCCAAAATTGAAAATGTATTTCCTACTTGGTTCTTTCCTTAAAAATATTTTAGGGGTTTTTTTTTGTATTTGTTTTAAGCTCTTAAATATTTGTGCAAAGTTTTAATCCATTTGGATAAACCCTCGAAGAAAAAAGTAACAAAATTGATTTTGACTAGGGTCGCCTCTAGTCCAAAATTGAAAATGTATTTCCTACTTGGTTATTTGCTCAAAAATATTTTAAGGGGGTTTTTTGTATTTGTTTTAAGCATTAAAATATTTATGCAAAGTTTCAATCCATTTGGATAAACCCTCGAAGAAAAAAGTGTCAAAATTGATTTTGACTAGGGTCGCCCCTAATCCAAAATTGAAAATGTATTTCCTTCTTCATTCTTTGCTCAAAAAAATTTTTTGGATGTTTTATTTGTATTTGTTTTAAGCACTAGAATATTTATGCAAAGTTTCAATCCATTTGGATAAACCCTCGCAGAAAAAAGTGACAAAATTGATTTTGACTAGGGTCGCCTCTAGTCCAAAATTGAAAATGTATTTCCTACTTGGTTCTTTCCTTAAAAATATTTTAGGGGGTTTTTTTGTATTTGTTTTAAGCTCTAAAATATTTGTGCAAAGTTTTAATTCATTTGGATAAACCCTCGAAGAAAAAAGTAACAAAATTGATTTTGACAAGGGTCGCCTCTAGTCCAAAATTGAAAATGTATTTCCTACTTGGTTCTTTCCTCAAAAATATTTAAGGGGGTTTTATTTGTATTTGTTTTAAGCACTAGAATATTAATGCAAAGTTTCAATCCATTTGTATAAACCCTCGAAGAAAAAAGTGACAAAATTGATTTTGACTAGGGTCGCCCCTAGTCCAAAATTGAAAATGTATTTCCTACTTGGTTCTTTGCTCAAAAAAATTTTTGGATGTTTTATTTGCATTTGTTTTTAGCATTAGAATATCTATGCAAAATTTCAATCCATTTGTATGAACCCTCGAAGAAAAAAATATGTGAAATTCAAGGCACAAACTTTTCATCTCTGAACATTTTAAGCTATCTTGCTCCTTATCCTCACAAAATTCAAAAAATTGATTTTTCAATCTGAACAAAACCAATAGATTCACACGTGAAAACGGTGTGAATATAAAAATTAAAATTATAACGGAAATTCATTTTTCAAAAGTTCAACACTTTTTTTATACTTTAAAAACAGTGTTAATTATAGTTTCCAAGTATATTTGAAGTCTTGAAACCATCCAGTCGAATAGGATTAACAATAAGCTATACGTAGATATTGAAGGATACATTAAAAAGAGCGATGGAAAAGTTAAATAATGAAAACTATGCAAATTGGAGTATTAAGATGAAGGCACTGTTGATGGAAGAAGAGTGCTGGGATGTCATAGAATCAGATGAACCACAAGAAAAGAATAAGAAAAAGGAATGGACTAAGAAAAATTCTCATGCATTATTCCGTATTGTATGGCATGTAGGTGACAATCAATTGATCCATATTAAAGGATGTGAATCATCCAGAAAGGCTTGGGAATCGCTTAAGAATCAACATGAAAAACTGACATTAGGCAAGAAAGTAGGATTGTTTAAGAAGTTGTTTCATACAAAGCTACAGAAAAAGGAAGACATGGAAGCTCACGTCTATCAAATTTTTGAGTGGATTGATGAATTAAAGGAACTTGGCTACTCAATGGAAAATGAATTTAAGACAGCTTTATTTATGGAAACATTGGGTGACTACGAACAACTAGGATGTAATGAAGAAAAGTTCAAAGTATGGAGTGATCAGAAAGCTGAAGAAATCCCTAAATATACAAAGACATCAAGCAGTATTCAGTCACAGTACAGCAGTTATAAGTGCTTTAATTGCAACGAACTAGGACATATTAGCAAGGATTGTGATCGAAAAGATTCATTTTCAGTTAAGTCTTAAAATACTTCCTTAATGTGTTAAACTCACAGACGTCCTTTTGAAATATACTGGCACGCACGATGCCTGCAAATAAAATAAAAATCAATAATTCTCATTAAGAACATCCAACTTGCATAAAATTTTATTTTCCATAAACTTGATACATCTAAGACACTTCACAGCTATAATCTTTTATATCTTATTATGCATCAATGATAACAATTCAATATATCTATTAAAAATACTTCTCGGATGCTCTTTCTGTTCCAAAATATTTTGTGTATTTGTGTAGAAATTAATCATAAAGGAATCTTAAAATACAACATAATCATTAGAGATACTTAAGGTAATTAACGTCTTGAGTACCATTAGTTAAGAATTTCCATTTTTGTGGATGGTAAATCTTAAGGCCTTTCACCAAAAGCACACATCGAATTACTATTAAGTTCATTGTCTATAACTTTCTATTTAATTTAAGTTTCATCACATAAATTATTATCAATTTTTCCATTCAAATGACATTCATTCTGAACAGTATTATCAGCCAGTGGAAGCTGTTCATTATTATTTGACTTTATTGCATTATTACGATACTGATATTTCATTGAACTTGAATTATTCCTAATACTTGACAGCATATTCAATGGAATTGTATGAGTAGGATTACTATTGTAGTTCATTCGATACTGTTGAGCACGTTGAGAACAAATTCCGAATTTTGCGAGTAACAAGAACAAGTCTCGACGATATTGTGCTGTTAAAATAGCATACAAATAAGGATTTGCACAGGAATTTAAAGGATAGAAGAACACGAGAAGAATCTTTGCCCTTGTTACATTAATTAATGGATATCCTGCCAAGGCTGTAAGTCCGAAGAATGCTATTGGAGCATAGCATGCGAAATTCGTAAACACCTGTATTGTAAAACATGACATTTATTAATAGCATTTACAACACTCGCAGTGCTCAATTCTTACCAGTAGTGCCATTTTCTTCGCAACAGTCATCTCACCCCTTGATGCATTCTTATTTCTCGTTTCCTTTCCTAAGGAAAAATATATTTGTGTGTAGCACAGAACAACAATGAAGAATCCTAATCCATTGAGTGCCAAGACTGTTATCAAATATGTTATGTCAGCAAAGTCGTGTGCTTCCATCGGCAAACAAATACTGGGAAATATTAATGGATGTTATAAATTAATAGCCATTTATGGCTATCAAAGGAAGCTGTAACACATTAAAGAGCAATTTGATGCTTTAAGGCTCTCATGTTTATGATTTAAAATTTAACAGAAATTGAGATTTCAAATTTTATGCTTCAAAGATTTAACGGATATTTTTAAATTCAAATATTTTTTTTGCTTCAAAATTTCAAAAAAAAAATTAACGGATTTATCTTTCATTAAAAACCTGTCAACTGAAAATGATTAATCCTTCTGATTATCAAGTGCTTTAGATGCAGTCTGATATTATAAATATTGAAAGCTTCAACGGTTCAAAGGGTTGAAAATAATACTCTAATGATTTTATTTAAACAATCCTCAAGTGCATCCTTACATTTCCCAGTCTTGCTAATTGAATAATGCATACTTGAAGTTAATGTGGGTGGCATGAAGTTCATTCAATTATGATAGCGACAATGAATTATTATCAAGGCATAAATGTTCTCTTAATTAAATAGGGAACCTACAGCTTCCTGTGATGACATTGAAAGCTTAACATACCTTGTAGATGAATAATTGCTAATTCCAAACAGTGGCATTATTGCCATTGTAATAGAGTACAGCCATCCACAAATCATGATGCAATACGCTTTTCGGTGCTTTAATCTTTTGTTTAAATAAATGGCATGTGTTATGGCAAACCAACGTTCAACAGTTATGATTGTAAGGGTAAATACAGATAAGTTGCCTGCAAAAACGGTTAACCATCCTGCTGTCTTACATCCAATTCCTTTATATTCGGAGAATAAAGTAGCAAAAATTATATTACTATGCATGAAATAGTTGTGCATATATACTGACCATACTGCCAATCATATGCAAAATTAAAATATTCTCCCATAGAATGTAGGTCGATGGATGCAATCAGCATCAAGTAAATACCCATGCAGAAATCTGCTAATGCTAAATTACACATAAGAAATTTTGGTACGGTAAATTCTGACTGGTTCATTAACAGCACAACCAATACTGCCACATTTCCAATGATTGCCAATGACACAACTGTGAATGAAAAAAGAGAGACTGATAGGAAGGAAGTTAAAAGGAAAGTATTTTAATTTAATTTACCAATCCACACACAAGCTCTAAGCCAACTACTCCCCATGACATCTTCACAAGGATTCAACACATCGGGGACGGGATAACATTGAACATCCTTGACACTGGAAGGAAAAAAAATAATAAACTTTATATATTAATACCTTAAAGGTATAACTTTCAAGATGCACTTACTCTATACTAAGATTCCCGCACAAAGCTTCAAGTGAACTATTTGAGAACTTTAAAGGTTCATGAAATAATCCGTCTATGTCATCTCCATCAAGACTGTTTGAATCTGAACTATACGGAAAAGTTATATTACTTTCGTCATCTTCAATGATATAAGTCTCAACGGTCCGCCTCTTCCTCCTTCTTCTTCGATCTATATTTGTACCAATACTGTTTCCATAATTATTAAAGCTCGTTGGATCAGCATCGTTTAATTGAGAATATCCCTTAGCCTTGCATTCACTCTTGAAATTATCAATAAGCGCTCGATGTCTTTTAAAGCTCTCCGGATCATGTCGTTGTGGAAACTTGAATGCACAGCAATGGAATGAGTGAGTTAGCCATGCCTTCACTAAACTCTGTAAAGATAAATTATTTTATAATCCTAACGAATTAAAATATGTTATCTATCAAGCATGCAATTGGTCAGTTAAAACTTACTTTGAACATATAAACCGATGGAATTTGTTTTAATGATTGAGTATTTTGTATACGAAGTACTTCAAGCTTATCAAGTCCAATTGATGGTAATAACTGTATGGATGTACTTGATAAATCCCTATAATATTCCAAAGTTATATTTCATCAAGAATTATTAATAGAAATAGGTCAAACTTACAGCTCCTGAATAGATTCAATTCCTTCAAATGCAAGTTCATGTAATTTGAACAATTTGGTATTTCCTTTCAGACTTCTGCAATTAAATGGAAGAACATATTTAAACAAACAATTTAAATTTTATCCATAAATGGTTCATCCCCTCCTGAAGATTACACAAGATTTGATCGAACCCCATCCACACTTAAAAATGTGTTAAACGTCATTAGCAAACAATCTGGAAGCATAACTTACAATTTTCCGATTTGTGAGCCATTGAAACTGCTCCTGTGAATCGTTGTCAGCACATTGTTGTCAAGGATTCTTTAAAAATTGTTAAGATAATCAAGTCATTAAGAATTATCATATGGAATGTAACATTTGGTTACTTACAACTGCTCGGTACTGATACGAATTGAGTTTTCAAAGATTTCACTAATTTGATTACCCTCAAAGTCTCTGCAATAAACAAGAGTGAGATCATACTTTACATATATAGATATAAGTTATAAATAGATGTTATTATTCTTGTTAAGGACGGCTGTATTTTTAAAATGTGTTAATCATCCTCGTTTGGACATTCAATTATCATGAACTTCATCTAGTGAAGCTATTTACTCACATTTGTGAAAGAATTCCACCATTAACAAGGAATCTCATGTCAGGAACTTCCCGTAAGCCAGAGTTAGTGATTCGACTGAATAAGTATGATAGGAAATGAAAGTTAGCAATCAGGACTTTGTGAAAATCTATTTTTAAAATTTTATACTTTATGCATCCCTAACAACGGGAGCTCTCGTATGTCAGAATTCCTGGTACTTACAGTGTTTTGAGAGAATGTGAAACATGTCGAAAGGTTTCTGCAGCAATAAATTGAAGTCTAGGGGCATGTGAAATATATCTGAAATCAAATATTGAAAATTGTTAAATTGATTGACATGCTATTTGTGCATTATACAATATTACATTGTCCTTAGATGTCTTATATTTTTGAAAGCTTCTGGTTCAATTTGATAGAATTCATTCAATCTCATCAGAATGCTGCATAAATTGGATGAAAATGTTTTACAAAGAGTACGCAATTAGCTTTGATCCTTTATTACTTACATGTCCTTTAATGAAGGTGCATATTTCCTCAAACCACTTTCTCTCAGGATTTTGAACTTTGAGTTTGCTATGGACAGTCTTGTTATATTGATAAAATCTTGTGGAATTAGCAATAATTTTGGACCTTCACAGTGACATTCCGATTCATCCTGTTGAATTGAGAGTTTTGGGAATGAGAACCTTACAACAGTTTTAGATTTTTATTAGCAATTGTGTGGTTTTTAAGGATTTTATGTTTGATTAAAATGTTATTAAATTGAAAATTATTATTTTGAAAGTTTTTTCTTGAAGGAAACAGTCAAAATCTAATGTAAAGTCTTAAATAGCATACAGCAAATAGGAGCAGCAAAATTTTAATATTTTGTCAACAACTTTAAAATTTCTTAAACATTGTAATATGATATTCAGAGAATTGTTGAAAAGCAGATACTGGCAGAATATATAAATACGCTAAAACTTAAGTTTGTAAGATTAATAGACTTCAAATCCTTTAAATCAGTGCAGTAGCTTGTCTTGCAATAAATATATTAAGTAACCCCCCCCCTAATTAAAAAATGTCATACAAATTTGATTTTTATGTACTCCCCAAAATAAAACAAAGAAATGAAGAAGCTGCAAAATAAAAATCGGAACCGAATAATCATAAAAAGAAAACAGAGCAATAAAGACGATTGTAAACAATTAAATATTCTGCATCAGCATTCAAAATAAAATTCACAGCAAGGTACTAAAAATTATTCAATTATTAAATTGACACCAACCTCTACTTCTTCCAATTCAGCCGAGCATGAACACCACCAAGGTAAATCTTTAAGTTCTACGTCCGAAAGTAATGATAAATTTGTAAATGAATTCTTTGATGGACTTATTAATGGATGAAAAATCGTCGCATTTTCATTCATAAATTTTGGAGTATCCAGTAGGGTAATTGAATGGCATTCAACAAGTTGTAAACTAAGGCTTACAAGAAATAAACATTTAAATAAAACTTTCCATTTACTCTCCAAACCGATTCCGAGAATTTTCATCTTAAATGTTTCTCTTTAATTTTTTGAAATTTTCCTCATTTTTATTGTTATTATATTCTCATGTCAAACACTTAGCTCGTCTATTAGATCACAATTTAAAGACAGAAAATTTATTTCATCTTTCTCGTTTAATCACTCATCTTTTTATGCTCATCACCATCACGTCTAATTTAAATCACTAATAAATAAAACATCAAAAGAATGACAAAACACGAATTTATTACTAGATTCACTGCTAATAGCAAATCAGAAGATTCTTTTCAAGCTCCGAAAAAATAGCAGTCATTATCATCGCGGACCGAGCAGTCTTACTGCCTTTAATGTCGAGTGTCGAGAGCGATATAAATAAAACGTCTAATTTCCAAAACAAACATAATATTGATTTGAGATTCAAATTAATTAACACATGTATCAATTTGATGTGCTCTGCTGAGAGTGTCGTTTCACATTACGGCTACTGCTGAGGCTGGCTGTTTTTTTGTATGAAAAGAATTGTTGCGAAATTTTATATATTCTCTTTCTCTTTGCCTATATGTGTGAGATACTTTATTACATTCATATTATTGACTTTGTTATACTTTTATCGTCAGCCTATATAGTGAGAATTATTTTTTTTTTGACATGTTCTCTTTTAGGGAATACTTTTCACTTTGGTCAATTGATTTTACGTAATATGATCTTGATAATTAGGACATCAAATTTGATTAGAGATTTATATTCTTCGTAGGATAATTTATATATCCGCTAAAATAGTTTGATTAACTTTCTTCAATCTTTTATGCAATCTTACAATGTAGGAAAACACAAAGGATTTAGATTTTTATTATAATGCTTTCAAAATAGCTCATTTTCATCAAAAGAACTTAAAATTTCATTCAAAAAGTTTATTATATTCACACCGTTTTCACGTGTGAATCTATTGGTTTTGTTCAGATTGAAAAATCAGTTTTTCGCATTTTGTGAGAAAACAAAGCAAATTTGGTTATAAAAGGGCAAGAAGAAAAGTTTGTGCCTGAAATTTTACATCATTTTCAAAAAACAGATTTCAAATTGGTTGTGGCATTGCTGAGAAAATCGCAAAAAAAGCTTTCTGTAAGCAAACAAGCAAGCAAGCAAGCAAGTTAATCAGCAAGAAATCTCAATAACGAGACATCGTAGAGACTTCTAGTTTCTTACATTTGATCCGTGCTGCCTTATAGAAGAGCTGTATTGTTTTTGGGCAAGGTAGGAACAGCCGTTGCTTCAGAAATGGCAAAAAACTTTCCTTTCTTACGAATTTTTTAAAACAAAAGTTGACTGTGATTTTTATAAAATTCAACTTTGGATGAAAATTTTTTTTAAAAAACTTTTAAAGAATATTTGGCATATTCGTCAAGCTTTATACCTTCAAACTTATGCTGAGCGAAGCTCCACTGCCTCTTTAGCTTCATATCTTCAAACTTATGCTGAGCGTAGCTCAGCTGACACTCTAGCTTTATATCTTCAAACTTATGCTGAGCGTAGCTCAGCTTACGCGATAGCTTAATAACTTCAAACTTATGCTGAGCGAAGCTCACCTGCCTCTCTAACTTCATATCTTCAAACTTATGCTGAGCGTAGCTCAGCTTACGCGATAGCTTTATATCTTCAAACTTATGCTGAGCGTAGCTCAGCTTACGCGATAGCTTTATAACTTCAAACTTATGCTGAGCGAAGCTCAGCTGCCTCTCTAACTTCATATCTTCAAACTTATGCTGAGCGTAGCTCAGCTTACGCGATAGCTTTATAACTTCAAACTTATGCTGAGCGAAGCTCACCTGCCTCTCTAACTTCATATCTTCAAACTTATGCTGAGCGTAGCTCAGCTTACGCGATAGCTTTATATCTTCAAACTTATGCTGAGCGTAGCTCAGCTTACGCGATAGCTTTATAACTTCAAACTTATGCTGAGCGAAGCTCAGCTGCCTCTCTAACTTCATATCTTCAAACTTATGCTGAGCGTAGCTCAGCTTACGCGATAGCTTTATAACTTCAAACTTATGCTGAGCGAAGCTTAGTTGACTTATCAAGCTTCATACCTCCATACTACTGATGGGCAAATCTTGGTCTATCCATAAGACTTATGATAGTACGGTGTGAATATAATCCGCATTGGGTTTCTACCCGATACACTAGTTTTCTTATTCATAAAGTTCAAATTTCATTGAAAAAGTTTATTTTCTTATTCATAAAGTTCAAATTTCATTGAAACACTCGAAAAGTTAACTTTTTGAATAAAATAAGTATGATTTACCCTGTTTTTTCGTTATAAGCTACTACTCGTTACTAAGCTACTAGTGAGCAGAAAAAATCACTTTTTTATTCTTCTAAGCTACTAGCTTATAACGAAAAAACAGGGTAATTCGATTTTAGTTTGCATTGAATAATATTAGCCATACATCAATAATCAACAGCGTCAGTTACTCAAGTACTCATCATCTTAACCCAGCATAATCATCATCTCTCTAGTAATATGCGGAATTAAACAGAATAAAATTTTATAAATAACATCAACCAAACTCTTCAATTAAAATATATCAAGCATCTCTGGAATTGATTTGTCGAGTCCGAAACTTTTTCAATTATACTGATTGGGTTTCATTGGGATTTTATAACTTCATTGAAGTTTCGGAAAAACTATAAATTTATATATGTATGAAGTTGTTTTAACAGCTTTTTGCATAAGTATCTCAATTGTCATTAATAGCTGAATATCGAATATTCTATGAAAGTAAAACCTTTAAGGTTTTATTACTTCTTTTCATGATAATTTTACTGATATAAATTAATATTTGGTCACTGTAGATGAGCTGAACTGTTTATTCGTGTGATAAAATCACCAACCAGAAGCAAATTTAACCGCACAGACAACAATGCACCAAAATTGAATGGAAAACTGTTCAATTCAATATTCGTGAATTTAATTCATGCATTGTCAAAGTTGAAGGTTATCGATACAGATGTAGTCATAACATTTTCCAGCTATTAGTTGGACGCTGCAAATATTTTCATAATACATTAAATTCAGCATTGTAAAATTCTATTGAAATTAATGGACAGAAAATTCATCTTTGAACTTAATGAAATGTGTTGATCAGGGGTGTATTATGTTTGGGAGAGGGGGTAATGGGTAAGCATTTTGATAGAGTTTTTCTGGAACCTGAGTTGAAAATTCAGCTTCGTTTAAAAATTTCATTCAATTTAAATATTCTCAATTTTTAATCAGCCTTTCAGTCTGGATACTCTACTGATGTACATCACAATAGATTATGATTTAAAAAGAAATAATGAAAATACTTTTAATGAGCTTTCATTACATATCATATCAATGCATTGTGCATATTAATATATTGCAGTCTGGATAGTTGTTACAGCAACTGCAACAGCCAGATTTAGCTTCAATGTAAAAATAAACATTGCTTTTTAAAACTTTATCTCTATTATGGTTGTTGTTGGATAAAAACAGTAAATGCTGGTTGCAATTTGCAGCCAGTGAATACTGACGAATTTGTTTATTTGTTAAAAACAAAGTAAACTGTTTCAAAGCAAAAGTGTTGTTAAAAGATAAAAGAATTGTTGTTCAGTTTTATAATTAATTGAAAGCTATTGCAGAAGTTTTTTTTTGGTATGCTATGTCAATAAGTATAGTTTCATGTGTACAAATATAATGTGTTCATTCGGATATCAATAAGCACACGTAAGTGAAATTTTTCATTATTTTCCCTGTGGTTTTTGGTAAATTACAGCTTTTTGACAAGCTATTTTTGAAACATCAAAGATGCACGATGCTCGTGCTTAATTTGCATATCAAATGATAATTACAGCTAAATTTAATCAATTCCCGAAAATACAATAATTTGCTGTTGTCTTCACATCATATTTTATATTTTATTTCACTTGAATGTTTCAAACTGTTTCAAACTATAAGGTCCTGGAAAGTTGCTTTAATATCAATTTTAAATATGAAAAGTAAAACAATACATTTTGAGTTGGAAGCTCTGAAATGTTCTTAAATTACAAATAGAAATCGGAGCTTTTTTAAACTTTAAGTTCAGGTATAAGACGAGCTATGAGAAATCTTTATGCATTCAGTATGCAAAAGGAGCTTTATTTATCAATTGAGTAATATGACAATCAAACATAAAATACTGAAGACATTAAAATAACTTCTTATCATTGAACTATAAAGACAATATTGACAATCTTTCCAAACCAAACTCAAGAGTAAAATCTTAAATTCTAACAAACCATTTGAGACACATCCCATCCAAGAGTGCGGAACTGATAAATTTCATTGTGATTAGTTTTAATGCCATGCCATAAACTCCACAATCAACAAATTCAATTGATGAATTTCAAAATTCTGCTAATAGCATTGACTCTTCTAGTCATAACAAGACCCACCCTTTTAAAGTGCTGGTAAACATACTCAAAATTAATAGAAATACTTGCTCATTAAACTTGCAACAGCTAAAAATAACAACATGTGTGGAAATTATTTTATGAAATCCCACTCAAACGCACACCTGTTGCGTGATAACAATTAAATAAATATGAGGAGTCTACCTCCATATGCTGCATTAATTGTGGAATGATTTTTCAATTTGTGAATATAAACATTTTGGGTGCTGAATAAATTAAATGGGCGATTTTTCGGTGCAAAGTCAGGGCTAGACTGGGTTATGGGTTCAAACCCTCTCACCTTCCTCCCTTCGATTCAATTTTAAAGTACACATAAAAGGGTGATAAATAAAGTTTAACTTTTCTTGGGTCTAGAAATCTAAGCCTAAATATCAGACGTCATAAGTTAATGACCCCATCCAGAATTTTTTAAAAATAACAAAAATTACTTCTGGATTGTAAAAAAAAACAAAAAAAAATAATTTGTAGGTCAAACAACTGACTGAATTAATCATGAACTCAAAGCATGCATAAATGCGGGTATTTATTTATTATTTTAAATTCTCTTCTCGAACATTTGATTCACATTATTTAGCTTTTGATTATTGGTTGGATAAACAATTGACTTGATAGATGATTTGATTGATACATTTTCAGTTGCGCGCGCTTTAGTCAATGCCAAAAACTTATGATTCCCAGTTTTCAGAAGCTACTTTATTGCCTATAATAAATACTATTTTTTTAATCATCATTAAATCGGTATTAAACTTAATTAAACTTCACAAATGACGTCTGTCAAAAATCATAAGATTTGGAAACTCTGAGTCCAATAAAATTTTAACCTTTAAGATTTTCTGAAAGGTTTTTAAATATAAAAGATGACGAACAGGAAGAGCTACCACCCTTGTGCTCATTCTTTTAATAACAAATTTAATCAGACATAAATGGAAGTAAAATGCAGAACTTATGCTGTTATAAAATAAAACGAAAACGAACACAAAGCTCTCAAAGGATGTGCAGGAAACAACTAGCATTTTCCATTGAAAAAATCCAAAATCCTGTTGAAATCAAAATATAAATTTTTAATAATTCTAACATGACAGCCAGCAATAGAGACTATCAGTCACTTAGCACTTTACGCTTTCATGCATAACTAAGACATACGAGTCTGGATATTCAAATTTTTTTAAAAATAGGCATGTTTATATGTAAGTGCCAACAAATTATGAAAGTCAATGTCTAAACTTTTTAACACTTCATTATTTTTTTTATGACTGCAAAAATTATTTTTGGAGCTCATTTAATTTTAAATGTTTCAATCAACGGAGAACTTAATTTATCTTATAGATTGGCAATGAATTCTGAATCCAAAGAGTCTGTAAATTTTTGCTATGTTTATGCTATCAATTTAATTGAGAAGAGTTTGTGACTCTAATGCAGAGTGGGTGGGTGAATATTAACAAATTTGAGCTTGCTTTTCACTTAGGCTTTTTGGAACTACATTCGTTTATTAAAGCAGACAGTTTTAGAACAAAAAACGTTAAATTATTTTTCGAATAGTTCATAATTTTTCAAAATTCAAAAAACCGTTAAAACATTGAATTTTTTTAAAATTAATCTAATCGATATAATGCGCCTCTTAGACTTGAAACAGACCACTCTCGAGCACCTCAAAATTGAAATTTCATGAATTTTTGATCACTCTCCACGCTATACCGACATAATAATCAGCAAATAAAGTTTTTTATTTCTTTTAATTTCGTGTTCACTCGACCGCGTTATTTGTTAACACTTATGGATGGAAAATTTCCTTTGCCACCAAAAATATAAATTTTTAAAAGACATACAATGCTAATTCACATATCAACTCAAATCAATTCCAATTTTTTATTATTTTGTTTCCGACACGTTCGACGCTCCTTTTACTACTGAATTTTGACAACAGAAACTCAGATGTTTTTCTCACTACTTCTTTCCTTCCTTCTTCATATATACTTACTATGACGATGATGATGATTTTCTCCATAGAAAATACTTTTTTTTCTGTCTGCTAGTCGGCTATGTGATAAGAGCAGAACACTATATATTGAGTATGAGAGAGAAAATGTTTACTGTATAGTTTTTGAGAGTACGAGGGAGCGACTTGTTGTTTTACTATTTTTTTATATGGATGGGAATTTTCTGCACGCTTTCGTTGAGGGACATTTATTAAACACTTAGTTGAGGATGACATTTTTAAAACTTATATGGTGAAAGGTGAGAATAAAGAGACATAAAGATGTCATTAAAATTGAAAAATATATTAAATAAGAGAATGTCTTGCACAGGAACTTGAGTTGAAAAATTGAAATGGACAGTCCTTCTAATTTTTTATATCATTTAAGACACACATTAAAATTAAGAATTGTTTACGAACTTTTCGAATTTAAATTTTAACGAACTCTTGAGATTTAAATTTTGAAAACCTTACACTTTTCTCAAAAACCGTTGTAAGGTTTTCAAACATTTAAATAAGTTTCCAATTAAAATATAAAATTCTTCTGAAACCCGTTCTATCCCTCTCCATTGCTGTCACAGTCTGAAATTCACAAAGTTTATTGGGAAAAAAACCTGAAAAATTTAATAAAAAAGCAACAGCACTGAGGATGAAATATTTTAAACAATAGCAAGAAAAGAAGTGATGAGAGAAGCAACAGGTATGCTTACAAACTGCATAAAATAAAAATAAACTAGAAATTATCATTGCATACAGCAGATGCTTAATGGTAAATAATTTTGTTGATTTTGATTCACTGAAGTTATTCAGAGGAGTCTTTTGAGTTCATAGGTCGATAGACCTTCTTTATTGTATCCAATTCACCTGAAAATAAGTCTGAATAGTTTTAGAAGCTGCAAACTTCTCATTGTACATAATTCCAATTAAATAGCTTGCATGACCTTCCATGCACGGTACATATATACTCTACTGACGTCTGATACACACTTCTGCATTCGAAGCCTTTGAAAATTGGTCAGTCACAAAAAAAAATTAATGAAATGTATAAATAACTTTATCATGTGATGATCATATTACAATTAATCTACAGAGATTTGAATATTTGGGAAAGGGCTTTGTAAATGATAAAAAGAAACTGCGTGATTAATGCTGAAAATAGATATTGATTTAAATATATTTTTTTATTAAAATGATACAGCGGTTAAGAATAGTTTGGAGATGAACAGTACAATTCCCTTTATTTAGAGATAAAACCCTTACAAATCCTCCGTAAAAATCCAGAACCTTATAAATTATTCTTCTTCTTAATTATCTTTATTAAGGTCCTTTTTAATAAATCTTAAGACCATTTTCAATTCCAAATATGTTTCACATGTTTTTTAATTTTATAAATACGAATTGCAATACAGGATATTATGTGTTTTGGTGTTAGATTTTGTCGTAAATATTAATTTCTTTTAAAAAGTTTAAAAATTTTATCTGTTTCATCTTTTTCGTCTACTTCAAGTGTTTTGTAACTGATATTACCTTATAAATTATATTGCAAACCCTTCCTCAATTTTTACACAAATCTATTGATGCCTTGAAACCCCTGCATTGGAAATGAAAAAAAAAATCGGAAATTTCGTCAATCTGGTGCTTCCCAAAAGTCTTTTTTTTTTATTTCTTATACTTCATCACTAATCAAAGGTCAAAAACTTTCCATTCAAATCGTCTGCCATAAAAATGGGTGTATCCAGAGCTTCGAAGGGGATTTAAGTTTATCAGATATTGTGATAAAGTCACACATTAACGCAATTCCTTTGACTTTGTCCATGACGAATATGTATACTTTTCTCTAGATTAAAAATAGCAAAGTATTTTGATTGATGTTCTTTAAAGTGAAAATAGCATCGAATTTCTAAAAATGTCTTTATGATGACTATAATCAACAGATCACGTCTTGCGAATGTTTCATTGGCACTTGACTTGAATCCTGCCATTAAATCTCTGATATAAAATTACATATTTCATTGTCCTCTATTTTGTAAACGAATATGCTAGACATGCTTGGAGTGGGAAATTAGTAAATGATGTGTAAAATTCCATTGCATCTAATTCAAAGCAAATTTTTAAAGTGATTTTGATAAAATCTTAAGTAAACTATTAAATTGTCGACACATAATTGATGACTTTACACTGCAGAATTGCTATTTTTAGTGTTAAAAAGCGTAGAATATAAAAAAATTCTCTTTTTTGTACCTTTACTTCCTCTGAAGATGCAGGAAGTAACTCATCGTTCTCCTGAATATTGGACGTAATTTATAAACAGCACGCTATTGTTTTTGTGGATTCTTAAACATTATAAAGCATAGAAAATTCTTAAAGATTTGATTAAAGTTGTTTCGCTTCGATAAGAAAATATTCAACCTTGTACTTTGAGCATGACACGTCATGACTGTAAAACAAGTGCATTTAATCTAATAATACCTATTTAAAAAACAATGATAATCCTTTTATTGATTACAATCGATCGCAAATAATCTTTTTTTTGTACAATAATTAAGGAACAAAATAATTGATTTGAAATTAAATTTCATAAAACTATTCAAACCACAAATTTCGTTATTCTAGTTTCCATGCAATGCATGATCTCTAATGAAATAGCACCAGCTTCTAGGGCGTTTTAGTCTGTGCGATAAATGTTATTTTTAAAAAAGTATTCTATTCTTTTCAATTTTCAATGTTTTAGTTAATTTAATGAAGGCAATCGAATCATGCTTTTGAAGATTTTCATATTTTCACTTTAGTTAAGTAGTGGCACCACAATCAATTCAGTATTTTTTGTTTTAGTAGATAATTATTTTAATCGAGATGCTTAGGATGTCTTTAAGACAATCATTTTGGTAACTGAACATTCTGCAGGAAATTCTTGATGATGTCATATGAAGCGAATGAAATGCCAGTAGCCATCGGTCCTTTAACCCAGTTCATTGAAACACCTTTAAAGAATCCACCGACAATTCCCTCCTCGACATAAACCTTCCTCAATGTCTGCCTTATAGTCGTGTACTGCTCACAATTAATGACACCCGATGTTTGCATTTTCCGCCTCACAATGTCTAATGGATTAAATTCATTAAGCTCAAAATTAGCAACAACATTATAATGAAGAGGTGTAGACATTGAATGTTCTATCTTACCTAATGGATAACTACTAGTTTGGCCACAAAGTCCTGCACATGCTCCAAAAATTAGTAATAAAAATGGATTTGGTTTCTTTTCATTTCCAGTCATGTCTGTTTGAGATACAAATTAGGAACAGATCAATAAGTTAATATGCTAGATAAATATCAACAAGTAGATATTCACACATGACGTCCAGAAAAGATGTCAAAAAATAGCTTTACTAAGAATCAGACACTCAATTCTAAATGCTTATCAAACACAGCAGTGAAATTAGTGTCAATACTGAAGTATTTGTCCCTCATATCGAAAATAGCAGTTTTAGATCTTTAAATAGTCAACTAATAGACGTCAAATGTGAACAAACATTAAGAGGAAGCCTTTGTGCTGCATATTTACCACAATATTTATGTTTAAGCGTTTCATTAATGAAGAATGAGGTTCCTGCATAAGGAACGACTCCAACGACTGAAGCTAAATATCCTCTAAACAACGATATAGCTCCTTTCTCTTTGGTGTATATTGACATAAACACATCCCAAATATTTCTGGAATTAATAGTTCCATTAATAAAATAGAATCAGATTAGAACATTGCTGGACATACTTGTATCCACACTTGTCTGTAATAGCCATTCGAGCTCGAGCCAAGTCGAGTGGATAGGTAACACTAGATGAAACAATTCCAGCTAAGGAACCGGCAAGAAATCTCCTAAAATGCGGGTCTTTTGAGTTATCTACATGCAATAGTTTCTTAAACTGTTCAAATGCTGCAAATTGACAAGCTGCATAGGGCAAGATTCTCGCCAAAGTCGCTGAATTTCCTCGATATAACGCCAAAAATCCCTCACGACGATACGTTCTCCTTATAAAACCCAATGCATTGCGAAATGAATATTTGATGTGTTTGCTGTAAAAAAATTACAAAAAGAAAGAAGTGTTAATTCTAGCACAAACAGTAAATTTGCGTCATTCAAAACCGGTTTGTGTACTTACTTTATTTGAAAATTGATCTTGGTTCTATCTAATGGAGCTATAAAAGTTTTTGCGAGACCGCCAGCGCATCCTCCTGATACTAAACTAATCACTACAGATGAATTCTTATGCAATTCGCTACCTACAAAAATTTATGCTTCCTTAATTGAAGATCTACAGAACAAAGAAAAAAAATATAATTTTTCACATACGTTTTTCATGGTCATGTCCCATGATTACGAATGATTTTCACTGTATGTTTTCCTCATAAAATTGAACATATTTTAAGACACTTTGAAGGTTTTTTGAATCGAAGATTAAAGGTCAAATTAAATTCGAATAACTCCTATACTTAATTCCACTTAATTTCAACTGTTTTCAATACACAGCATCAGTTACTTGCTTTATTTCTATTAATTTTCACTCAACAATCATTTCCTTATGACACAACATTCTGTTTTTATATACAGCCTTCCTTTAAAGAACATAAAAATAATAAAAATCAAAACAAAGTTTCGACGTTCAGCACAACGTAATTTTCACAATTCGACAAGTTTACAGCACAACTCTCAATTCGTACTGATTGACATGTTGTTTTCTCGTTCACAACTTGTGAGAAAAATAGATTCTTATCTCTCACGTTATATCTTTTGAGTCATGATAATGTTCCCTTTGTATGCTAAACTTAATTTATAGACTCTGTGATGTGCTGAAGTCAAATTCTCATGCCTTGTTGCTTACTTTGTACAGTTGGGGGTCAAAATATTAAGGACTTGCTGATAAGAGAGTAAGTTTTCCACTAGTAAGTTTAGAGAACGTACATGTCATTGAAAAAATAAGGTTCCATTTATTAGTCATTAAATATATATTATATATGTGTGTAAAGTACTTCCAAAAAAGAAAAATATAGTAGTAAATTAAAGCATAATTTTGATTTTCTCAAGCATCCCAATGTGAGAGAAGCAGATTTGCTTAACATTAGAGAATGCCTTGATTAGTTGTTCCAAATAATTCTTATTAGACGGTATTAAGTAGTACAGAATAACACTTAGATGTGTTAAATTAGGTAGATTCTTGGATATTTTCTGAAGATCAGCATGCGATATATCTTTGGTCAATCCAATTGTTAATTTTGTAATGCACTGATTAATTTGCAGATATCTTAAATCTAACGGTTCATCCTGATGAATAAAATGAAATTCTAGAACACGAAGTGACTTGTACTGATTGCAAATGGTTGTAAAGTCTTGATTATGTACGTCCATGACTCCTTTGCCAATAGAGAGACATTCCAAATTTGGAAATTGTTGTGTTAATACGGATATAAAGTTATTGCCAAAGTTTAGTTCTGCGATTAGTTCCAATTTTCTCATGTTTGGAAACGTCCTCTTATTTCCCAGCATATTACGGACAAAGTTTTTCTTCATGACGACTAGTTTTGATCTTACTGACAGTGTATTAAGATTTTCAATAGTCCAACTTTCATCACGATTATTTTGTGTTGACATATCAAAGTACGAGTATGTTGGATGAAGCTCAAGCTTCTCAATCTTTGTATTGCACAAGTTCTGTCCAATAGCATTCAATGAATCAATCTCTAATCCAGAACATCCAGAAATTTTGAGATTTTTAAGATTATTGCATGACTTGAGGATGAAATTAGGGAGATCATCTGATGAGGATGTAAGGTCTGAGTTCTCGATTATTAATGTATCCAGATTGCTATAGTTAACGTTCAATTTGTCAAAGAATGGGTTTAAAAATGAAAAGTCACTGAGAATCAATTGAGTTATCTTATTGCTGTGTATTGCACAAAAATCGGCTTTCTCTGCTATATTAACGTCAAAGCCTAGTTTCACATCCAGTGACTTTAATCCTTTAAAACTTTCCAAATGTTTTGAGACATTTTCAATTTGTTTTTCACTTTCCCGATGAAAATTTATTGCAGTTTTCCTGATTTGTTCAGTTGCTATTGAGTTAAAGTATCGGCAGACTTGAGAAATTGATATAATATGATTTGGGACATAGTTGAAAATGTAAATTAAGAGTTCTATTGGCAGATTATCCATTGTTTACAAAATAAATTTGTCTAAATTTGACGTTTCTGAGCTTCTTGTGATATATTACTCACGTATAAATGATTGATATGATGGTAAAATGTTTGTTAAATAAATATAGAGCTTGTCAAAATCATCTTGTTAATTAATTTAAGGAAAAAGTTAAATGCGTAAATTTCCTGTTTTTGTTTTTGCTAACTTTTAATTCGTTGTTATGCATTTGTTTTGATGATTCTTGTCTGACTGTCTGAAATCATTTCAAATCTTATTCAACCGTTAGAAAATCGATAATATTTTTTATATTTGAAAAATGATTTTTATTAATAAATTCTCAATAATTCAAAGCTTAAGCTTATTTAAATGTTTCAAGGATATACTCATAAGCCAACTTAATCAAATAAACAAATTTCTCATCTGATAAATCTTCAGATAATTCTTCAGCAGTAAGAAAAACATCGATAGGTGGAACAAAGGTTTCCAAATCAGTATCGAGGATATAACATAATTCAACTAACTTATAAAAGATTGTTTCACTTATCTTCTCGATTGGAGAATCCATATCAATATTACTCCAATTATCTTTTTTAATAGCCGCATACCAGATCTTGTTCCTATAATCAATGTTGTCGTCGACATAACTTAACAATTCAAGTGCTTTCCGAAACTCAACTTCTGTAGATGATCTGTATTCTGATGAGATGTACAATTCAATCATTTCTTCTGTTTGTAAAACTCTTACGTTGTTCATGTCAAATCCAAGTCCTGCTAAAATTTCTGGCTCAATTTGACTCTGATGTTCAATTAAATGCAATTCTCTGTTGATGGTTTCGATTTGTTGAGTCATATCCATTTCTGCTCCATATGCTGACAATTTTGCTAGAGACAGCATTATCTTGAATTAAAAATTTATTAGTCTAGCGAATTTTTGGAATTCGAACATTTAACAGTTTTCATAAAATTCAAAAATTGTAAAAAAAAACGAATTTTAAGAATTTCAGGAATGAAATCATTAGATGCTTACCTTCTTACGAGCCACAAGTTCAATTTCATTTTTAGCTAAATCCATAAGAACAGACGATGCCTTTCCTAATTCTCCATTAAACATTAATTGTATCCAAGCAAGTGAAGGATGATTGTGAAGGAATTTGGCCAAATCAGCTTGATTATTTCGGAATCTCTCAAATAAATCTCCTTGCTTGTTCTGTTTCATGTGCCAGCTAATAGCAAACTGAGAGAAGTTTTGTTCCTTAAAGCGCTCAATATATTCATCCAATCGATTTTGATTCTCAGTTCTGTCACAAATAATGACAAGAGTTTGGAAGTCAAGATACTTTTCGGCTAATTTTGCAGAAAGTTCATACTGCTCATCCTCGACTAATGGGAAAATAAGATCAAATCTTTGTGATTCATATTGATGATGCAGGACATTTAATTTCTCTTGATTATTCTTTATGCTTGTTAAATAATTCCTCCTGCCATCAAGGACAAAATCAATAAGTTCAGTCATTTGCTGATAATGTTTAAATTTGTATTCTCCTTCGCCATTTAATCTTATTCCATGTTGTAAAGTTAATTGAATCATTTGTAAAAGTGTATCTCTCAATCCACTCTCATCACTAGCTGCTGTCCATGGCAGGTACTCGAAACTTATTGTTTCTGTCATGAATGGCTTATAAAGTCCACTATTTTGTTCACGGAACTTTGATATTTCTGTCAAAACTTGAAGAATAATCGTATTGACTTCAATAATTGTGTTTTGGACTTGATAATTTGGAACTTCCTGTTGAATGAGATTATCGATAATGATGGCAAACTTCCTGAATATTTCCTGAATTGAAGAAATCTTTGTATAGAATACATCCTGATATGTAAGACTTCCTGTGACCATTAAATTGCTTTCTCCAATAATCAGCTCAATAGCTTCATCGATAATTCTTGAATGTGCAGCATGAAGACATTTTACAGCAATTGATGTGACTATTTTTTCATTTATATCTGATAATAAGCAAGCAGTACTTTTAATATTTCCTTTTTCTGTTATCGCCATCAATTTAGTCCACAATCCAACTCCATGGAGGAATTCCGTAAATTTAATCATACAGAAGTTCTTTTCCCTTAATTGCTGGATTATTTGCATAGATGTAGAACTTCCAAGTGCAATTGATGCACTACGATTTACAACTTCACGATCCCATCTTGGGTCTGATGCTGGCAAGTCTTCAGCCAAGTCTCTAGCTATACTAATGACAGTTTTATCTAATTCACTATCAACATGCTTCCCATCACTTTTGCCAAATAGCTCATTAATTATTTGATGACACATTGAGCTGTTCCTTTTTAAATGATAAATGAATGCTGCCTTCAATTGACTCACAATGTCTCGATTATTTTCACGAATCTCTTCTGGATCTAATGCATACATTGACAGATTTCCAGCATTTGTTGTATTTGGTGATAAAATATTTCCAGGCTCATGGACATTCATTTGTGGACTAAACATTAAATCATTTTGTGTCCCTAAAGTTGATAAATTTGCTGCTGACACATTCATGCTGTTATTGAAGAATTCAGGCTCAAAATCTGATGGCGTGACACAAACAACTCCGTGGATTCTCGAGAAGAACAGAGGTAAATTTCCAATATTTTCAGCATGCAATAATCTATCTTCTTGAATATGGAACTCAATCTTTTCAATATCATCAGTTGGTGGCTGTAAAGGTGAATTATTCTGAATGATAATTGGAAGTATCACTCGATCACTATAAATGTAAGCCATTCCACGACAAATGATGAACTTGAACTTCATAAAATGATTCTGTTGCTGATGATTGTAAAAGATTTTATGTCTAACAAGTTGAAGATCCTTGATTTGGAAGCCATCTGCTTCAGCAATTACTGTGACTGTAAATTTAATCATTAATAAGTATGTCTAGTAAATTATAATAGAGGATTACTTACTTAAAACAAGGAAAACTTGTGGAGATAATGAGAGACTCGCACCAGCTGCTAAAATCATAACTCCTCGATCAATTGTCTGCATATCCAACAGCCACATATCAATTGGCTCATTAAGATTATTTCGATTAGGCCACATTTTAGACCGGAAATGATCTCGAATCTTTTTGAATATTTCTTGTTCCTCAAAGATGAACATTTCATTGCTGTTTGGTGAAAATAGCCATCGTTGGAGAGAATGTTCAGACAGGACATTAACATGATATTCAAGTGAATTCATAGATTCATAAGTAATCTTAATCAACTTATTCTCACTGTCTGGCTGACTCATTCCAATAATAATGCTGGCAAATTTCTTTCCAATTCCTCCAAAGAAGCTTGAAGGCGGTCTTATGGTACGATGAACAATTCTCTGTCGTCCACTCTGGACTTGAATTTGTAACAGAACAAGATTACAAGTTGTAGTCACTAAGAGATATCCTTGCGGGGAAAGTCCTGTCAATTGAGCAAATTCCTGCCCTTCCAAAATGCCATTTTCATCAATCGATGATCCATCGTGAGCAATTGATGGCCAAAATCTCACATCACCTGTTGTTGATACAGCTAAACATGATGCTGTTTGACTTCCTTCTTGTACAAATACGTTAATAAGCCGTGCTTTATGTCCAATGTCGCAATGGGGTAAAGTTAATTCACGACATTGGCTTGCAACATTTCTTGGATTTTTTGCAACTTTTGACGAGTCTATTTCTGATCGTTGAGATCCACGATATTGCCAAATTAATAACTTTCGTCCACAAACAGCCCAAGCCCATCCATTATTCGAATATGCTATAGATACAGTTGAACTTCTCTCACTAAAGGTCAAAAGTTCTGTAATTTTAATTGGCAATGCATTTCCATATATTTCAACGATATTATATTCTGATCTAGCAATAATCTGTACTGTTGAGGCATTAGATCTTCCAGATATGCTCACACTAAGGAATAATACAAGTTTTATTAAAAAATAAACAAAAATTAAATTGCAAATTTTGAAAACTTACTTTTTTCGAGCTGCTGGAAAGATTGATCTACGACTCTTTGATTTAGGCGTTGCCTGCAAAGAGAAGCTCCTGTTCATAGCAGTTGTTGATGTGTTTAGAAGCGATTTATCCATCTTTTAATTAAATTTCACAAATTTTTAAAATGCTTTTTGTTTTTTAACCGGCTGAATTTCAAATACTTTTTGACCGTTATTTTTTTGCAGCCTTTTGAATATTTTTTGAGTGTTGCTTAAATAAGTGCTCTGAAAAGTTGTTGCAAATATCGAGAAAGAATGTAGATTCTTTCCTAAAATTTATGTAACGCTGACAAAATCTTTATGTATAGATCAATTCTACATATAAATAGAAAAACAAAATCTTTCATATATTTTGTCTTCATAAAGACAATTTCTTTAGATTATGTTTACATGTAGATAGATTCTATGTGTAGATAGTATAGATATAATCTACATACTGTGAACAAAATTACACTTTTCATGTCAAAAATTCCAAAAATCAGTTCTTTATAGGTTGAACCAATAATAATTAATTATCTTTCAATACATGAGCTATTAATACTATTCAATTTTCAGTCAGAATCAGTCTATATATATTATTTTTTTTTTGTTTGAATTTTCAAACTGGATGTTTAAATTCTATATATCAAGTTATTTTTTTTTACTAGGTTTGAGGAACCTGTTAACAGAAAACAGAAAAACAGCTGTTTTTTGACAAAAATCTGTTAACAGAAAACAGGTCTCAAAAACAGATCTGTTTTCTGTTTTTCATTTTTACATATAATTTACAGAAAAAAAAAATCTTAATTTTTTGAAGAACTTAATATATTTTTCTGGCATTCCAAATTGAAATGTATTTACTATTTTAATATTTTTTGGATGTTTAATAGGTTTGAAATCATTATCAAATTTATGGTTAATCATTATTAATTTTGCAATCGAAATTTTAAATTTGTTGAACCTTTTAAAGCATTTACTAAAGTTCAAAAATATTATCAACAATTATAAAAGATATTTTTTTATTCAGAAAGAGTTTTTGAATATTTCAAATAAAATATTAGAGTTTTTGGAACTTTTACAATACAACAATGCAATGTTACTTAAAAGTATAATTTTTTTTTGATTTATTTTTTGCATTATTATATTTTATAATATTTTTTAAAGTTAATTAACAAAAAAATTAAGAAATAATAATGCTTAGCTCTAAAATGTATGCTTAACTGCTTATAACCACCAAAAAGTTTCATTATCTTAGAGAAACACTTAGGATAACTCTCTCTATTTTGAATTCTAGAAAAACAGGAAAACAGCTGTTTTTAAAAATCAAAAACCGAAAACAGAATGTTTTTCAAAAACAGCTGTTTTCAACAAACCCAATTTTTTTACCATTTGTGTAGAATTTTTGACATGAAAAGTGTAATTCTGTAAACTGTTCACAGTATGTAGATCTGTGTCAGAACTTGTCTGAGCCAGACAACTTGCAAGAATGCAACACTGGAAAAGATTAAGGATATGCAGGATGTATATTTTCATTCTTTTTATTACTCTTGATTTTTATTTCTTACATGAAATTGTTTAATAGATAGTATGATCTCTTGCCACTATTTGATATAGTATATCAATAATAAATTTTTATTAATTCATTCATAACATTTTAATCAGCACTGCTCTCATATTCCACTATCAATATTCGGAAAAATTTATTATCATATGCAATGAGAGTAAAAGTATGATCGCTAAATAGCATGAATTCATAAAGAACAGTGCATTTCGCCTTTAAATTGTGAAATTTAAAAAATTATATTAGATTAAAATCAGATCAACTTTGAATATTTTTTTAGCCTTTAAAGATTTCTTTCTTTTCTTTTAGATAATGACGATGAATTCATATAAAGCCTTGGTTTACTTTATTTAATATTAATGATTATTTTTTCATTTATTGTGTGTTTAAGTTTTTTTTTTTTGTTGAAAGCGAATTTTTTTGGATCTTCTGGGGACATTAAACTTCTCAACTTTCAAGGATGTCTTTCGATAAGTTTTAATTAAATTTTAAATGCTCGAAACTGAGAAATGTTCTGTAGATAAAGCCAATATTGTTGTCTAACAAAATAAAGGAAATTTTTCTCTTTCTCTCATAACAAAATAAGTTTCTTCGTGGTCAATACTGATCTTCACCAAAAAATAATATTGATATTTATATTAGGGATCCTTCACTTATAACGTCTGGGTCCTCAACAATCAGAATCCCCTTCTTGACACAAAATCTCAATTCAAATAAATTTTATATACCCCCCAACTGATAAACGTCATAAGTAAGAGACTCCTTAATGAATGTACGTAAAAAAAATTAAAATGTACAATATAAGTGGTTGTGTCTATCATGAAGCCCAAGAAGGAAAAAGTAGCGGTAATAATTATATAAAAAAAGGAAAATTAAAGAATTTTATACAATGAACATTAAAGTTAAAGTTATGTTTTATATATTTTTTTTTGTTTTTATAAACTCTAGAAGATTATATTCATTTCTTTCGTAAATATATTGGAAACAATTTTTTTTTCATCATTTTTTTCTTCACTATGAATAACCAAATAACTCAACTTACAGCGCTCATTGGAATCGTTTTAGTTCAATTTTAATTATTATTAAATTAATTATTCTTTTTGTGTTTAATATTTTCTTATTAACAATCATTGATCATGCCAATGTCTTCAATTCTTGTCGTACGTTTTTTGCTTTGCTTTTTTAATATTTTATTGCTTAACAACTATGGATAAAGCTGCTGCATGTCATTTTAGTGCCAAATTAAACTAAATAAAGGAAAAACTCGTTAAACAATTGAAATGTTTGAAACTCGTTTTAAATAAATTCGGTTTTAAATTTGAATTTTTAAAAACCTTTTCGAAATAATTAAGCACGAAATTTGAATTTTTGAAAACCGTTTCAAAATAATTAATAACTTAAATTTGCCAACAACTGAAATTTTAAACCTTTCAACATGCAAAAGTCTCTGTCCAAAGTTATTAAGCTTTTCATTTCATTTTTTTTCACGTAAAATGGATAAATTTGTTGTTGAATTTTTGTTGTTTTTAAACAGTTATAAGTTCATATAGTTCGTATTTTTTTTGCTGGTTCACTTACAATCTACTCAAGTTTACTCGAAAAAAAAGAAGAGACATATTTTTAACATCATTTTACATTGCGATTCAAGCACAATATTTTTTTTTCCTTAAAATTGGTCAACAAGCAGATTGCATATTTCAGTAGTTACTTGCTCTTTACTCGCCCTTACCGTCAATCGGAACATCTAAAAAAATGAAATAAAATCGAGTGTTGTTATCCGTACACAAATGATGTAAAACATAAAATTGTTTAGAAAATTACTACTACCTGTGCTTGTTTGTTGGGCTCTAATCGAAGTAAGCAGCCGACTTGGTGTGATTGTGTGTGAATGATTCCGGCGCACACAAGATTGTCGGGATTTGGATCAATACTCTCCAAAATTTGCATTCCAAAACCTGAAAGCTTATTCTTGGCTCCTTGCAAATCGAGTGGAATCTGTGCCTTAAATACTTTCTGAGCACGTTGCTTCTCACTATACAAAATATGTGTCAATAAAATTAGTAAATAGAAAAAGGTCAATGAAATCATGCTAATTTTCATACCCTCCTAGATTCTTCCATCTCGCGAAGAATGACTCTGCATTCATTTCAGTTGGTTCGAAGAACTTATTCACGGTCAACGGTAGCTTGATTGTGAAATTTTGTGGAGTTCCATTGTAGCGGAACGCAAGCTGTAGAGATGGAGAGTCTACAAGATAATAATTAGATAATTGAAATTAATTAATGATGTTAATGTAATATTTTTTTTTCACAAGTAATTGACACCGCTTAATGTTTAATTGGCCATTTTATGGATGGAGTATAATCACGAGCAACAATCTTGTACTTATGAATTATTAAGTGATAAAGTTTTGTCGCCTGTCAGTCAAGTTTGCGTGATGTATGTATGTTAAGAGAAATATTTGAGTCGCAGGATTAAAAATAAATCCAAGGATCAAAACATAGATTTCATTGAGATTAAAATTTATTGCTTACCAGCATAGCTGTCTACGCACTCAGCTGTGAGCATTTGTTGGATTTGTGCACCAGCATCGAGAGTTGAGTCTACGGCTTTGATTTGTACATTAAGCTTCTTTCCTTCTTCCGCAGGCCATTGTAGAACAGGCTGGAAATTTGTTAGCGGAACTTGTGTCTTATTGCCATAAAATAGTCCCAAACGTCCAAGATTTTGTCGGAACTCGCTCTTAACACCAATTTGAATCATTTCGTTCTCAAATAGAACGCCGTTGTTTTTGAAAAGGAATCTAGAATCGTCAGAACTATTGTCATAAAATAGACAATTACAGAACATGATAGGAAATAAATAGATAACTCACTTCTTTGCATTATTAACGGCTGACGACGAAGATGAAGATTGATTATTATAAATATCTCCTAGAACATCGATGAGTGTATTTTGTGAATTTTGTTGTTGCGATGGCGGTGTGCTGAGTCCTAGCAAATCACTTGTGTGATTACTGAAAGAAATTCTGCAAATAAATGAATTATTTTGTGACTATTTAAGCTATATAAAGTATAGATAGGCATACTTGTTGTTTGTTGTTGCATGATTTTGAGTCTGTGCATTATTGTGATTGGGCACAGGACTTTTAGAGTCTCTGACTTCAGTTTCGGGAACACGACCAGGTTTTTTCTTCTTCAGTACAGCTAATATTGAACTTTCGCGTTCGGGGAATGACGGCATTTCTTCGAGAACAGTTGCCAAGACGTCTTTTGATGCTACAATTGACAATTGTAGATATTCACTGGCGCGTTGTTGAAGTTCAGCATCTGCTGATCGGATATTGCTGTCTTGTCTGAAAACGTCTTGAATGGTACCACGAATTTCGGGGAAAAGATTTATGAATTTGATGTAGGTGCTAAGGAGCAATGCTCTAGTCATGGACGAACATAAATGATATTTTGAATGAAGTATTTTAAATTGCACCATTGGCGCAGAACGTGAATCGCCAGCAATGAGATTACCAAATTCTCCAAGAATATAACCGCCAACTTTAACCATATTTTCGTGACATGCCGGTGCCTGCAGAGCTTCAAATACTGTTTTTGCTGCATATCCTTGAACTTCCTCACGATTGATAACAATTTGAATAACACGATACCACACTTCTTCGGATACATAATCACCAGCAATACGAATTAAATTTAAAATTACGTCAACGTACCAAGTAAAGTCTGTTGCATACTTTTCAGCAAGTATGGCAACTTTGAGGACCATTTCTTCTCTTATTGAATAGTCTGCCGTTTCCAAATAGTTGAGCATTTCTTGTACAATCTCTTCGGCATTACTTCGATCGCACATTGCATAAAGTAAGTCGACAGCTTGCTGCCTCACTGATACATCCTTTTCCATTTTCATGGATAATATAACAACTTCTTGGTGTTTTTTGACAGCTTCATGCGAGAACTCGGACTGTGCAAGATGACACATTGATTCCAACGCCAAGTAACGCAAATTGGTCTCACGATTTGATAAGAACTGACCTAATTGATTACAGGCTCGAACTAATAAATTTGGTTCACTATCGTTGTGTATAATGAGATTTATCGCTTCAAATAGCACTGCATTTTTAGCATTCGAATGCTGAACTTTTTTACTCTTCGGTGGCTCTTGAGCTTTATTAAGAATTGTCTCTAGACACTCATTAAGACGTCCACGAACGCCTGGATCTTCCGTTGGCGGATTATAATTCTGTAATAATCTCAATAGCTTTACAGACAGCCACGGAGCGGGAACGAAATAATAAGTATAATCTTGCAGATCAGTATAGCTGCTTGTAAAGATACGCGATAATCTTGATACTGCCAAACTAACACATCCTTTATACTCATCCGGATTTTTCTTTACTAATGCATCAATAAGACTTGTCGCAGCCGTAACGACACCCATATGATGATCATTGAGCAAATGAATTATTCTGCTTGTCCATTCACCGCCTGGAATTATGTCTGGACATGTTCTAAACAGACGAAGTAAGCAGAGAGCGGCTGATTGCTTTACAACATCCATTGTATCGCCTGAAACCAGCAATTTTGGAATTTCATTTGCAAAGGCTTCAGCCATGTCTTGACTTCCGATATTGGCGATACATTGAAGTGCCAAATTAACATGAATAGGATTACGTGATTGCAAGTCATTCTTGATACTCTGTATGATGAGCTTTATCAGATCGCTATTAGTGTTTACGAGTACGGATATAAAGAGATAACCCTACAAGACATAACAAATAGCATATTAAGGATATTGATTTTTCATGAATTGCATATGCAGCCTAGCCAAGTGAATGGCAGATAAGCTATCAGTTGTAGTCGCGAGAAATGTGAATGCACTTACGATTTGTTTTTCAGAATATTTGTTCGATGAGAGTAAATTAACCGCTTCCATATGCCCAAAATCGATATCATGTCCGAGAAGGAAGATGAACAGCAGCTTACAAACATATTTCTTTTTCTGATAACCGTCTAGCGTCTTATCGCCTTTAAATTTACTACGAATATTTGCTAGCTCTTTATTCATACGCTTCACTTCAGATTCTTTGCTCTTGCCTGCATCATTATTATCGTCAGCATAACAATGAAAGAAATTAAAGATTAGGAAATGTGTGAGAGAAGGCTTTTCATTTTCATTTTTTTTTTGTATTGTGATTTGTAAGTGATGAACGGATATGATTTAATTTAATTAAGATCAATTTGGATATCTCGTGTGTAGACATCTGGGAAACTTAAGTTACTTACAGTTTCTTATATCCGATATAAATACTGCGAGTCCGCGCATTCCATCACCTCGTACAGGTGCCATAATTGTAACTTGCTATTATTAATGTATATTTTTACGTTGATAGAATTTGTTATTTGACTTGTTTTTTTTTGAGATGTTCTTCAATCACCTTATCCCTTAAACTTAAAAATGAATAGTCACAACAAGCACAGAATTCGCTCTCACTCCCGATTACACGCTATTTTTATATCAACAGAATTGACACAAAATGAAAATAAAAAAAAAGAAGGAAGAGAGAAAGAGAAATGGATAGATAAGTTAGTCACTGTAATTATAAATATTTTCTATGTGCACTTTCTTTTGTGACAATCATAAACTCTTCTTTCCATTCTTCTGCCTTGCCTGTCTGTCTGTCGACAATCGACAAGACACAAGATGCACTTTAAACACACAAATATCGATTGCTTTTTAAAGTCAGTCTTGTAATACAATATTCCCGACTACGATGAATTGATAATTTGCAGATTGTGCTTATTCGTTCCTTTATTCACTGGAAATCGCAAAACTTGATGTTTTTATCAGCACAAAAAACAAATCACTGTACGTCCGTAGCATTAAAATATTATCAACTTTTTTCTTCTATTTTTTTTACAGCCAGTTCCGAAGCTGAATATTTTTTCGTTCATTCATTCCACAAGAAATCCTCCCATTTTTGATGTTGCACAAAAAGACTCTTTTTAAAACTCAATTTTTTATGTAATCTGAATCAAAATGTTGGAATTTCCACATTAATCATACACTATCGGATCTAAATTACAGCCTTAATATGTTCCAGAACCGGAAATGTTTGATCTATGTGCTAAATTTCATGGAATAATGAAGCTTATTGTTTTTTCGGTATTTTAGGAAATTTATGAGTTGTCACTTTTACTTTTAACCAGTTATTCCTGCTTTTTCTACATAATCTGACTGTTTAACTTACATTTCCCAATCCGTAATCGTGAATTGTTGTCCAAAAATCGAGATAGAAGCTGCAATTTCCAATTTTTCCTTTAATTTTTTGATGAAAAATATCGATTTTTCTTACACTCGCCCACCAATCCACTTTCTTTGAAGACCTAATCGATGTCCCATTCCTCAACTCGCACTTTTGAATCTTTAAAAACCGTTAAAGAATTTAAGTATATTGATGGTTCATGCTTAGACACTAGGTCATATCTTTAGACTTTAATTCCTTTTAATTTAAAACAAAGTATATCAATAAGTAATTAAACAACCAACTTATAGTTCAAAAACCAATTTATTTTATTAATTTTAAACAAACGAACCCGCTATATTAATAGTCGAAGAAAAAATTAGGAATAGGCATCAAGAAATAAATGCAATACCTTTATCATCAGTGGAATCATCTGTTGGAACCAGCTTATGTTTGAATTTCTTTAAGGTCGAATAGCTCTTATAAACGTAAATAAAATTCATATCTTAGGCCTATGTTGATGCATATCCTTGGACTGTGTTGTTTAAGTAGAGCTTTACAGCTTTAAATCTACTATAATTAATGAATTTTAAGCAATTTTTCTGTCATTTGCATTGGTCTGCAACTCTGTTACTGATAAGATTTTCTTTACTGCTACATCATCTTATCCGTTAAGTGATGGATTTATAATATTGACTCAGTTGGTTTTCGTTCCTTGAAAAAATCACGTAGAAGATGAGGTTCCTTATAATTTTTATCATCTTCGTTCATGCTCTATTAATCCCGGCATGTAAGTTATATTGAAAATTCTTATTTCAAATGAAAAACATATAAATCTCATCTAGCTTATGGATTTTTGGATCTAGAGACGACTACGGTTAAAAATTTTGTCTTGCCAAAAGCTGTAAGAAATTTCGTTAAAATTAATTTGGACAAATCAGAAACATTAAATGAGAGAAATTACAATCATCGAACTACAACACAAAGACAGGAGATAGAAATACCTAATGAGTCTACATCACACGAAGTAATTGACACCACGATTAATGCTAATTTAGTGACCACAGCAGAATCGAAACTTCATTCAGATACAACTACAACAAGAGGTCCATTAATTCCTGATGAAAGAATCCAGATAAAAAAACCAGAACCAGAAACAAATCCTAGCGTTTTGTGGTTCTTTAGTAAGCAATCTAAAACTTGACATTCAAATGACTTGATTGCATTGAATTTATTCCTAGGTGGCGCATTAGCTGGAGTTCTTCTATCATTCATCGTCTTTTCCATTTACAGCTTCTTCAAATCTCGTACAGAATCAATTTACCAAAATTTATGAATAATCAGCAATGTGATACAAAATGATCAAATTGTCTGTACACCTTTTGAACTTTTCGAGATATAATTTTAAATTCTGTAACCAAATTGTAGCTGTGTGAAAATGAGAACAGCCAATAATTTGAGAATGTAGGCAATTCATAAAAGTTTTTATTATTCTCTCGCCACTGCGATTCTTAAAGCAATTCAAATTAAATAGTCTTTCTGGAACTTTCACGGAACATGTCCATCTCGAAATCTATAATATTCATCTTGGGCTTATATCGCTGTTCAGGTTTGATTAAGTCGTATGACATTTTACTAGTAACTGACAAGTTTGAATTGAAAATTTCCATGTCTTCTTCTGTTTCTGGATATTTTCCAGCAGCTAGCATATCTACAACCCAAATTTCATCTAATGAATGCTTCAGTGTCAGTAAAAGCTCTTTGTAGGATTTCTGAGGAATAAAAAATAACGTTTATAAGATTTTTAAATCTAGAAACTATACAACAGCAAATTTCAAAACCATTTAAATGTTTTACATGTTAAAGCATTTGTAGGGTTTTCAAAGTCCAAAAAATTAAGTACCTGTAAGTTCCTAGAATAATCATCCATATTTAACTCTATGCCAGCAACAATCAGTTCTTTAATGGCACTTTGACTCTCACCATTAACAATCTTATGTACAAGTTTCCAAATTGAATCCAACAATGCTACATCCTCAAACTTATTTCCTTCCTTAAGATTCAAAAGTTTTCGTTCGTGCTTTCTCTTCTGCTTGCTGCTTCTGAATGTTTTTGCTGTGTTACGAGAACTTTGGGAATTTATGCTAGTTGTGTCTGAAAACGTGTCATCGTCGTCGTCTTCTTGTGGATTTTGGATTTTTCTAATCTTTTCTTCTCTGATGCTCAACAGTCGACTCTTTTGTGAAAAGAACGTAGCTTTATCATCCCCAATAGCCTTTATTGTCTCATTAAAATGATTGATGATGTTAGGTCTGACTATTTCATCGATAAATTGATTGTCTGAACCAATGAATGATATTTCCAATAAAGCTTCATCGTAATACCGTCCATGTACCAAAGTTTCAATTAAAAGCTGTGGATCTTCATTAAATTTTCTGATAATTTCACATGCTTCCTTAAACCTTCCTAAATCTATCAGCGAATGTGTTAATTTTGATGCAAGATCATTAACTTCCGATTCATTAAAGTTGCACTTTCTAGCTAGTATTAAGCACTTTTTCCAATCTAGGATATTCCTAGCACTTGATAAAGCTTGTTTAAAGTCACCGCCACGTTCATACATCAAAATAGCTTCCAGGAACTTTCCTTTAACACGAAGATGATCACCATAAAGGATGCAAATTTTCTGATAACAATTTTTATACACTTCAAAGGCTGTTAATGCTGCTTCATAAAGACTGTGCTTCTTAACAAGTTCAATGCATTCATCAAACTTTTCTGAACTATCAGGACATAATGATGCGATATTAATGACTGCCTTGTTGTATCTTTTAAGGTAGCAATCAATCTTGTATTTAGCATAGAATGGATCAAAGCTTTTAAGTTCTTGTAGGAATGGAACATATTCTTTCGGATCTTTTTGACTTTTTTGTGCAACAAACATGACAAGCTGATAATCGTACATGCCTAAAGCAATATTATACAGCACATTAATATCGATTAAGTATAAAAGATATTTTATAGCATCGTCTGCTTCCTTATCATTTCCTCCGGCCTTTTTCAAGTTCCAAATTAGTTGCAGAGATTTTTCTAGATTTTCATTCTTAACATGACAAGTAATTGATGGCAGCAGATACTTCTTGTGGTCTAAACGTTCAAATATGTCCAGCATTTCTTCGCATATAAATTGAATTTTATTCTCAAATGTAAAGATTTCGTCTGTAACATCTTCAATTCTATCACAAAATTTGTACATAGTCGTTGTCACATCCTCATTCTTTAGTTCCGTTAAGAATAAATTTAGCCAATTGATGTTATCAATTTGAAGCACAAAATCTTCAATTTCATTTAGAAACTTCTGTGGCTGCATGTCAATTAATAGATTCAAGTTAATTCGTTCCTTTCTGAGCAAGTCAAATGCTAATTTGTAATTTGGAACTTCCAAATGCTTCCTGATTATCTTAAATGATAAAATTCTTGGAGAAATTGTTTCTAAATTACCTCGAGGAAGCTGAAAGATGATTTGTGACTTGTCTTTAACAAGTGACACTATTCGTGATCCTCTCTCGATTCTTCGGCTATCAATCACTTCCTCTGGATTTTTATCAATTTTTACAAACTTTAATTCACCGATTGTCGTGTATATTAAGAATTCCTGATCATTAGTGACATTAAAGGAAGTAACTTCATTCGCAATTTCCTTATTATTCAAATATAGCTTTTTCTTTAGATTTTTCAAACCATAAAAGATGACATCATTTTTAGCAACAACTGAAACTACTTTTTCGCAAAATTCTGAAAGTTTTGGAAATTCTTTATCACTTAAAAAAATTTCATCGTCGTCATTAACTTCTATTCCAATTAATGTTCCGTCAATCAATTGTGCAGCATAAAGGCTGTCATTAATTTTTACAAGACCAGCAATAGAGTCTTCAAGGATGATCTCTCCAACTATAGTTTTTGAATCTGTGCAGTATAAAAATATTGTACTTTCAGTGCTGATTAAAATTTTGAAGGAATCAATCCACATAGAATGGACAACATGCTCAATATCTTTCAGTTGAAGACTATTGACTTTTTCTACGGAATTTAATTTTCGTCCATTAATTGTGTCATTAAAGATGCAACGATAGAATGTAGCAAAATTAGCATGATCGATTATCATAAAACTATTTGAATCAAATTCAGTGCTTGATTGAATGAAATTTACAGTATTAACTGGATTATCTAATTCAACTTGTAAGCTAGCCATTGGAGGTGGCAGCATTTGACTTTTAAAGTTTGTCAATAACAGTTTATGTCCATCAATTACAGCTACAATAGTTTCATCATTATTGCTACTTCCATTACTGTGATTAACGACATAATCGAATTTTAAGATGGAATATTTGCCATTAATATCCATAATTTGCAACTTTTTTGGCTCAGCATAATTCTGACTCCAATTATAGACAATTGGAACTAAATATTCTATGTGATATTTCATATACCAATGGTAATTGCAGATTGTATAAAAGTATAATGTGTAAATTCCTTTGCGATTTGTTTCAATCAGTAAAATATCCGAATCTTGGTTCCACGAAAGATTCGTCACTTGCTCAACATCCGGCAAAAATGGTAAAACCAATTCATAATGCTTCAAACCATTTCTCTCAAAAAGTGTAATAACATACTTATTATTCAGTATTTCAGGCTTTGCGATCCATAATCCAGAACTTTTCCAAGCTATCGGAACTTGTAAATTTGCACACAATTCAGATACATACTGCATATTTCCTTCTTTAGTAAACACTTTGAACATTCTTCCATTAGATCCGACAAAGTTTACTGCAAAATACTCGCCATCACCTCTCCAACAGCACGTAATTCTTTTTTCTAGTTCCTCAACATTCTTAACTTCAATTTCTGGCTTCTTTCTGTTGTCTTTTCCAACTGATCCATGAAATTGTGTCTCTTTTTTGCCCCAACCAACTGTCATAAACTCCTTTTCAGCTTTCTCATCCAGTGAGCACTCGATAAGCACATCAAACGTCGAAAACATCAGAATCATTTTCTGTGTCCTACATAATATGAGATTTATTTTTTAATTTGAGGCATTTTGACTCTTAAATAATTAAGCTTAATAATAATGTGTGAGTAGAGAGTAGAACAGAATGTATTGTACCACACCCTTTAGACCTACAGTTTATAGTGGGATCAGAACCACTTGCAAATTCAATCAAGCGTCATAAGACCTGATGTACCCTGCAATGTACCTAGTCACTCTATTCAGATGCTAGTATATTCTTGGATGAAATGGAGAAAGAATGGATTGAACCCAGCACCTTTGACACAGAAGGCCACTGATGCCATTTCACCGCTTAAAATAATTAATAATTAACTTACTTTGTTACGAAAACAACCAGTTCCTGATCTGGACTCCAGCACATTGCCTCGATTCCATCATCTATCCTTCCTTCCTGTAAAAAAGATAAAAAAGCTCAAATTAATTCCTTTGTTTACAAACACCAAAATCTTTTCTTTGTTTACAAACAACAAAATCTTGTCTTACAATTTCATGTTGTTTTGTACTGAAGTTATACTGGATGATGTAGCCAGATTTTGTTGCAAAGCATAAGCAATCATTGATTTGGATGTATTCAAGTGCTATAACGTCTTCAAAATTGCACAATTCTTCAATAACACCGGATTCATGATCAATTTTAAGAATTGCATTATTTTCATCATATACGTAAGATATACTCTCAAATACATGTTGTACCATAAGTCGAGCCTTAATGTCATCATATTGATGACTTTTCTTGTAAATCAGCTTTAGATTTCGCATTTTATTTAATTATTTTACTAATTCAAAAAAACAAAAATATTCTACATGTGCGAGACTGTCAGACAGACAAAATAAAGACAAACAAACGAAGAATGATTCAAATTAAAAGACGCAAAAATTTATTCAAAATAAAAACGATCGTTATTTATTTCCAGAAAAACAAGAGAAAAATATTCAAAGAATTCTCAAAATTCAATAAAAATTAAGATAATAAAACTCTCCATTCATTCATGCCTGTTAATTGTTCTTGCACAACTTCCGTTTGGTCATGTTTAATAGATCTTCAAAACTTAATTCACTCGTTTTTGATTTGCTGCTACTTGTTGTGCTATTACTATTTTTACCATTAGTGCTGTTGCTGCTAAATATTTCGACTTCGTTCTCTTGATTCTGTGAATCCAAATCAGCATATGTTTGCCGACAGAATTTCCTGCGACCTCCAAAACGTAAATCGAAGCTGCTTATAGCTGGATCTTTTGAATATCTATCTAAAACATCAAATGCCGCAGATGCTTCCGCGAAAGTAACAAAGCCATACCGTAATGAACTAAAACGTTACAAAGATATTAGTAAAGTAATAGTATCAAAATTTCAGAGACAGCCTACCCATCCTCCTTAGTGTGTAGGGAAATTTTCTTAATGGTTCCGTATTTCAAAAACTTTCTACGCAATTCGTCTTTTGTAGTTTCCTCGAATAATCCTCCTACGTAAATAATTTTGCGTTCTTCTATGTAGAAAATAAGATATATCTAATAACATTGAGCATTATAGTATTAATAGTTGGAATTTACCCTGAAAATTGTAATTTGGTCTTTGGTAACCGTGCTTAAATCTATTGTCAAAGCGTTTTAATGAATCATGATCGGATGAACGACATGAGCCATATGCAGAAGTATCACTTTCACTATCTGAATCCATTTCGCTGCTATTCATTGATGATGAGTTTACAGAGCGTGAATATTTGTAATTATTACGACGATTATTACTATTGTAATATTCAGGTTCAGGACTTATACTACGACTTCTAGAACGACTACGACTCTGACTCCGACTAGTTGATCGACGGCGAAAGTTTCGTGAATTTTTGATACGATTAAATATAAGAGATGGTGACAGTATGAGTGGTGGAAAGAGTGGAGAAATGTCTGTCTGAATAGCTGCACAATTCCTATATGGTCGAATTCTATCCTTTCTCAAATGCATAATTACTTTATTCTCGCCAATCTCACTACCATCACTCTTTGTCTTTATCTCGTTCGATAAATTATTTCGTTTTTCACTGAGAACTGCATTAATACTTGAAAGCAGTGTTGATGTTGAGTTTAAGATTGTTTTAGCATTATTACTATGTTGGAAGCTATTGACAATATTAGTTAAGAATCCAGTTGATGATTTCTTCTCGCAATCTTCATCCAATTCGTGTGGCGAGATTGATATTTCCGTTTGACACTCCATTGACATTAACACAATTTCTTCATAATCTGGATGAATAGTTGAAGGATCTGTCGATTGTGCCTGAACATTTGATTTCATTTCATCTCTGTCTTCTTGGTCCTTTTGTGGATTGCCTTCTAACAAATTCTTTATACTTCTTGGATCTGTTGGCAATTCTAATATAGGTAGCGTATCTGGTATAATTTCACATAATTCAAGTACGACATTCTTATCAAACTTCTCAACTGACGACTGTGGATTATTGGCACGACGAATTTTATATTCAGCTAAATTGAGTTTCTTTCGAGGCTTCTCTATCTCATTTGCACAAACAGTTTCAATCAATTGCATTGGTTCCTCTTCAATGGTAACATCTTTTAAATCAACTAATGTCTCTTCATCCTGATTATTCTCAATATACATTATTTCGTCTTGGACATTCTGATCACTTAACATTGTTTCAAAATCACTCGTCTTATCTCCAACACTATACATTTTGTTCTTATTATCATTATGGAATACAACAGTGTCTTCATACTCCATTTCCGAGTCATCATCATCGTCGGATGTTTCATAAATCACATTTGGATCTAATGGAACAATCTCCAAATCCGAATAGTCTGAATAATCTTCTTGCATGACTACTTCCTGTATCTTCCTGTATAACCTTAAACAGAAACATGAGAAAGACTTAATATTAGTAATAGAATTGAAAGTATGGTTTAATGTTAGGACATTGACGATAGAATTGTTATTTAAACAAAGAACATATGTATGGTTAGGATTATGCCCTTTCTAGTCTTCTTATTCTTTAAATGAAAATACTTGTCGCATATTTTACTCACCTTTCTTTGATAAATCCTTCCGATTTACACTTTTCCTTAATAAATATTATGCTATTTTGTCGTGTCCTATCTACACGACGATCTAAACAATTGAATTCTACTAGTTTATCACATATAGCACTATTAATGTATTTTATACACTTCTAATTTATGTTAGCTCTTCTTTTTTTTGTCGACAACACATTTTCTATTTGAAATTCCCTTACAAAAAATCGTTTCAGATTTCTCCACAACAATGTATATTCTCTTATAATTTACTATATAACATGCACTGAATTCAATTTTTTCCTTAATATACCACTTTGATATCCACAAATAACTATTAATTAACTTTGGGCAATGATTTTTAAACGAAATATTCACTCATTCAGGTCGCACATGTAAATAACAGAGATCGAAGTCGAAGAATTGAACTCAGTTCATTTCACTTAAAATTTCATCGATTTAAATTCGGCTTGTGTGAACTCGAAAGAAAACAAGTTCGTTTCGAAAAATTCCTCACTACCATTAGCAATTTCTGCTCGCATTTGTAAAGTATGTAATTTCATGCAAAATGCTAATAAACATTCCTTTTTACATGTTTTAATTTAAATAAGCTACAAAATATAGAATATCATTATTCTATCGCTTATTCAAATCAAAAAAGTATGTTTTTATCTCGTTTTTTAATTCTGTTCACTTCTGATCTTGTTTCTTTCGTGTTGACTCGAGTCGATTTTAAACCGATTGAATTTTCGAGTGAAGTGAAGTGAATCGACTTCACTTTACTTTACTGACTTCGACCTCTGATAAAAATAATAATTAGCGTTATTTTCACTATACTAGTATGATCCTTGTTTTGTTTATTCACCAGTTTGTCTCTGGGGAACTTGATGCTTTGGGGTAACTCTCCGAGTAAAAGGAACTGCAGAGATTTGCATTGCAATTTTCAGAACCGTACAATTTCTTCTTCTTCTTCTTAATTATCTTTATTAAGGTCCTTTTTAATAAATTTTAAGACCATTTTCAATTCCAAATATGTTTTACATTATTTTAAATTTATAAATACGAACTGCAGTACAGGATATTATGTGTTTTGGTGTTAGATTTTGTCGTAAATATTAATTTCTTTTAGAAAGTTTAAAATTTTGTCTGTTTCATCTTTTTCGTCTACTTCAAGTGTTTTGTAACTGATATTAAATTTTGAAATAGCTGATTGGTTGTTTGTGCATTCAAATATATGTCTGACTGTAAGTGGGATGGTGCATGTGCATATTGGGGGAGAAGTTTTTTCAATAAGATGTATATGTGTTAGATTTGTGTGTCCAATTCTAAGTCTTGTCAGTACTGTCTGGTCTTTTCTTTTATATGTGTCAATATTTGTCCATTTCTTACATGTTTTTTTGATGTTTCCTAATTTATTTCCGTTTCTGATTTCCTCATTCCATTCTTCTTGCCAAAGTTTTGTGACATGCTCTTTTACATGTTTTGTAACGTCTTCAATCAATATTTTATAGTTTGTGTAAAGTTGTTGTTTTGTGGCTTCTTTTGCATGTTTGTCTGCTTCTTCGTTTCCTTTTATTCCAGTATGGCTTGGTATCCACATTATTGTTGTTTCTGTAGTATTGTCTCGTAATTTATCTTGGATTTGCTGTAGCATTGTGTTTTTTGTATGTGAGCTTCTTAATGCCTGGACTACACTGAGCGAATCAGTGCATATGAGTGTTTTATTGGTTAATCTATGTTTTAATGCTTTTGATAGCGCGAATAGCTCTGTTGTGTACACTGTCGAGTAATCGTGACATTTATATTTGTATGTATTGTCTCTTGTTACCACTGCTGCTCCGTATCCTTCTTCTGTTTTAGATCCGTCTGTGTAGATTATTTCGTACCCTTTTCTTGTGTATGTGTCTAGTATTTCGTTGAATGTTCTTTTGATTACTTCGTGTGATGTGTTGTCTTTGTTGAATTGTGTCATTTTCAAATTGATTTTGAATTTAGATTTTCTCCAGAAAGGATGAAATGAAGATTGTGGTTTACAGAATTTTGTGTCTTTGTTGATGTTCATTTTTTGGAGTTCTTGTCTCATGATATACGTTATTGGTGGATTTGTCAATTTTTTGTATTTGTTGTCTTTGGAATCGTCTTGTAGACTAGGGTTTAGAATGTTTTTGCTGTTGTTTTTGACTTTGCATGCGTATTTTATTAGGTGTATTTTTCGTTGATGTTTTAGTGGGGTGATTCCTGATTCTATGTGGACACTTGCATTTGGTGATGTGACAAAAGCACCAATTGCGTATTTTGTACTTCTTGTGTGTATTGTGTTAAGTTTCCGTTCATCCTTTTTTGTGAGTTTTGTAAAAATAAGTGCTGAATAGTTATGTATCGATGTTGTGACTGCTTCGTGTATTCGTAGCAGAGTTTGTCTCTCTCCTCCATATTTAGTGTGTGATAGCATTTTTATTAAGTTGATGTTTTTTGTTGTTTTGCTATGTAATTGATTGATCTGTTCCGTCCACTTGAGTTTATTATTAAAAATAACTCCAAGAAATTTATAGTTGTCGACGTGTTCAATGTTTTGATTGTTCAATTTTATGTGTGGTATTTTAACATTTTTCTTCAGTTGTTTTGTGAAGTGCATGATTTTTGTTTTGTCTATTGAAATCTCAAGACCATTTTTGTTCATCTGTGTACTTGTTTCATTAAGTGTTTTTTGTAAGTTTGCTTCGGTGGATTTAGTGTCCTTTCCATTGCGGAAAAGGACCAAATCGTCAGCATATGCGCAAAACTTTGTATGTTGATCTATGTTGTTGAGTACATCGTCGAACACTATGTTGAATAGTGTGCATGATAGTACTGAGCCTTGTGGAATTCCGTTGTCCATATATCCTGTGTCTGATTCTATGTTTCCTATTTGAATGTTGAATGTTCTGTTTTGCAAGAAGCTGTTGATGTAATTAACTATTTTTCCTTTAAATCCAAGTCTTTCCATATGTTCTTTGACTTTGTGCGTCCAGACTCTGTCATACGCGTTTTTTAAATCGATAAAAACTGCTGTTGTTTGTTCTTGTGATGCAAAACCTTTCTGTATGCTGTCAACTAAGTATGTAATGTTGTCTATTGTACCTTTTCCTTTTAAAAATCCTGATTGAAAGTTGTTTAAAAGATTTTTGTTTTCTAATGTCCATTGTATACGTTTATTTATTATTTTTTCCATCAATTTGCACGTGCAGCTTGTAAGAGCTATAGGTCTGTAGCTTGTTGCTTGTCGTGGGTCTTTGCCGGGTTTTTTGATTGGGATAATTATTGAGTGTTTCCATGTTTGTGGTAGTCCTTCATTTAGTATCTTATTGTATAGCTGTAATAACATTTGTTTCCCTTTTTGCGTTAGGTTTCTGATCATATCGTAATGCACTTTGTCAGGTCCAGGTGATGATCCTTTTGTTTGTGCTATTACTTCTTCTAATTCCTTCATTGTTATGTTATCGTTATATGCTTCGTTTGTTGTGTCTTCAGTAATTGTTTCATTTGTGGTTGATTGTTCTTTAAGATTTTTGAGATTAGTGTTTAAGTTTTCATCGCTATAGATGTACTCGAACGTATCTTTAATAGTGTTTGCTATTTCTATTTGATTTGTTGTGTATGTACCGTCTTGTTTGTTAATTTTTCTTATTTCTGTATTCTTACTTTTTCCGCTTAATGTTCGCACTTTGTCGTAGATTTCTTTTGTGTTAGCTTTGTGATTTAGTGTAGATGTGTACTGTCTCCAGCTTTCTGTTTTAGCGTTATTTATCATTTGGCGTATTTCTATTGTTAGCTCTGTAATTTTATTGCGTATTTCTGGATTTAAAGTGTTCTTATATATTCTTGTATTCTTTTTTCGTTCAATTATTTTTTGTTTGATGTCGTCATTCCAGAAAGGCAATTTTCTTTTGCCTTTAAATGTTTTTATATATGGGATTGACTTATTTGCTGCGTTTATTATTCTTTGTGTATAGTCTCTTTCCATGTTATTTATATTTGATGTATCGATGTTGTCGAAGTTAAGGTTCTTTTTGAATTCGTTCCAATCAGCTTTTTTGATGTTGAATAATTGTCTTTGTGTCTTTTCGTATTGTGTGAATGGGAAGGAAATCAGAAGCGGAAAATGGTCACTTCCATGTAGATCGTCAAGTACTGTCCAATCTGTGAAAGTAGCTAAATTTTGTGTGCATATTGTTAAGTCAATGGATGTTAGTCTACCGTTAGTGGCAATATGTGTAGGGAGTTTTTCGTTTAGTATTGTCAATGAGTGTAGTTCTGCTAATTCTGTAATTATAGTTCCTCTTCTGTCTGTTTTATGTGAACCCCATAATACGTTATGCGCATTAAAGTCACCTGTCAATATATATGAATGTCCTAATTGTGTAATTAGATTTTCAAGTTCGTCTTTTAATGTTTGTGTAGGTATATTATGGTCTATGTAAATGTTACAAATAACAAAATCGAATGGATATGTTACGTGAACGGCTATAGCTTGTAAATTTGTGTTAATGTGAAAAAGAGAGGATTGTATATTCAAATTAACTAGTGTCATAACACCTCCACAAGCATAATTGTCCTGTGTACATGTCTTATTTTTAATATATGTTTTGTAATTATTTAATTGTGTGTCAATATTTAATTTAGTTTCTTGTAAAGTAATGTAAAGTGGTTGAAATTCATTAATAAGTACTTGCAGTTCGGATTTATTTGTAAAAAAGCCTCTAATGTTCCAATTTAAAATTGATGTTGTGTTATTCATTATGTTATCATTTCTTCGTCTTCATCTTCGTCTCCGCTTTTAGCATCTGTGTTGTTGATTCGGGATTTTTTGTGTGTCTCTTCATCAGTTGATTGTTCTTGAGGATTATAGTTGATTTGTCTTAATCGTTTATTTTTGTTAATTAATTGTGGTGTTTCTTTAATGTTATTTACTGGTGGTGTTTGCTTTATGTTATTTATTTGTGGAGTTGTTTTGTTGTTGTGGTAATTGCAGTGCTTGCAACTGCAGATTGTTTCGATTTGTGTTGATGTAATTTTTGCGTACGTTATTCTGTTAAGATTGGACCGTTTAACTGCTTCGGCCATCGAAACATTTTGTGTTACTCTGATAGTCTGGATGTCTACTTGTCGTTTGTACTCTGTACAATTTCTGTTGTAGCTATTATGACCAGTTTCTTTGCAGTTTACACAAAAAGCTTCCTTTGTGCATTTTTCATCTCTGTTTTGGATATGTTTGTTGCTGTTGCAGTTGTAGCATGTTGGAGATTCTTTTATGTTACAATATTTTGAAAGATGTCCAAACTTATGGCAAGCAAAGCATCTCATCGGAGTGGGAATATAAGGCCTGACGCGCACTCGCAACAGTCCGACCGTCAGATATTCCGGCAAATTGCTCACTCCAAAGGTGACAAAGACTAAACCAGTGTTGATTGTTTTACCGTTGATTGTCTTTTTGTGCATTCTTACGTCTATTACTTGTTGTGATTTTAAATAATCTGATAGCGTTTGTTCGTCTTCGTTTTGTAATTCGTATGCACGAATCACGCCCTTACAACTATTCATCGTTTTGTGTTCTGTAACCTGTATTTTTGCGTCTAGGATGCCTGTTATTCGTATTAGGTTTTGTGCTTGTCTCAAGTTTTCTGTTTTTATCAATAAATCTCCACTTTTTAGGACTTTACAATCCAACTTTCCATTTTGTGTTGCATTGTGTATAGCTTTCTCCAATAATATTGGAGAAAAATCCTTCATTGTTTTGTTTTCGTGGTCTCTGTGCATAATCAAATATTTTTCTCCTTCTGTGTTATTTGTTAATTTTATTGTTGAGTCATACCTGATGTTTGAATGATTGTTGATATTTATTTGCTGTGATTGACTTGGGAAAAGTTGTTCCTTTTTATCAGCTATTAACTTGTCCTGTAATTTCTGGAGCTGATTTGCTGGCAGTTTTGCTGTGCTTTTATTGTTTTTTGTCTGAACCATTGTAAGAGATCCGGCAAAGCCGGGACTTGTCACTTTTTCGTCACAAATTTTTTGTTTTTCCTGCTTTTTCGGTTATTTATGAATGTAATCACTATAATTTTATTCAATTTGCGTAATTAATGTATTCTTTAGTACTTTGTGTAGATTTGTTCTGTCTTATTATTGTTATTTATACTCAAATTTTTAATTTTGTAAGATTTTTGTTGTGCTTAGTCCAAGGGGCAAAGAACTTTTTTCCCGTACAATTTCCACCTATTTCATGATGCATATGGCTGCAATCAAAACTTTGTAATTTAATGTAATCCCCGTGCAATTTGCATAAAAAGTCTTTATTCACAGACAGAAACTCAAAACGAAGAAGAAAAAGCTTGGTCAAAAAATATTTCATTTAGAACCCTACAAATTATTTCTATGCTCACAATCTATTACATCCGTAATTATACTTGCAATAGCTTTAAAATCGTTTTTGCTATGCATTAAGTCAAATTTTTGTTAAATTTATGAATTCAAACATTTTTTGGGTAAAGACATAAATCAGAAATGAGTATTAATTACGGATGCAATAGATTGTGAGCATAAAAATAATTTGTAGGGTTCTAAATGAAATATTTTTTGACCAAGCTTTTTCTTCTTCGTTTTGAGTTTCTGTCTGTGAATAAAGACTTTTTATGCAAATTGCACGGGGATTACATTAAATTTCAGAGTTTTGATCGAACATGAAATAGATGGAAATTGTACGGTTCTGAAAATTACAATGCAAATCTCTGCAGTTCCCTTTACTCCGAGAATTACCCTTAGGGGTCGTTCACTTATGACGTCCAAAATAAACGGTCATTTTTCAAAAAGAACAATTGATTTCCAGGAATTTCTATTGTTCTTTTCTTGCTGACCCCCCCCCCCCCCCCCCCTGGACGTCATAAGTGAACGGCCCCTTATTGTTATCGTAAAAAGAACATTTATGTTAAAGCTTTATATTGCTATACTGCAAGGATTAAAATAAATATTATTATACTTGATATTTGAATGATCTTAGTACTTCCAAAAATGCGCTGTAGACACTTATACTTAATTTCTCGACCTCTTGCGTACAAGTAATCCGTGTCATTTGTACCACATGTTAATGGATCACTGTCAAATTTAATTCAACAACTAAACCAATCAAACCATAATTAAATTTATTATTAAATCTTTAGACATAATTTAATAAGCTTAAATCAAATTATCGAAGCTAATTGATCCAAAAATAAAGAATGGTCATTTTCGCATGGATCTTTTTGCATCTTATCTTATTTTCGCATCGCTTTGAGCGATTGAAAAAATTTTGGCGAAAATAAAATTTAACTATTTACAGTGAAATACGACATTTTAAAGTTTAAAAACAATTCAAATCAGTAAATAAAAGTTCAGTAATCATGGCTAGATACATACAACGTCCAGAAAATGCCTTGAAAAGGGCTTTTGGTAAGTTAAAGTTTCTTAGTGCCACATCTTGTCTTTTGCCCATAGTCCATAACCCTCTAAATTGCACCAAAGTTGTGAATATGAAGTATATTAATGATATATATCTTTATAGAGTTTATCGAAGTCGGAAAGGAAGCTCGAGCACTCGATACTTTACAAGAAGTTTTCCGGAACAAGAAGTTTAGTTATACTTGGTCTGAATCCGTTATGGAACCAATTATGATGAAGTATTTGGAACTTTGTGTTGAGCTCAAGAAGAGTCATATTGCAAAAGAAGGCTTATTCCAGTACCGTAACATGTTTCAATTGGTAAGCATCTTTAATATGATCCTTAAACAAAGATCCAGTTCACTCAAAGTTGCAATTAATTACAGGTAAATGTCGGTTCTTTGGAAAAAGTAATTCGATATTACTTAACATTGGCAGAGGAACGATGTGAAACAGCTAGAAAGAAGTCAAGTCAAGCAGTTTTAGATATTGATGATTTGGATAATTTGGCAACTCCAGAAAGTATTTTATTGTCAGCCGTTTGTGGAGAAGATGCTCAAGATCGTTCAGATCGAACAATCCTTTTGCCTTGGGTTAAATTCTTGTGGGAAAGTTATTGTCAATGTTTGGAACTTCTTCGTGTCAATACCCACTGTGAAATTCTTTATCATGATATTGCACGTAAAGCTTTCCAATTCTGTTTGAATTATAATCGTAAAATGGAATTCAGAAAGTTGAGTGAGAAGCTTCGTAAGCATCTTGATGATATTGGAAAACCAACAGCACCGAGTACACAAGTTAGCATTCAAAAGCCAGAAACTCAACAATTGAATTTGGATACTCGTCTATATCAACTCGATAGTGCAATTCAAATGGAATTGTGGCAAGAAGCCTATAAAGCTATTGAAGATATTCATGGCTTAATGACTTTATCGAAAAAGACACCGCAACCCAAAACGATGGCAAACTATTATCAGAAATTAGCTATGGTATTTTGGAAGGCTGAAAATCGTCTGTTTCATGCTGCCGCATTACTTCGTTTATTCCAATTATCTCGTGAATTGAAAAAGACTATAACACCCGAAGAATTGCAACGTATGGCTTCACATGTTCTTGTTGCTACATTAGCTATTCCACTTCCATCAGCACATCCTGAATATGATCGATTCATTGAAACTGACAAGAGTCCTTTGGAAAAGGCACAACGTTTAGCTGTTTTGTTGGGATTAACTCAACCGCCATCTCGTGCATCACTCTTAAAGGATATCCTCAGAACAAATGTATTCCAATTGGCATTACCAGAATTCCAAAATCTTTATAGATGGTTGGAAGTTGAATATAATCCATTGAAACTTTGTTCTAATGTCTCAAATGTCATTGGCTTCATTAAACAAGAACAAAGTGGATTCTTCTTACAATACACTGATGCTCTTCAAGACGTAACATTAGTTCGTTTAGTTCGTCAAGTTTCGCAAGTATATCAAACAATTGAATTTATTCGTTTCCTCGAATTGGCTAAGTTTGCTGACAAGTTTAGGCTCGAACGAATTTTAGTCGATTGTGTCAGACATAATGACATGCAAATAACAATTGATCATAAACAAAGTATGGTTCTATTCGGAACTGACTTGAGCGAGAGTCAACGCGAAGATCATGCTGATGGTCCAACACTTCAATCAATGCCGTCCGAACAAGTTCGTCAACAATTGGTTAGCATGTCGGTAGTCCTTCATCGTGCTATTGCAGCAATTAATCCAAGTCTTAATAAAGCTGATCGTGAAGCACAAAAAGCTCAACTTGTTTCCTTTTATCATGAAAATAAGGAACGTGAACATCAAAATATTCTAATTCGTCAGCAAATCATTGAAGATCGTAAAGAATTTATTGAACGAATGAATACAGAGAAGGAAGAAGAAGAATATCGTCGTCAAGAAGAAATCCAGAGACAGCATAAATTAGCTGAACAAAAACGTATGGAGCAAGAAGCAGAAGAAAGAGAACGTAAACGTCAAGAAAATGAATTAAAACAAATCAAGAGTCGTACAATGATGGAGAAAATGCAACAAATATCTCAAACTACTCATGGACAAAAACTTATGAAGATTATTGAAGAAAAAGGCACAACCTGTGATCCCGATGAGATTGCTAAGGAAGAACAAAATGCACTCATTCGTGAACGTAAGGAATTACAATCACGTCTCAAGTCACAAGAAAAGAAGATTGATTACTTTGAACGTGCTAAACGTGTTGAGGAAGTTCCATTAATTAAAGATTACTTGAAAGAAATGGCAGTAAAGGAGGAAGTTTTCTGGGATAATCAAGAAAAAACAAGAATTGAAAATGCAATTGCTGAAAGAAAGAATGCATTACAGCAACAAGAACGATTAAAGAGAATGCATTTTGATCGTGATGCATACATGGATCAATTAAAGGCAGAACGTAAGACATTGCATGTTGAAAAACTTGCTAAATTCAATGAAATGCTAGAGGTTGAAAAGAAGAAGCGATTAGCACAGCGTGTTGTTGAGAGACGTAAGGAACGACGTGACAAATGGCTTGCTGAAAAGGAAGCTGAAAGACAACGCAAATTGGATGAAATTCGTCGTGAAGAAGAAGAAAGAATGAAGATTGAACGTGAGAAACGCGACAAGGAACGTGCTGAACTTGAAGAGAAATTAAAGAAACAAAGTGAAATCCAAAAACAACGAGATTTGGAAATGGAAGAAAAGGCTAGAGCACGTAGAGAACAAGATCGCGATACACCACGCGACAGACCAGAAGCTTCAAAACCAACTGCATGGCGCGGAACTGGCGAATCTCGTGAAACCAGAGATACAAGAGATACACGCGAAACAAGGGAACCGCGAGAAGCTAGAGAAACTAGAGATACACGGGACACACGTGAAGATCAAGCACCAAAAGATAATATTTGGCGTTCAAGAACAGTCAATGAAGGTGAATCTAAGGTTCAAGATCCACCAAATAGATGGAAACGCGACGAACAAAAGCCAAGAGATGATACTAGAAGAACTGATGATACCAGAAGAACTGAAGATAGACGAACTGATGATAGACGTGAAGAACGTAGAGGTGATGATAGACGTGATGGTGGAAATTGGCGAACAACTGGAGAATCAGGCTGGCGAACAGGACGAGATACACGCGATAATAAAGAATCTTCAGGAGATTCAGGTTGGCGTTCAACAGGACGTGATTCACGAGATAATAAGGAAAATTCAGGCGGTAGTACTTGGCGTACAGTTGGTGAATCTAGAGATCGTGACAACAAGGATAGACCAGAAAGAAATGAAGGAGTTCGTAGAGACAGAAATGAAGGTTCAGATTTTCGTCGTGGCGGAGATAGAGATAATGATAATAGACGCACAGGAGATAATGATAATAGACGTACAGGAGGTGATGATAATAGACGTACAGGAGGTGATGATCGTCGTGCAGGAGATAGAGATAACAGACGTGGAAATGATCGCGGTGGATTTAAGAAAAATGATAGCAGACAGGACAATAAGCCAAAAGATGATTCAACATCTTGGAGAAGTGGAAATTAAATTCGCAAATTTAAACTTTTTTGATTTTTTTAAGGTAATCTTAGTTCTTATAAAGTTCCGCACAATTTGATAACAACAAACCTTTATTCTTCTATACAGGCATAACATTTTCGTCGTGGTTTTCTTCTTTCAAAGTTCCAAAATTTTAGTTCACATGATGATGATGATGATGAATATTGATGATTTTAAGGTAAAAAATAGTTAATTATAGTTCAACGTAATTTTTTCTACAAAATTTCAAATAATAATAAAAACTGAAAGTGACATTGACTGTTTTGTGTGGGTTGGAAGCAGCACTTAGGCAATGAAATGCAACCAAGAAAGCCTCTTCCGAAAAAAACAATGCAATTAATGAAGAAAATTAGCCAACAATCAATTTTATAATAAATAATCACATGCCACTACATTATTGGAGCTGCCTTTCTGGCTCTTTATTAAAAATAACACAATTATGTAATAATGGAAAAAAAAGAAAAGAAAAGAAATAGCATTCGTACATATATGGCGAAAATTAATATTCGATAAAATATATAATTCAATTCGTAAACACTTTTAGTAGATTTATATTAGGTAATGCAATTATGTTACAGACTATGAATAATTTTCATTAATTTTTTTTGTGGGTTCTGTTTCTGCCTGCTACCTACCTATCTATCTATCGTTTTCTGTTGACATAAAGAATAAATTAAAATTAAACTAAATTAATAATATTGTTCTGGATGTTTCTTAGCATAATTTCTAGCATCCTTTTTGCATTGTATCTGAAAGAATCGCTAAAATACAGAAATAAATGAAACTCTTTGCATAATCCTTAAAAATGTGAATTTTTGCATGCTATGGCTATATGTTAAATATTTAAATGCTTATATGACAATTTTAGATATTTTGTATTTAGTGCACTAGCTGGAACTGGATCAGGCGAATGAGATAAATTTTATTCAAGTATGCAAACTTATAGCACATACAATTTTGTCAGATATTTTCAGGGGATGTGCTATCTTGAGCTGAATTGGTTTTTCTTTGAATCTTGGAAGTTTTAATGATTTCAAAATAACGGTTTTGAGAGATTTTAAAACCATACAAATTTTTTAAACTGATTCAAAACCACACAAGCGAGTGCTTCAAAACCTTACAAATGTTTATTTTGATGAATGAAACCATACAAATTATTTGCAAACATTTAAATGGTTTCAAAACTTTCTAAAAATAGAAAGTCTACCAATTTGAATACAGGGGGTCCTCGATTAAAGTAGATCGATATAAAAAACAACGGTTTTAAAAAATTCAAATTTCAAAACCTTACAAATTGTTCGGTTGAAATAACATTCATAAGGTTCTCATATTTTTGATTTGTTGAAAAAACATATTTTTTGTGAATTTCTATTAAAATCACATATGAATATGCTTTAAATAAATTAAGTTATCTAAAACACAAAAGAAAAGTTAAGAAACGAGGTAAAATGTGCAAAAAATTATAAAAATTTTCATTGTTTTGATACATTTTTTGGACTCTGGAACAAAACATGTGATTTTGTATGGATTCCTTGCCTCGATTTGAATAGATTCGATTTGAGTAGAAAATTTTCGGAACAAAATAACCACTCAAATCGAGGACCCCCAGTAATAGATTGCATCGTTGCATTGTCCTCACCTAGGATACATTGTTATAAAAGATATAGGCGAAACCAGTTAAATATGCAATTAAAATTGCACAATTTTTATAAACACAGCATTCCTGTCAAGACCAAATTGTTAGTAAGGCAGTAGTATCATATCGATGTAAAGCCAAACAGCACACAATGAGAGTGAAAATTATTAGTTCAAGTTCGAGTGCTCGGAAGCATGAAAGAAAAACGATAGAGAGAAGAAATAAACAAAAACATTGCTTATTATTACGCTAATATGCAGCAATCAGGTTTCAATATTTATTTTTTTTTTATTGCTCGGTCAATTCCCTTACATTTGTTTTGTCTTGACTACAATTAACAGCACAAATATTCGATATCTCCAAATGACCATGCAAGAAACGAAATAGCAAGCGTATGGAAATAGATCATTACCACACGTTTAGGCGAAACAAATCATGAGGAATTCGTTAATAGACATACAAGAGTGAGTGAGCTTTAAACCTGCAACATTTACGTTTATGTGTCGTTAAAGGCGGAAAATAAATTAAACAAGTGCTTATAACCAACTCAATTGCATTATTTATTTTATTACTGAAATACCATTTATGAAATAAAATAAAAATATAAAATTAAAAAATCAGTTCAGTATGGCAGTAGAAATGACATTGATATGGTATTCAATCATGAGGAGGATATATATGTAGACTGGGAAATGAACAGGAAACTCTAATAAAATTAATATTATTTGGCAGTAAATTTCAACATGAGAATTGTTATCTCTTAATAATTAACAGTTCTAGTCAGTTGTTCCTTATCCGCTATAGCTCACTGAATAAGATCCTGTATTAATGTCGATATTGGATGCTGGATGTCCTTGGAAAATGTCATGTTGGGCTGAATTGTAGTTATTCCTTGGTTGATAATAGTTCTGTTGAGGTGCTTGATAGTAATTTGATTGAGGTGCTTGATAGTAGTTTTGTTGGGGTGCTTGATAGGTTTGTTGTTGAGGTGCTTGATACGATTGCTGTTGTGATTGGAAATAGTTATGAGTTGGTGATGAGAATTTACTTTGGAAGACTGGTCTTTGAGTTTGTGGAGCTTCATAGACTGGAGCTGGTGTTGTTTGATAATTATTATAGTTATAATTTTGTGCAGGTGCTGGTGCAGGTTTGAATTGCTTAAATTGGGTTGCTGCCTTGCTTGGTTTAGAGTTATAACGTGAGTCTAGGTAGACATTTGGATCTTCACGGTATTGTCCATCATCAATTTCGCCGTTCTTTAATGCTGGATATTGTGAATCGCGATCATTATGGATAGTTGCTGGTGGGACATTGATGTCGGTTCCAGTTGGGGCGAATCCATTTCTGTCAGCTCCGTATGAAATTTCACGCACATTTCCGTCAGAATCGACGTATCCGTATTTACCCTTTACTTCACCTGTTGCTGATTTTGTTTCAATTTTGAAACTACCTGTTATGCAGGAATAGCAATGATGAATTAGCAAATAAAGTTTATAACAAGTAAATTTAATTTAATTATGAACATGCATGCAAATTTCCGGATTAATTATTCATAATTCAACATGTTGAATCTAATTATTCATTAGAACACACTTGAACTGGTTAATAAGACATATAGAGAATTGCCTTTTTAAAGATAATGGCCTTAAAATAGTTTAACTATCCAAAAATGCGTTGAAATTTGAAGAATTTTTGAATTACATGCTTAAATGCGCTGGATGTTACTCGCAGTGTGAATGGAAATTTGCTTTAACTTTTAAAGCATGTAAATTCATGGCTAAGCATCAAATGGCTTCAAATTTGGAAGAATTAAGTTACATTATGATTTTTTGTTCTAAATCATATTCAAATATATTTTGGCAGTTGGTCGAAGGAGTTTATCAAACTACAACTTTTAAAAACTTATTAAACACTTATTTAAATCCAATTAATTACCATCAGCTGCTTCATAACCATAACTATAAGATCCATCCTCATTATGACGATTAATCTGCTTTAAAATTGGCACTGGCGTTGTATTTTGTTTTTGGGCAAAACAAGTGCATGCCAAACAAAGGAAAACGGCAATCTAGAGCGACAAATTGAATTCACACATTAGTTCTTTTCATTTCACTGAATTCTTATTTGGTTTGGAATCAACTGATTTAGTCGCATAATCTTACCGATAATTTCAACATTTTGATTTTTATTGTCTCTTTTTATTTAATTCAATTAAATTAATTTTCGCACTTTAAATCCACAAAAAGTATTCACAAACCGAAATTATTTCTTCTTACTGAACTGGAAGTTTTCTATAAAGCAACTGACTAGCATAAAACCAAAAGCAATATTAAGCTTTTTCAACTCAAACTCGCGAGTTTTATAAAGTTTTGCAATCGGTTAATATTTTTTTCTTCTCTTTCATTTAACTCTATAGTTTTGGCTTGTACGTTGTTTGTTGTGACTTTACCCATACATTTTTTTTTCGCTCAATAGAAACTCATGTCTATAGCTCAAATGTTTAGGTACAATTTGAAAAGCGGGTTCATATTTCTCAACATTTTTTTTTGCTTTTTTCGTATTTTATTATTTGTTGAATGGAAAAGCATATCAGCGACGTAATTTTCTTTAGAAGAAAGTCATGGCTCGTGGTAGTTGATATCATTTTTCATTAATAGTCACACACGCTTGCATGGCCGTAATTTTTATTTTAAAAAGTTAAGAAATTATCAAATATCGTCTCATAAGACTCAGATCAAGTTTTTTTTTTTCATCTCTTTTGAAACATCAGCTGTCAAACTGCATGGATATTGCGTAGAGAAGAAATGTCACTTGCTACTTGAAATATTGATCATCTCTAAACTTGGTCATTCAATCATATATCCATAGTTGCACATACATGACATTAAAATGCAATTAATGATTATTGCTCTCGTTGTTGAGCTTTCTTGTCAATGGTGATGGCTTAAAGAAGAAATCAAAAGTATTATAGAAGTTGCAGTCCTCTGTTTTATGTCTGTGATAGACGCGCATTTGCCTTAATTCTTTTAAATACTTCCAATATTCAAAATTAACGGTTGTTCAGGTTTTTCTAAATTTTAAACTTGAAAACCTTTCAATTGTTCTTTGTGTGCTTTAACATTTGTATGGCTCTTGTGTGAATATTCTTGTAATGACTTTACAAATTTCAAACTTGAAAACTTACAAATTTTACCGGTTCGAAAAACATTTGTAGGTTTCACATGTCAATCTAGCACTTTAAAGCATAAAACACATTCCTTAAGCTTCTATCTTCAAGATATCATACATCAACCAACCAGCCAACCGTAACAGACATTTAATCCCTTTGGTCTACAAAAAATGATCTGTAAAATTCATCTTAATTGAAGGCTGACTATACGAAAACGACACAAGTGCGACAAGAAGAAGGAAAGAAAGAAAAATATAAAAATATTTCAAGAGCAAGATATCCATAGTGATGTTTATGCTCTACATACTTACAATCAGTCTTCATAATTGCCGATCACTTAAAAATCAAGTTCATTAAAGTAACAATGTGAAGAGACAGAGAAAGAGAGAATGAGTTCATGCAGACGGATTAAATATTTATTATTGCATGTGTTTGTCGTTGTTTGTCAGGAATTGATCTTATTATCCACCAAGTGTTAATACATATATTATAAGTCGAATTGAGAGAAGGAATGCAAAGTATTTAGACTTACACAACTCACAACTTTACTTCAATTTTATATTGATCTTGAAAGTTTCTTTACAGACAAACCAGAAGTCCTTGAGAGCAAATAAAAATAAAGCAAACATGTATAACTAATTACTTCTTTCCTATACTCTATAATACACACTTATTAAAATTCATTATAATTCTAGATACTTTAAGAAAATTCTAATTTCCTTTCTGCTTCTTTATGCCTCATTCCATGACATCTACCTCACTTTACTTACGTAAGGCTGACAAACTCGTTTTCCTCTCCTTACCTCATTTATTTTGCATCTTGCTACAATGAAATCATGCGAATTTATTAGAGCACCTTATAGAGATTCCTAAAACTACCTGAAATAACTCTCCTTCTCTCATGATGTCATTTATAATGTGTTTTATATTAAAAAGCGTTATTGGATGTTTTGTGAGTTTAGAAACATTTTTTTTTATTTCTCAACAGCCCATCGCGTAAAGTCATAAAAGTATATTTTTTGCATTTGCTTACATACAAAAAATAATGTTAAAGATATATTCACAAAAATTGAAAATTTGTGTGAATATGAAAAAAAGCTTTTTATGATACATTTTGAAAAATGATGTTGCTAATTTTAGAAATTTCATGTATTCAATAAAATATTAAGGTTGATTGAAATCGGTCAATTTGTAAATTGATATATTTAACCACGTTAATTTCGTTAGAAACATAATTGTCAAGATTCTTTCATCATTCATGATATTTTATTGAATGAGTAACGAAAGGTTTTAATTACTTTAAATTATCTCCAAATTTTAACATTTGCATAGTTTCAACGGCTGTTTTTTGAATTTATTAACATTTGTTTGGTTTTAACGGTTAAAATTAAAATTTTTGAACCATTTTTAAGGATTTTAACGCCTAAAATTTCAATTCTAAAACATTTGCATGGTTTTAACATTTAAAATTCAAAAGTTTGAATAGTTTTAAAACAATTTAAATTTCAAAAAGCGTTAAAATTTTAAAATATTTCAAATCCTCACAAATGAAGAACTTAATCAATTTATATAATTTTGCATAACTGTACAGACAACTTCAACTTTTTTTTAAATACCTAATAATTTTCAACATCAAGTTCTGATTGAATACATAAAAGCAATAATATCATTAAAGTATATAATCCTAATTATACAGCTAAATGCAATATGCTTTAGATATTTTTTTTTATCTTTCTTGAATTTTTTTACATCGATTCTATCGTTAAAATACTACTTATAGATTTTTTTTAATAATCATAATAAATTCAGTTGTTGAAAGATTGTATTAAATTATTAAAGATGATGATAAGAATATACAAAATATGCAGCAATAATAATAATAGTAATAATTATAATAATTTTTCAATATCACAATAATAAAAAGACTTATAGTTTTAAGAATTTGAGCAATGCATCATAAATAAGTTGTGGATTAATGTTTGAATCAGCTGTGTAACGAACACCAAAGATTGGACTTCCATCTGTGTTACTAAGATATCCATACTCACTGTAAAGATGCAAAAAAAAGTGGGCATGAAAATTGTTTACATGTATGAAAGTAAGCATAAATACCCGACAATAAATCCATCATCTGTTTTCTCTTCCACTTTGTATTTGCGAAAATCTCTTCCTTCAAATACAACTCCAAATTTGGAATCATCATGCGTAACATGCAATGGTGTGGGGATCTTATGATGACTTTCAGTCTTCTCATCGACATTCACGATTACTTTCGGTGTCGTTGTTTGAATTCCATGTGCTCGTCCATTTGTCATAACTGACACTGACTCATCGACTTCATAATTTTGCTCAGGCATTGGAGTTGATTGATAGTGGCCCGTATGATTTGGTGTTGGACTCTTTTGTATGAATTGCTGGAAGTGCTGATAATTTGTTATTGTATCATTAAACTTTTGCTGATGATTAATGTGAATCTGTGTCTGCTTAATCGTCTCGGGAGGTTTTTCCGTCAGCGGTGCATTAAGAATGTCATATGGAACTTTTAAAAGATCATTAAATATCGGCTTTTTCAGACTACTGCTATTTGATGTGCCAGTCGCTGTTGGGATAATTGATGGAGCTACCAATGGGGCATTAACTTTTATATTCTCATTCCTTACAGTTAGAAGTGAGTAATTCCAATCCTTACTTATTGGTTGACTTTGTTGCTGTTGCTGCACATGAGCACTATCATCGTTTACAGTTACGTCTGATTTAAAGACATTTCCTTGATTCTCAATGATTGGAATATTTTGATTAATCTCCATGTCTGTATCTTTATTGCCATCAATTACAATGTCTGACATATCCTCTGCAACTACACTTGATATATTGTTACTGTTACTGCTGCTGCTATAAGGCTGATGATTTTGTTGCACCAACGAATCGTTGAAACTTGATTTTGGAGCAACATTTGAGCTGCCAACATTCCAACTTTTAATAGCACTAAACGACACTGAATGTCCGACATTGACTCCTCCAGAATTTTCACAGTCATGGCAGATGATGGCTTTGAAAGGACCCTGAAAAATTTAAATTGAAAATATTCATTACATATTTTTCTCCATCTCCATCTCCTCCCATGCTCCACATTTAAGCATATTAATTTCAATATTATATGGTCTGTGTATAAAATGTATGCATACCGAGGGTCCATTAGATGTACTGACAGTTGCAGAAGGCGATGAAAATAGGAGCTTTGAAAATTTGTTACTATTATCATTACTATTATTATTATCTAAATTCGGCACTTGTAGCTGAGTTATGTTTGGCTTATAATTCATATCATCAATAATTGTCATCACTTCCGTTAAGTTCTTTTGTGTAATTACTTTGCTATTATCACTAGGTTTGATTTTTGCCGACTCGAAATTCTCATGTAATAAGGCGTCAGCTGCTATTGATCCCGTTGAGTAATCGTCTTCATCGTCACGTTTATGATTAGATGTATAGTAATTACTCTCCGATAATTCCATCACTTCTGATTTTTTTATTGTTCTGACTGAATCATCGACATCGTCAGTAAGTGGCAAATCGTGTACCTCATTTGCACGTTGCGACGATGATGGATAATAATAAGATTTGAGTTCTTGCTCCTCATAATTATTATTATTTTTAATAATTGTATTTTGTTTCAATGGCAATAGACTAGCTTGGTATATACATGATATCTGCAATAATGTAACAAAGTATAAACTTATTAAATTTATTTTTAATGCAACGCATTTCTTATGGCAGCAATAAAAAGGGTGCGAATGCAAGTTTCTAAACTGCAATTAAAACTGACTGTTGCCGAGTGTTGAAAAAAAAAGTTCTTTCCATTAATTTCCTCAAGGAAAAATTTATAGTCTTGCTAATGAGATCGTTTGTGAGGCTTTATGTTATGTGATTGGTTGCAAAATTGGAGTCAGCCAAAAATTCATTTCTTGACCCACTTTTGACCTTATTTTAAGTGCCTCCTTCCCCCTTTAAAATTGGACATCATTTAAAAAATACTTTAAATCCACTCAACCTTGATAATTGGACAGCATTTGTGAACTACATTATAATTTATTCTCAGACTTTAAAATGTTAAATTTTTAACGGCATTTTAATATTCAAATGAATCATTTTGCACACTCTCTGAAAATTCAAATTACTTTTATCCGTTAATCATTAAAATTTTATTATTTCTACTTAACAGTGAAATAAATCATCAGCATGTGTTCTAAGGCTCGTTAATTTAATGACTAAATTTCTCCAGCAATAAAAAAAATAAGTAATAGATTTTTATTGTTCACTCATTAATCCATAAGATCGTAAAATTCAAGTCCAGAATGTACGATACGAAACCTACCTCAATTTTAATTCAAGAATCACCGAGAACGATGGACACCATATGAAAAAAATATTTTGTTTACTTCCAAAACCGCACATACTTCAATTAAGGAACATAATTTTAAAAATCAGATATGGTAATTATATGTACGGCTTACAGAAAATGTATCAAAGGAGATATGAATTAACAAGCTATTTTTTTCGGCAACAACGTCAGAATCAACAAGTTCGTAGACATTCTCTTGAGGTTTCCAACTTGTTTGGTGAGTGCGAAGTTGGTACCTTAGTGATTGACTACTATATAGTCTCAATTTAAATATAGAATTCATTATGTACATTCATGTCGTCGCCGTTATTATTGCCTAAGGATCACATGTGAATATTATTTAAATTATTATTTGTACTTTAATTTCACTGTCGTTTATCTGGTTTTAATTACAGTCATTGATTGATAAAAAAAAAAGTCTCTGTGTCTTTATTGTTGCCATGTCTCGATCTGCACATGCAGCTTTATACAAACTACTTACAAAGATGATGCAACTAATTAGTTGTAAGCTCAACATTTTCTTTATTATTACTATTTCTCTGATGTGTAAATATGTATCCGGAATCAATTTCAATGCTCCTCTCCTGTTTGCTTGTCTGCTTGCTTCTTTTATTCAATTATTATTTTTTGATATTATATTAATTTTGTATTTAGATCGTTTTATAGATTTCAAAAATCTCTTCATAACACAATATTTTCACTGCTTTAACTGGCTGCTTGTGCATCGTGCAAATTGTTCGTATTCAAATATTTTGCTTCTTCTTGCTTACAATGATCACAATATGAATTATATTTTTATTGAAGTCTAATATTTTTTGTTGCTTGTAATAATAAATTATTTAATTTTTCAGTAGCATTTCAATTTCATAATTAATTACTATTTCGCTCTAGTATTGGCTACACGGTTCACCACCGATATATAGAGCTATTATAAATTAATATTTCTCTCGCTTTACTTTTTTTTTTCTTATTTCAATTCCAATTTAATAAATAAATGAAATCTCCTAAGTAACTATCGTAGCCTTGAAAAGAATCGTCGAATTAATATAAAAATCATATGGAATTTTTTCTCTCAACAGCATTATGAATGTAACGAAATATGCTTTCTTTCTTCTTTTGACTGATATTGCATAATTCTTTCCCTTTCTTGTTGGCTCTGTTCTTTTCACTTTGTGCTGTGTACTGTATGCTGCTGCTACCTTTCTAAAGACTCACTCGTTGACTACTCAAAAAATTTGCAATATCATAAATATATGATCAAACATTTTCTTTCTCGCTGTCCCGTCTCTCGTCTTAGTCGTTGTCCGTCGTTGTCGTTATTGGATCACGTTTTAAACTTGTGAATTAAAAACTTTTATAACTTAATTCTACACTCGCAAAGAAAATTCAACTTCTATTTCGAAAGTGTTCACTTGAACTAAATAAAAATGTGTTTCTCGCAGGAAGGACTCACTGAAAAGCTCCGATACCTAACACGATCACCAGTAGAATGCAAGTGAAAAATTAAATCGTTACAAGCCTATGTTTCTTCTGTTTCTCTGTCTTAACGTTTTTTTTTATGCTTGTGTATACAACTCAACAGAAAAGCAGCTCTGAGAGAGCAGAAAAAAAGTTTGCTGAATAAAAATGTATGGCAAATATTCAATAAAAAGCGTATTTTTGTCATATTCGCATTGTCATTTTATTTCGTCAACCAAATTACCGTTAAAATTTTATTTAAGTTTTTCAATTTTTTAAAACAATTTCATAAAATTCAAATTTATGTTGTCAGTTAAATTCTTGATCCAACTTGTTCCTGACGTGTGAATATATTAACACCGTTTCTAGCCACTTCTTAGGTGGCTTAATGTTCCAATGTGTAAATCTGTAGACAATAATGTATGTTGTATTGAACATGCGTTTCTCAATATAATGAAAATTGAAGTTATGGATCTACTCAATCGGTTGTTTTTCTCTGTATTTTTTATTACAATTACATTCGTAATTGAAACATTTTTGTTTGATTCTTTAATCAGCTGCTGTTGCTGAAAGCATGTTACATAAAAAATTATATTTTTCTATAGATATTTATTTATTCTCCAATCAGTCGTTAATGGGAATTAGATGTATGTATTTCACTAAATATCAAATTAATTTCTTCAACGATTTGTTACTCTTAACACCTCTAATGGCTATTTATTATTGCATTATAATAGATTTTGATTTTATTTTAACATTTAACTAGCCAAGAACGCCTTCGTTCTCATTTAATATTTCTTTTATAATGAAAAAAAAAAATGATAATTTTGCATTGGCACCAATTAAATCGAAGTCTTTATTGTCAATAAAAAAATTTCAGACTAGACTTTTTAATTGCATTAATATTTATTTCTCACAGAATATTCTCACAAGCACTCAAGTCTTCAGTTATCTTTTATTTCATCTCATTCTGAAGTTATCATCATCATCATGCATATCCCTTGTAAGATTTGTAAGATGTAAAGGCGTCGAGACCGTATACTATGGAGATAATGAACCCTAAGTACTAAAAATAGAATACCATGCATTAAGTAAATAAAGATTGTCTGCTTTAATATCCTATATACAATTTAAAGAATCGTATAAACACATAAACATGTGGGGTAGACACTAAATTCTCGACGGAATGAATGCCTTTCCTTATTTCTTTGACACATTTTCTATATAATAAAATATTGTGCATTCTAATGCCTGAGCTTCTTAGAACGGATGCAATGAGGTCATATTAAGATATATGATCTGCTTGCTCAGTGTCCTCAATATTCTGGAATTTCAACATCATCATGCATTCATAGTTTGCGGAATTTATTGCAAGTTTTTTGCTTAGTGATCGAATTTCGCAAAAAAAATGTCATTAAGAGTTTCCTGCTTCCTCAATATATTGAATATTCACAAGAGCTTAACTTTTTCTGCTATAAATGTTCAATATTTCTTTCGATTGTTGCCAACAGAACCTTTCAAAAGTGCCTGTTATTAATTCTAAAGCACTTCACGCCTTCCCAAGTAAATTATGACATAGAAAATGCGCCGTCATTATTTACACCCTACAAATTCTTCACCTCTTCATTCCATTAATCATTCTAAGAGGGCGAATGAGTTGGGAATTATATGAAAATTAATGCTGACTGGATTGACTTTTATTTTTGGAAAAATTAATAAATTCAGTTAAAATTTTGTACCTCTTTCAAAGTTTAATTGCTGCTTTTAGTTGATTAATGACAACTTGTCTATGAATTGTCAATTAAAACTTTCAAAATTTTGATTCAAGTTTAACTGTTTTAGAGTAAGAACATTACAATCCAACTAGGAAAGCATAATTTACACACAATTATCAATCTATTCGCCCCTCGAATCATTCACACGAATTAAGAATTATATGTTCACCCCACGATATATTTTATTTAAATTATAACTTACATATACACAAATCATCGCCGGATATGCAGTATCGGCAGAAGAGGAAACAAATCGTGGATATAGAAAAACGTTCGTCGCAAAAGCAACATATGAGCTAGAAAAAAATAATGTAATTAAGCTAAAATCAAAATCGGTAAAATAGTGATGTGTCGTATGAAGTTGTCATAAACATACCTAGCACTGATATACAAACAACATGCAACTGCATTAAATAGAACTTCCTGTAAAAATGAAGGAAGGATAAACACGATTGAACATGAAATAGTAATTATCTAAATAGGTCACATACAAATATCGATTGTCTAATCAGTCCATAAGTTCTAGCACTAAAGATATATGAGACGAGGAGAATGAATGTCGTGGTAAGACATGCAGAAACTGTTGAATGAAAACTATAAAATGCTTCTCCTAGAAAATAAGATTTTTTTTTTATGGAACAAAATGTGAATTAAATGCAATTCCTAAATGATATTATGAAATAATCATACGAACCCATTTCTGTTGCTGCAGGCATTCCAAACCGTATTAGTAGTGTCTCAGAGCAACTTCCTAGAAATAAAATTAATTTTGCACTGTCATAAAGGCATACTTCAATCATAATTCTTGACTATACCTAGCAATAACTCAAATATTTTTAAAAGCCCACATTTTGTTGTGAGAAACTCTAAATGAAGACCTAAAAAATAAAATAAATTGGATGATAATGTCGTGACTGATGACGACGAAAAAAATGTCGCAAAAAATTTTATTTTTACTCACAAGTGCACACTCGACAGCATCCAATTTTAATTCCATTCCTGGTCTCTCGTCTGGCATGTGCTGTCGGAAGATGACTAACGGTCGGCATTTCCTATAACTGTTGTCTTTTGATATCGTAATAATATGAAATTTAAATAAATAAATAAATATTTTGGTGGAAAAATAAATTTTCTTTTGTGACTTCCTCACGTTCTAAAATGAAAATGCGAGATTTTTCATCTCAATATTTTCGTTACTTTCTCCTTTACATGAGTGTCAAAAAAAATTTTCTTTTCATCTTCTTTTTTTTTCTTCATGATCGCATACTGTACACACATAGCTCACTCTCATTATCTTCTCAATTTTTCCAAAGATCCTCTCTTCATTCAAAAACTGCACATTACATCTTCATTTCATTATTCTTCATCGATTGCTCCATACCTATACACAAAATCATCTTCGTGATCATCACACGTTCTGAAATTCCACATTACATAAAAAGTAAATTCAAGAGAAGAAATTTGTTGAGCGCGACTGAGCATAAATAAACTTCAATCTATGTATTAAACACATCAATCAACATAAGCACGCATAGCTCACGTTTCTTTATGTATGTACATATCTAAAGAAAAGCGGAAAAACATTCAACAATCTGCGCGCGATTTGATTATTGATTTTTTATTGCTGGTTACTTTTCTTTCCTTTGTCCATTCATGACTTTTGGTTTGTTTGTTGTGTTTTTTAAGCTTCTTTTTCGTGTTCGATGGGTTGTAGGGTCTTTTTTTTGTTATGCAGTTATCGTGATTGTATTTCAAGGATTTATTGGTGATTAAATGATAATTTGTTTGGTCAAGATTCTTATGAATATAATGAAGAATACAGTCATTGGAAGTGAATTTTGCTGTTTATTTCCTATTTAAATAAATTTCATGCATTAAAAAGTGTTTGAAAACCGTATAAATGTTTATAATTTATGCAACATTTATAATGTTTTGAAATTCAAATTTTAGAAATCAGTTTATAATTTTAATACTTTAAAACTCAATAAATCATTTAAAGAAGCAAGAAGTTTAATAAGCACAGCAATTATAAATCAAAAATTCGACCCAAAAATTGTTTGAGCAAATAATTCAAATGTTTAATTTTCTTAAATTCCTCTTGAATAACTTAACGCAAATTAAAGCAAAAGCAACAAAACTGCGTCAATTACTTCAACCCACGAACTCAGTCATTCTCTGCTGGATTTATGTGTCTGAATGTTATCACAATATCGCAATTACGGTAGCTAGTCTCGCAATAAAAATTTCCCAAGCTACAAAACTGGTAATATGAATCAAACGTTCGATGAAGTGGTCACCATTTTTCCCACATGCTATCGACTAATCAAGCACGAAATGCGTTGTGGAAAATTCTCTCTTTTTCCCTTCAGTCGTTTAGTGACCATCGATGGAAAAACATTGAAAATCTAAAAGTGGGAAAATTATATCCGATTTTATGTTAAATTTTGCTCAAAAGTGCACAAAAATTACGTTAGTAAGGAGTCGAATAAAGGATATCTAATTATCCGCAAGTGATTGTGCTGTGCTGAAATTAATTTAGAATACAATAAAATTGTTAAGAATAAAAAGTGAAAGTAATTTAATTTGGGAAATAAAGGAAAAATTATAGCGTGTCACGCGCTGATGGATAGAAAATATCAATTTGTGTATAGGAAGAAAGGAATAAAGGAAAATAGACAGTAAATCGAAAAAGAAGTGAATAAATAAAAGAGCAATCGATTTTAATTATATCTATTGTAAATATATCCATTCATACTTAACATTATTAAATATATAAAGAATAAATTAGAATGAAAAGTGCTGTGGTGCGTACATGAGGGGATAAATACATCCTACAAAATATACCTTTTAATTCCTTCAGCATTCTACAAATATGGTTAATCGACCTGACAGTTCATCAACACGATCCACAAGCTCATCGAAATCAATGAGTAAGAATTTCAATAAAAATTCAGGTACAAGTCATGCAGGATATTTTGTGCGATCAAAAAGTGGAAATGATTATCCAGGAACGGGACAGAATAAGCTGAGAAATTCTTCGTCACTGCAAAGTATCACAAAGTCAGGTGATAAAGGAAATCGCAATGGATTAAAAAAATATAAATCAAATAGCAGGTAAGCTGGTGCTTTGTTGTCTAATTCATCAACATTGAAAAAAAGGAAAACATTTCGTGTCACATACGTTGAATATATTACGGCCTTATGATATCACAAATACGAAACAGAAATAATTTCATAAATTATTCCATCAACTTATAGATCGTTGTTGCTCATTTACTTATGCATGACATCATGACAACTCTTTCACTTTCTCACTATTTTTTATTGATTTACATTTTTCGGATAAGCAGAGTTGCTAGCTTACAAGGCTAGCTTTTGGCAAGCAAAGTCAATGTCTAGGCACAGAAAATTAACTTTCTGTTTTTAAGAAGAGTTGCTTTGTGGCATGAAAATCTTAGGAACATTTAAGGGAGGATTAATCATGATCTAGATTACCCGACACTCATCTCGAGCTTCCTTTACTTAGACAAACATGTAGTCAAGACATGATCGAGTCAACACCAGCATAAATCAATCTAATTCTGCTCTAATTTTACAACTCTTTCAGACCACATCAAATTTTATTGTATATAAATCTACCGATCTTATCTCCCATATTAAACCAAAATTACACGGAATATTAGGAGAATATGGAATGTAAATAAAGAATGGATAAATCAAATTTCCCCAAAGTGGTCTGAAGGTTATACATAAGTGGTAAATTGATGGAAAATTGCTTTCAAAATAATGAAAAATAAAAATCGCACGAAAATGAAAGTCACGACTATTTATGTAAATTAGTGAATGTCCGACTTCTATTTATACCATTCCTTAGACGCCATAATCTTATTTGCATTGCATTGCTTGGTAATTAAAGAGTCGTAATTCTGTAATGTAAGCATGCCGACTGCCAATGACCTGTGGTGTAGGTGGCTGGGATAAAATAAATTTTGAGCTTTTTAAAGGCACAGAGTCATGATGAATTAGCTTTTGATAGGACATTTCATGCAAGCTCAATTAGAGACACATTTGAAGGTCGTGGTCAACGTTAATCATATTAATCTCTGACCATTATATCGAATTACGAAAATAATATGTATTTCTTGATTAATTTATTAATGACATAATTAGTATGGATTCAACGGATTATATCGCAAAGTCTTCAGGAAGCTCGACACCTCTTGAGGACAATATCAATGTCGTTGTGAGAGTTCGTCCGCTAAATGACAGGGAACATAAGGCAAGAGATGTGTCAATCACCCAATTTCCAGGAAATGGACAACTTTTAGTAAGTTTACATCAATTACACAGTATTATCATTTGTTATAGCATTGTTGTTACATTAATCGATTCAGTGTGAAGGGCAAAGTGACACGAACAAGGCAAAATTGTTTTCCTACAACGTTGTTTTCGAGCCAGGAGCAACCCAAGAGGTAATATTTATTATTTATTTAAAATTATAAATTACCTAATGTTAATATGAGAAATTGCTGCTTTGTTCTATACCAAGCTAGCTGCTACAATCAAATTCTAATAGTATTAATAAATTATTTAAAATATTGTAGGACATTCTACATTACAGTGGAACCAAACGTTTAATCGAAATGGGTTAGTTTTATTTCAATTTACTTATGTGATGATTAATGACGCATTATCTTAGCTCTAGAATTCTTAAAAGACACATCAAGTTTTATTTTTGCTCCCCTCATATCAATCCAAGGAGCTCTGTCAATTTCATTATGGACAGCTACATATTCAAATATATTTCTTATAGCTTGTAATTATAACTCCATTTATTTCGACCTTATTTTTTTTTGATTGTCAATATTAATGCATGTAGCTTATTAAATATTAAGGAATGTCCTTCTAATATACATTGTTCTTGCAAGTTTTTCAAAAAATCATTTCTGAGACCTTTTAACAAAAGAAAACTAATCACTGATTTAGAATATAGCGGAAAAATATTAAAATCTCATAAATCCAATCATAATTGAAAATGAACGATTTTCATTGATTTCAATCAAATGTAATAAAAGATTAATTTCGTGGAAAATGTTGTCTTTTCATGCGTTTTAGTCGTTAGCGCCAACAATGACTTTTTTCATTTTCTTCTTCTTTGCATTCACAGCGATTGAAGGATTTAACGCCACAGTCTTCTGTTATGGTAAATTAAAATAAAACGAAAAAGTTTTTATAATGATCTATAATTACTTATCTTTATTCTCGATTTATATTTGAATGGTAATAGGACAGACAGGCAGTGGAAAGACGCACACATTAACTGGTCCGCCAGAACTTGTAAGATTAGACATTCATCATTATAATCCTATCAATAATAATATTATTTTCCTTCCATGAAATACTCTCTTAACTTAGTTTATTGGCAAAAAGCATGATTTAAATCATAAAGGTCATGGCCTTATATTTCGGTCATTTTTCTACTTATTCCAACTCCTTCAACAGCGACAAGAGAACACACAGTTCATATTGAAGGCATCGTTTTTGGAAATCTACAACGAAAAAGTAAGTCAAAGCTCATGAATACATGGCGGGTCCTCTGTTTGAAGCGTTGTCTTATGGATGAAGATTGCTTTTATTTTGCAAACTTAACTTTTATTAAAGAAGAAATTTTTAAGTTATTAAAATCGACATTTATTCAAACCGAAGACCCCTCGTCTTTAAAAAAAGTATATCGAATTAAATATTCCATTTTGCATGAATATGCTACATACTTAATGAAATTGCATTTCGTTATGTCTATGTACAAAACAGAGGCTTATGCATGCATGCAAAAAATTCATTAAAATCACACAGTACATGATGTGTCAGTAGGTTTCAATGTTACCATTATAATTTTTATTTTGTTATCCTAGGTTATTGATCTTCTTAATCCTGGCAAGGCTCGTAGAAAGCCATTAGCTGTACGATGGTCGAAAAAATTGCGAGGTTTGTTCTTTTTCAAAGTTAAACATAAATCAAGCTAATGTGTTGTCATACACACAACACGATACCTTCACGATATGTCGTATATTAAAATTATCATTGTCTCTTTCTGTGCTTCTCACGTATAAAATTTGCATATGTTGCCCTATGTGTATAGGATTTTATGTGGAAAATTTGTTTCTGGTCGATTGCGAAGAATTGGATGACCTGCTTGCTGTGCTTGAGGAAGGAATGCGAAATCGATCAGTCGGATCGCATTTAATGAATGATCACTCGTCAAGGTCACATACTATACTAACAGGTATAAATAATAATAATACTATACCTAGCCAATTTTTTTTTTCGTTATAAATTTTTTTGCTTTCTAATTACGTTCAGCAGAAGTATTTATTATAAGTCAGTCTACATGCTTATTGTTTTACATTACTTTATTTCAATTTTAAAGTCCACATAACGTCTGAGCAGCAGGCCGAGAATGAGAAAAGCGTTTTTATAAGCAAGCAAGGCAAAATCAATTTTGTTGGTATGTAGCACTTCCATTGTTAATAAAATCAAGCGTACTTATGTTCCAATTTTTATTTCACTCCATTATATAAATCTAATTAAATATGTAGATCTTGCCGGCTCAGAAATGACGAAGAAGACACACAGTGAGGGTAAAACGCTAGAAGAAGCAAATAACATCAATAAAAGGTGATTAATTATGACACTTGTCGCAATTAAGCGGTCACAAACTTTGATTTCATTGCGTCGTTCAACTTAATGATTGGAGTCTTCCTTTTTCTTTTAAACATGTATTTGCATCCGTTAAAGTTCCATTTATTAACGATTATCAGATTTAGTTCTTGAGACTTTGAATGTTCTCAGACAATTCTTTACGCTGCTTAAAGATTCTTAATTCTTTGTCAAGGCAAGCATTTCTTCTTTTTCTTAAGCCATAGATCCATATTAAGAACGAAAAGTTTCTAGGTCTTTACTGTTTGAATCCTCAACCTTGAATGCATTTATTGGTCCAAAATTTCGTCTTTTATGCTAATTATTGGCAGGCAGAAGTCATCAAGTTTTAAATTATGAACTTCTGTGAAATTTTAAATTCAAAATTTCCCATGATTTTCTTCAGCCTAAAATCTCAATCTAATTCATAGGTCAAGGACCTTTACCTTAAAAGTAATAGATGCCTACTTTGATTTCAAATAAGTGAATGACTTCTTATATTACAGCTGTAATTTCCCTTAATAATTAATTCATGAATTCTACAACTTTTTTCTGTTTCTTCTTTATCCTTCAAGTTTGATGGTTTTAGGATATTGTATAGCATCGTTGAGTGACCATCGTAAGAAGAATGGCCACATACCATATCGAGACAGTCAATTGACGAAATTATTAGCTGACAGTTTAGCTGGGAACGGTGTTACATTGATGGTAATCAAATGTTGTTTTAATTAATCATTTTGTCAAATGCAGCACAAACAAATGTCATTTTTTCATGTTTTACGTTTTACTTGCTTATCGTTGTTGTTTTTAATGTAGATTGCATGCGTCTCCCCCGCTAAATCAAATGAGAATGAAACAATAAATACCCTCCGTTATGCGGCGCGTGCGAAGAGAATAAAAACAAAGCCGTTAATAATTATCGATCCACGAGAGGCATTAATCTTATCGCTTAAAAGAGAAGTTAACAGCCTTAAAGTTGAGAATGAGCATTTGAAATCGTTGACAGTTTTTCACATGCAAAAGCCACTTGACGCATATTCGCATACTGGTTCAAATGCTCAAATTATGTCCAATAGTGGCAGTAATGAAAACAATGACCGATCAAGTGCTGTTGTGATACCGCAGGTTGAGGTTGAGCGCTTAGCTGAACTAGAAAATAATGAATTATCGGAGCTTGTAAAGCTGTATATGACAGAAAATCGTACATTGAGACAGGAAAATAATGAGCTATTCACAGCACGCGATATATTATTAAGAGATCAAGAGGTAGTTTGTAGAGAAAATGAGAGGCTTTTAAAGAAATTAGAAGATGTTAATTCCGTCTGTTGTCGTTCACCTTTAATTCCTGCGCGACCAACAATCTCGGGTGATATTTTTAACTTTTCTAATGGCAGTGAAAATGAATTTGTTATGAATCAATCAAATATTTGGAAGAATCCAATGAACGGAAGTACTGAAAATTTAGATGGACGAATTTCATCGGCTAACAATAAGCTCACTGATTCGATACAGAAGGAAATGGACCAGATGAGAATTACTGACAGGTTAGCATATTGAAGATACACAGATATAGGGTTTGTGGAAAACAGCTGTTTTTGAAAAACAGTCTGTTTTCGGTTTTTGATTTTTAAACACAGCTGTTTTCCTGTTTTTCTAGAATTCAAAATAAACTGAGTTATCCTAAGTGTTTCTCTAAGATAATGAAAGTTTTTGATGGTTATTAGCAGTTAATTAACTCTATAAAATATAATGAAATATAAAAATTCAAAAAAAAATATTTATACTTTTAAGAAACATTGCATTGTTGTATTGCAAAAGTTCCATAAACTCTATTATTTTATTTGAAATATTCAAAAAATCTTTCTGAATAAAAAAATATCTTGTAAAATTGTTGATTATATTTTTGAACTTTAGTAAATGCTACAAAAGGTTCAACAATTTTAAAATTTCGATTGCAAAATTAATAATGATTAATCATAAATTTGACAATGATTTCAAAGCTATTAAACATCCAAAGAATATTAAAATAGTAAATATATTTCAATTTGGAATGCTAGAAAAATATATTAAGTTCTTCAAAAAATTAAGATTTTTTTTTTCTGTAAATTATATGTAAAAATGAAAAACAGAAAACAGATCTGTTTTTGAGACCTGTTTTCTGTTAACAGATTTTTGTCGAAAAACAGCTGTTTTTCTGTTTTCTGTTAACAGGTTCCGCAAACCCTACACAGATATAAGGCTTCTCATACTAAGATTATAAAAACGTCAATTTTTTGGCTAATTAGTAGCTTAGTAACGAGGAGCAGCTTATAAAGAATACAAATAATTATTTAAAATTTATGGATTTCAAAAATTTGAATTCTTTTTTAAAATAAAGCAGTCCAAAATTTCGAGTGCCTGTTAAAATAACGAATTTCAAAAATTCGAAACATTTTTTTGAAGCTTCATTTTTCGGAAAAATTCTTCATGCAATCTCATATAATTTTCAAATATTAAAAACCCGTTGATTTTATTAAGCATTTTATTTTCGATAAAAACAGGTAAAAACTAGTGTATCGGGTAGAAACCCAATGCGGATATATTCACACCGTACCATCAAAAGTCTTATGGATAGACCAAGATTTGCTCAGCATAAGTTTGAAGGGTGGTCAAAAAATAAGGCCGAGACCCATATTGACAAAAGTTATACCTAATTCATGCTATAATTATGTCAGCTACAAAACACTTAGTTTGAATTTTGTCACCCTCGGGAACACTATGAACCAGTATAGCTGATTTTGGTCCAAATCTCGGCCATACTTCACACTTATTTGAACCACATTTTCTCGTAAATGTTAAAATATTATTAAAAAGTAATTAATCCTGAATTATGTCGCTTATTTTTCAAGTGTTTTAAGATAAAAAATTTGTTTTTTGGTTTCCACAGTGAAGAGTATGAACAAAATTCAGATGGGGTAGTCGAAATTTTAAATTTCGATTTTTTTTTAAGCAATGCATTACAAAAAGTAATATTGGTATGTGATTTATGTCAGAATTATGTCAATTCAAATAAAACATCCGAAAAATTTTTTTGACCAAAGTACACCATAGAAAATCAATTTTCAATTTTGGACTAGGGGCGACCCTAGTCAAAATCAATTTTGTCACTTTTTTCTTCATTGGTTTATACAAATGGATTGAAACTTTGCATAAATATTCTAGTGTTTAAAACAAATACAAAAAAAACCTCCTAAAATATTTTTGAGCAAAGAACCAAGTAGGAAATACATTTTCAATTATGAATTTGGGACAGGTCTAGTCAAAATCTAGTTTTTCACTTGTTTTCTTCGAAGGTTTATCCAATTACAGTGAAACTTTGTGTGAGTATACTAATATTTATACAAAACAGTTTTAAATATCTAAAGCAAGAAATGTATTCTATATGTCGTTAGACCCAAATTTTATAAATTTGGTTGTACATTCAAAAACAACGTGACTTAAAATTTTGTCCAAAAAAATGATTTTTATTAATTCAGAAATGTGTGACCTGAGGATTAGAGTGCTCATACAAAGTTTTACTGTATTTGGATTTATCCTCGAAGAAAAAAAAGTGAAAAACTAGATTTCGACTAGACCTGTCCCAAATTCATAATTGAAAATGTATTTCCTACTTGGTTCTTTGCTCAAAAATATTTTAAGATGTTTTATTTGTATTTGTTTTAAGCACTAGAATATTTATGCAAAGTTTCAATCCATTTGTATAAACCCTCGAAGAAAAAAGTGACAAAATTGATTTTGACTAGGGTCGCCCCTAGTCCAAAATTGAAAATGTATTTCCTACTTGGTTCTTTGCTCAAAAAAATTTTTAGATGTTTTATTTGTATTTGTTTAAAGCACTTGAATATTTATGCAAAGTTTCAATCCATTTGGATAAACCCTCGAAGAAAAAAGTGACAAAATTGATTTTGACTAGGGTCGCCCCTAGTCCAAAATTGAAAATGTATTTCCTTCTTGGTTCTTTGCTCAAAAAAATTTTTTTTCATCCAAAGTTTAATTTAAAATAAATCACAATGAACTTTTAATTTGAAAAATTCGTAAGAAAGGAAATTTTTTTGCTTTTTCTGAAGCAACAGCTGTTCCTACCTTGCCTAAATACAATACAGCTCTTCTATAGAGCAGCACGGATCAAATGTAAAAAACTAGAAGTCTCTACAATGTCTCGTTATTGAGATTTCTTGCTGATCAACTTGCTTGTTTGCTTGCTTACAGAAAGCATATTTTGCAATTTTCTCAGCAATGCCGCAACCAATTTGAAATCTGTTTTTTGCAAAAGATGTGAAATTCAAGGCACAAACATTTCATCTCTGAACATTTTAAGCTATCTTGCTCCTTATCCTCACAAAATTCAAAAAACTGATTTTTCAATCTGAACAAAACCAATAGATTCACACGTGAAAACGGTGTGAATATAATATATTTTACAGTTAATTTATCTTCTTATTTTGAATAACAAAGCTGATTTAATTGTTTTTAACGTGAATAACGAGTTTTATTTTAGAAAAAATTGGAAACTTGATGCATAGTAGATTCAACGATTTTTTTGGAATTTAAAAATCATACGAGATTACATGAAGAATTTTTCGGAAAAATGAAGCTTCAAAAAAATGATGTTTCGAATTTTTGAAATTCGATATTTTAATAGGCACTTCAAAATTTCATTACCATGGGTCCTCGATTTGAGTAACAAGAATTGATGAATAGAAAATTAAAATATTTTTTTGTAACGGAAATTTTTCATACAAAAGTAAATAATTCGATTTGAAAATGATTTTTTGGAACAAAACACCTACACAAATCGAGGAACCCAAGTATACCTATCTATAAGTCTTGTATGAGAAGCTTTACGTAGACACAAAAAGTACTATCGATGAACTTGCAGCACATTCATGCTTTTAATTTTACTTGTTTCTTCCCAAAAACAATTTTAGCATTGAAGCTACAGCAAATAAGCTAAAGCGAGCCCAGTCTTTTGATAAAAATGGACATTCAATGGTCGAGTAAGTATCTTGCGACGTAATCTGAATGAACAAGAAAAAGATTAAATCTTTCCACTTCATTTCATTTGCAGCATGATCTCGTAAGTCTTAAAAGGTATTGAGCAAGAATGCAACAAACGAATTTTTAAGCATAAAGCAACATATCCTTACAGCACACAAAATGTTTATAAATATAGTTCCAGAAACAAACAAAAAAAGTTTAAGCAATAAATAAAAGAAAAGAAGAATGAGGAAATGCTGTTTTTTGACTTTTTAGTGTTTATTATAAATTTCAGGATTCACAAGGTTCAATCAATATGTTCTTTATAAACCTTTACATTTTTTCGTTACAATACGCAATTTATAATTTACTTCTTCTTGGGTGCTACTGTCTTCTTTGTGGCTTTCTTTGCGGCATCAGCCTTTTTCTTTTCTGCAACTCTAGCCAATCTATTTTTCTTGGCTGCATTAAGGAGCTTAAGACGGTTAGCAACATTCTTTTGATACACAATAGCTGGATGACTGCTCTTCAATTCAATCTTCTTTTTCTTTGCCTTCTCAATGACTGTCTCGAACTTCTTCTTCTCCTTTGCTAATAATGCACGACGGCGAGTGACCTCAGAGAATGGATTGAGTTTTATCTTCTGGGTAGCGTTCTTCAATGGATTCAAACGACGTTGACGACGGAAGACTGTCTTCTTCGGTGCATTCAAGCATGATTTGATTTCTTGTGATTTAAGCAAACGAGTCAAATCGGTGTTTGACATAATTGGATGTGGTAAATTATATGCTTTCTTGACCTTTGATGGTTCGTTCCATGTTCCGAACAAGTCATTCAAATGCTTGAATGCAGCTTCTGTCCAAACGACTAAGCGTCCTAAATGTCCACCAGGTGCCAATTTCAACAAATTCATCTTGTGTACGCTCATTGTGTCAACGCCTGGAATATTACGGAATGCACGACGTAAACCATCATCCTTTGAGTAAACAATCAATGGTCCACGACGTTGGATACGACGACGATCACGCATTTTACCACGTCCAGCTCTGAAGCGTTTTGAACGATAAACCTAATGTGGAGAGAAATTGTTTATTACCCTGTTTTTTCATTATGAGCTACTAGCTTAGTAAAGGTTTTGTAATCTTTACTAATAATAATAATGTGTGGAGGCACTGCGATTCAAATTAGAACAGAATCTATTGCACCACATCCTTTAGACCTACAGTTTATAGTGGGATCCGAACCACTTGCAAGCTCTGCACATTGCAAAGACACGAATACGTCATAAGACCTGATGTACCCTGCAATGTACCTAGTCACAATTCGTGTGCGCAAGATGCCGTAAGGAAGTCATCCAGATGCTAGTATATCCTTGTATACCTAGCAAAGGAGGCAGATTCTGTGCCAAAGACCTCAAAACTACACCCAGCACACGAACCGAGCTTCGTAACTAGAACGGTGAAATGGAAAAAGAGCTTCGAAAATTAAACATGGTCTGGGATTGAACCCAGGACCTTTGGCACAGAAGGCAACGCTCTACCATTTTGGCTACTGATGCCATTTCACCGCTTAATCTTTACTAAGCTACTATCAAAAATAAAGTTTAATTATCTTTCCAAGTCGCTTTCAATGACTTGTGACATTGTCAATGAAGCTAAGTCGAGAAGATACCAAAATCTCTTTAATCAACTTAAAAAATTGACAACTTTCATTGAACTTAATTTTTTTGCTAAGCTCTTACTCGTTACTTAAAACAGACGTTACTCGTTACTTACAAAATCACAAAAAAAGGCTTAATAATGGATAGTGGCTTGTTAAAAATTTCAACAAACAAGAAAGATTAAATTATTTTGAAAATATTCTGGCTATTGATTCCTATCATTGAATCACTTTTAATTAATGGAAAACTGGAAGTGGCTTAATAACGCAAAAGAAAAATTTTCAGATCCAATTTTCTTTATCAAGCTACTGGCTTAGTAACGAGTAGTGGCTTCTAACGTAAAAATAGGATAAGCTACTAGTGTGCCAAAAAAATAGTATTAAGAATAATTGAGGAAGTGGAAAATGTTTGAACCAAATACGAACGATCTGTTCCAATTGAGTGGAACTATTGTAACGCCTATTAGTTCACCATTTAGTGTCGCATTCGCAAACAACGTCTTAAATTAGTAAGCACTTAAAACACCAGGTGAATGCGGGGATATAAATATATATATTGTACAAGATTCTTACCTTCAAAACATCTCCCCACAATTTGTTGCGACGTAAGAATAAGACTGCTTGCTTTGTCTTGGTGTATTCCTGGATCTTGTCTGATACAACCAATGGAAGTTCGGAAATTCCATCAATGACATGTCCTGCGATTAATAATGGTCATTATTATATGATTCATAATTGTAAGTTTAGCTATGCTTACCTCTGGCTTGAACTAAAGCTGGAACGCCTGAAGCTGCAATAGCTGAAACAACAGCGTAACGTTTTTGGTTGACGCTGATTCTACGGTGCCATCTACGCCATGGCTTAGTTGGAGCAAACATTCTACCACCACGACACATATTACCGAAAGCTCCCTGACCTGAACGATGAGTACCTCCTCCACGTACTCTAGGAATACGAGCTACAGCACGACCAGTTCCCCAAGATTCAGCAGACGTTTGATGACCTGCTTCAGCATTAACTGCATATGCTTGACGTGCATTACGACGCATCAATTGATGAACATCATTAACGACATCTGGGCGAATTGGAGCCTTGAAGATCGCAGGCAATGGAACTGTTGTATCTTTAATAACCTCATTTTTGTCAGTGTATACACCGACCAATGGACGAGCAGCTGATAAACTCTACAATCCAAAGGATATAATTAATCAATTGGGGGAAACGATATTGCACAAAGGATTCGAACTGGAAGTTTGAGAAGCGAATGTTTTGCCACATGTAAAGTGTGAAATACATTTTACATCATTTTTTCAACTTTTTAACTTTAATTAAACGCAAACTCCATAGTTATGCTATAGTATGTATCTTTAATGATTGATTTATGCTATGAACTTACCATTTTGAGAGTTTTCAACCCGTTTTTTGATGAAATATTTTCTAAACGAAATTAACTTGCGCACGGGAGACGCGAAAAAGAAGGAATTGAGCACCCCTCACAAACACTACCAAAAGTTTTCATAGCTGAATTCAGCATAGAACTCTCTTGCTATTCCCCTTACTGGATCTTTTATATACTCGAAAGTTCAGTTAATTACTCGACTGGAACTTGTATTTTGTTAAGATAATTAATCAAAAGTCTACACAAAGTACACTAGAACAACTTTTACTATGCTGAATTCAACACAGAATTCTTTTGCCATTCCCCTTACTGGATCATTAATAGACTTGAAAGTTGAACTAGTTACTCGACTGGATCTTGTATTTTGTTAAGATAATTAATCAAAAGTCTACATTAAGTACACTAGAACAAATTTAACTATGCTGAATTTAGAATAAAACACTCTTGCTATTCCACTTACTGGATCTTTAATTTACTTGAAAGTTGAGTTAATTACTCGACTGGATCTTGTATTTTGTTAAAATAATTAATCAAAAATCAATATAAAGTACACTAGAGTATGAATAACTGTCGATGGATATTCAAAAATAAGAAGAGCTTTTGGTGAAATCCGCTAGAAGTCGCTGTTGGACACAACTTACCTGACTTTACAGCCGACATCTTTGATCGGATATTTAAGTGTATTAGTAAGCTCGTAAGCCTCAAACTACATTTATTATTTTTAATTTAATTCTCTTCAAAAAACTGGACATTTCTCATTTAAATTTAATTAATTATGTTAAGTTCATCATAGTTTATTATGATACAGCTATCGAAGATTTCCAAGTATAAGTATAAGGAAGTTACAGAGAGAGACACGAAAACAGTAGTCGATCGTTTGCATCCAAGATCTGTGTAAAATGGTAAGAAACCCAGTCATATTCAATGAATTGTAGCATAATTAACAGTTTGGGCAATCGTTTTAGGCACAGATCAATACATCTTATCAGTATTTTGAGAATTAATGAAATTGTGCATTATTGGATACGCGCAAAATGTCGAATAACAATAATAGTAATAGTAATGGAAGTTTCATAAACCAAAGTAATAGTAGTTCAGAACGGCAACCAGATTTACAGCAACCAAGTATTAAAAGGCAACGAATAGATGCAAATAATGAGCAGCAACATGTACAGAAGAATAATACACAACAGCAACAACAGATCCAGCAGACATCCACTAAACCATCACTGGCATCATTTCTCGATGATTCGGGTAATTCAACATCCTCTGCATCATCAACGTCGTCTCCTTCACCAATTAACTTGCATAGTGAAATAATATTGAAATCAGACGTTGGACAAGATGTTCGTGATCTAGCAGGATTAATAAGCGGAAGTGAAAGAGATGAACAGTTTTTGAGTGACAGTGAATGTGTAACGACATTTCAAACGCAATTGACTGAACATCAGTGTCTCTGTGGATTAAGTGAAAAAATTCTTAAAATTCCATTCCAATATTATTCGGTAAATAAGAAAGTAAGCAGTAACAGTAATCATGCAAAGAAAAGTTTAAAAAATGAAAATGTTGAAAACGAATTAACAAAGACTTTAGATAATATGACCCAAGTGCATTATATTAAATCACTAAAACATTGGCCTGAAGATTATCTACTACAATTTCTATCGAATCTTCAGCTACTCTTTCATATGTATTTAAAACAGAATGCAAAAGGCAACATTTGTGGAAAGATCATGGAGATATGTGATTGCCTCATACGTAATGAAATTAATATATTTGAGAATCTAATTGAATTGTGTAACAGCAGTACAACGCATACGAGCAATTACATTAATTTTATATCCAGCAAAATCATTACCTACTTCTTAATCATTATTAAGGACGAAATTGATCAAGAGTGGTTGAAGAAGATTGTTGACAATCTATTCACATTTGAGCATTTAGACTATGCAGCTGTAAGGAGAATTAATTTTAGTTTAGATATAATTAAATGTATAGTTGAATGGAAGGATCATGATGAGCATATTTTGGAAGACGACGATCACATTACTGAATCAGCTCCACCTCTCGAAACCAATTATTTTGCGACATATCATGACGGTCCCTCAACATCCTCATCCAGTGCCTTGCCATCGTATTTAACTTCATCATCATCATCATCACATACTAATCATCATCAAAACAGTGGCAGATCGTCTGCAACATCAGGTCATAATTCCCCAGTGTCAAATGGATGTCATTTTGTGCAATTGACAGACTCCGAGAGCTTCGATACGACTCATATTAAATGTATTACAATTAAAATCCTTGAAAATAAGTGGCCGGCACTCGTTAAGAATATAAGTACACTTATAACGGAATTAGCGGCTGCACATTTCCGACAACAACAAATAAATCGATCAAGCATCAGCATCAATAATCAAAGTATGAGACTCAATAATGCAGAAAATTGCATATTGACCTTTATTGCTCTATGGGAAAGCATCATTAGTGTAAAAACTAATTTATCTGTAATTGAAACATTACCATTCTATGCACATCTTGTAAATTTTGAATCACTCTTAAACCAAAACTTACCATGTACAATTTATAAGGCAATGCTACAACTCTTTAATGAAGCATTATGTTATGGTAGCACTTTGGCACTTCAAGACCTCTTGCCTGAAGAAACATGCTCACTTGCTCACCAAATTGTACGACATGTAAAAGATTATCGAATATTAGAATCGATGCCTCGACAAAATAACCGTACAGCACACAATGATGAATGTGAAGATGACAATCTTAGGACGCTTATTGGACAGCATTTCGAGAGTGTAATAATATCGCCACATTCATTCGATTCCCGTATACCAATAGCACAATCGGAATCGACAGCAAGCAGTAATTCACCAGTGACATTCGATAAGAGCTTATTGCAAAAAATGACACTTCTTGTGCTAAAATCAGTTGCTGTTTCCGTTAAAGAGATACGAAGTGATTCATCGGATAGCTCTATAGACAGTACAGACTATGAAGCATTCCAGGAAATGATGTTAATTGAGCGATCAATTAGGGATGTTTTAAAGAAATTAGAATCATTTATTAAGAACACGTTAGAGTTCCATCCAGAGAGTCATTTTAGTAAAATTCTTATTCATTTGTTTGATGATCAAGATGATTACTTAATCGAAGCGATGGTATGTACTTTAGACGTAACTTCAGGTATATCATTTAGAAATAATGCATTTCCGGAGCTCGTTGCTATGCTCAATCCCGTCTATACCTTCTTAGAATTCCTCAAAATGATTTCCAATAGTACCGATCTTCTTCTTGACCTCCTTGTCAGCAATGAGACATGCTTCCTTCTATATCTTTTACGCTTCCTCAAGTATATCCGTATAAATTGGTCGATGTTTGTGCAAAGTTGTCGGGACTGTGGAATGGGAAATAATGTCTTGGACGATACCATCACCGTCATGACTCGTCTAAGGTTCAAAATTGGACGTCTCGTATCGAAATCTCTATATCCTTATGATATTGCACCTGTTTTGCGTTTACTCGAGAGTTGTGAGAATCTTTATGAAGGCAACGAGCTCAGTTAGTAGTTTTGACGATGGCTAATACATAATAGTTTAATAAATAATGAAAAAAAAAACAAAAAAAAAATGAACCATGTACATCAATAATATTCAATTTTAGCCTTAAGTAAGAAATCGAATAATAAGCCTTTATGTTATATTGCTCTTACTCTTTATTTAAGTGTTCATACTTTTATTTTATTTTATCTTTCTACCTTTTTGACTCTGAAATATTTAATGTACTATATTCTGGTACGAGAAAGAATTTATTTTAAGTTCTTATTCATTCTTAAATTTATGCAAAAAATATGAAAAGAGAATGTCTGCAACTTGATTATTTCATTTTTAAGGAAATCACACAAAACTTTGTATTTTAGTCTTCCCTCAATAAAAAGAAAAATAGATTCATTTTTAATTTAATTTAAATGACTTCCTGCTTGTTATTTTTTAAAATCCAGTCCTGGATGCTTCTAACATTACAGAAAACCGTTGAACATATTTTTGAATTTAATTTTCAGAAACCCGCCAAAATTTTTGCATAAAATTCAAATTCCTGAAAGTCGTTAAAAATCAAAACAAAAAAGGTTTTAAGTGTAAAATAAGTTTATTTATGTGGCATGAATGAACATTGGTAACGCATGAAATTACAATAAATTTAAAGGAGAAAGAGTAGGAATTTGGTATTAAAATCGCAACTATAAACTAATTAAATGTTTCAATATTCACAATGAAGTTCATCAGAGTTGTCTGAACAATCTCGAATCTGTTGAATAGACGAGAAATAAATGAATCTCATTCATCATGCCTGCTGAAAAAAAAGTCAAAGAAGTCAGTCAAATAAATATGAACATAATTCACCTTATCACATATTTGATCCAAAGTAATGCATAATCCATCAATACACCGCAAGTGATCTTCAGGACATGGAGATGAATGAGAGGTCGAATGGAAGGTTACCCTCTTTGTTATTTTCGTTGACGTTTCCTCGAAATCTTTTGGCGTTGTCGTTTCTTGCTTGCGCATTGTACTTCTGAATCTCTTTGACATTTGTGCTGTATGGATGGGATTTTAGCAAATCAGGAATTAATATTTTTTTTTTTGGGTAATATTGTTTTTAATAATCATATAAATGAGATAGACACTTCTTCTTAGCGAAAATATTTTATAGACATGATCATTCGTGACTGCCTAGAGCGCATTATTATTGGATATCAAGTATTGAATTAACAGTTAAAAAAATAACGGTAACATAAATTTGAAAATTAATGTTTTTGAAAAATTCAAACTGAAAAATCAATTGCATACCCCTTAAATTTCAAATTTTGTATCGTTACAAATTTAAAGAATCAGGAAATACCAGACAAACTGCAAACGAATATAAAATAATTAAAAGCCCAAGCCAAACCCAATATATCAAATTATGATTATGAAGCGCGATGAAGAAGATTCGTGAATAATAAAACATCCACAAAATATAAAAAAGAGCTTTTAATTCATACCTGATGAACTCATTTGGGATTCATTTGTGTCGGTTGTATTTGGATTAATGAATATTGGCATCACATCATCACCCGTCGAGATTATTTTATCACCATCGGAATCATTATGATCAATTGAGGCCTGATCAGTATAATCTCTGATATCATCATAAAAAATTCGCGTATCTTGTTCCTCATCGCTTTCTTGTGTATCGCAATTTGTCTCATCGCTGCCATCCAAACAGTCATCAAAGCCGTCACATAGCCATTTCTCAGATATACACGATTGATCCGATAAGCATTTAAATTCATCATAATTGCAAAATTTACACTCATCCTCATCATCGCCGTTCGCACAATCTCGAATATTATCGCATCTATAGAAGAAATGAGGAAAATGAGATGAAAAGGAATGAAAGAAGCAAGCATAGCAGCATAAAGAGAGTCGGAGAGAAGGTTTATATTATGCATATTCATATAACACAATTTAATCTTTTTTTAATTTTACGCTTTAACATTTCTTTTCTGGGGTCGTTCACTTAATTACATCAGAAAATTAGATTTTTATACACCCCCCCCCCCCCCCCATAAATTTTAAATCATTTTCTTCTTATCTTTGAAGTGTTTCAGAACCCCCCCCCCCCCCCATACACCCCTCTTATAAATAATTGACATCATATGAGAACGACTCCTTCAGGTATATGCTGCATATATAACACACATATCTCATCGATGTAGATACAATTTATGCATATTGCATTCGTACCTCCATTTTAATGGAATGCATGATAAATCTCCGCATTTAAATTCATCGTTATAGCAATTTTTGCGTGATCTTGTGATATCTTCGCAGACATTCATATCGTTCGAATCTATGTAAGTGTTACAATCAAAAAACTCTGTCAGTACTTCCGAGCTTGCTATAATGTGACTACAACTTTCAAATATTCCTGTGAAATAAACAATAATAATATACGTAAATTAAAATGTGACATTGAAGGCACTCTCTGCTGTTGTCGTTTTGGGGATGTTTAGGAGTGACGTCTGAAGGTTCTGGGTTTTTTAACACCCCCTCTCTCTTTTCCTCTATCTTCATATTCGGAAATTTGAATTGGGGGTAGGCAAGGTTGAGGGATTCTAACTCAATTTAGCTACCATGTCAGAACCAAGACGTCACCCCTTAGCAATCCCCACATTGATCTATTTCATTATAAATATGTATATTTATAGTAAGCAAGTAAGTATACGGGTTGCACCTTTACAAATTCTTCTACACGGCTTGAGATTTTCAACTTGTGATGGGCGACATTCAGGCTCCAGCATATGACATACGTACTCATGAACGCGGTTAGAACAATTAGAATTTATTAGATGCTCGAAATGTTGATATTCTAGGTTTGTCAAGTTCCATTTTTGCTTCGAATCTGTCAGATCGTATGTTGAAATTCCTTGACACTGCATGTAGCGTAAGTTTTTTGATGCGGATTAATCATTGAGGGAGAGAGAGAGAAAATAAAGACATGGATATGAAATAATATGTTTCATTCAAAACAATTGTACTAAGAATTAGACGCTTTAAGTGTCCTTTTATAAATTGGAACTGCTCTAAACTTGTTCTAAAATTTAAAGTGAAAAAAATCGTTTAAAATTCTGTTCTAAAATTTCAAATTCCAAAACAACGTTATAAATTCAAATCTCAAGAATTCGTTTAAAACTTTACACCTTAAAAAAATTGTAATTTAAATTCAAAAAGCCGTTAAATATAAAATAATGCAAATGTTGAGCTTAATAACAAGCTGAATCAATAAATTGGCACGAATTGACATCAAAACTCGTAAAAAAAAGTTTTAAATTCCTTTGATAGCGTGTTAGACAATCTTCACAAACATTCCGGTTTTTGGGGTGGTCTCAAAACACAAACTTTCCCCATTAAAAGAGATCCAGTAGAAGCAGAAGAAAATAAAAAAAAGATCCATTAAATAAAGGAATTTAAATAAATTACAAATTAAAGCGTCTAAGCCTCTGTTAAAATATAACAAAGAGACAATCGAGAAATGTAATAAATTTCGGATATATTTGGTAGATATATATTTGGATATGTGCGAGCATGTATATTAATAATAAAAAATAAAATAAAATAAATTACTAATGGTAACGATGTGGATTCGCAATCGTTTGCATAATTTAGTACAGGAATCTCAGATGTTGACTTGTAGTTTTTGTTAATTGACGGCAGTGTCGGTGAGACTTTAGCAGAAAATAAATTTTTATTTGATGTTGTATAGAAATTAATTCTCTCGACCTATGGAATGGGATGAGATTGAACATCTGTAGAATGTATGGCTGACTATATAAATTGCATAATTAAGCTTACATAATTGTTTGTTAACGTAACTTCATCATTAGATTTTTTACTGTAGTCGCCGTTCTGAGAAGCAATTATATTGTAAGTTGTGAGTATAGGCAGCACACTATTCGATTGCTGTGATGTGGTCACGTCAATAATTGAGATCTTCGTCGTAGTGTCTATAATACTGTCTTCGATGCTGCTGCTGCTGCTAATATTATTAATTGCCTTATTAATGCTGACCAATAACCTTTGCCTCTGTTCAGCATTTTCAGTGTCATTGCTGTTGTTTAGATTACTTTTATTTTTATGTATGGACGATGATGATGATGTAGATGATGATGATGTTACGATGAGTGCTATCAACGCTATCATTAAGCATGCAGCTATGATTCTGTATAAAAACCTTCTATCGATATAATGAACTGTTTTCTCTAAAGACTCTCTATTCCACTTAATAATATTTATATTGTTCCAATATGATGTGCTGGTTGTGGCTGAAGACGAATTGTCATCGTGAAGATATTTTTTTGAAGGCTTCATTTTGACCTATAACGGAATCCATAAATATCAAAATAATTGTTTTGTGGATGGGAAAAAAATCATAATAAAATAATTTAAATCTATAAATTCAATTTGCTATTGCTGGAGGGGTCTACATCTTGAATAAACGCTAGTTTTAAAATTGTTCTAAATGACCGTTTCAAAAAAATTTGAAGAAATTCCGTAAAAATACAGATAAACTGCTAAAATCACAGCATTTTAAACCTTAGACCCCCCAAAAATGTTAAGTTCATAAAGATATAAGGTGGCTTCAACATTCATTAGAATCATGCTTTATTTCTTCATTCATCTTGACTTTTAAACACAAAACAACTGGATATAGTCATAAGGTGTGCCTTCTATTTTATTATTATACTTTTTTTTTCACCCATCTCATCTTTACGTTTCCCATTCCATGAAAAATTATTGATGAAATCATAACACAATTGGAATGCTGTTTTTTGGATGGAAAGATACTTCTTCTTCAATTATGAAATTCATTTATAGGTCACGACAGTTTTGTTACGTAAATACAAAAAAAAATTATTAAATATATATGCCAAGTGAAAAAATTCTTAAAGTATGTTCGACGACGGCTTTAAATAAAAATGACGAGGATGGCGAGAAAGAAAGAGTTAAATGATCACAGCATTCAACTCACGCGTACTTGATTATTTTCGTTTTCATTTCTTTCTCGTTTTGTATGTGATGCGCCCAACTAAGCCAGGCAATGGAAATGTACGTGATGACTTCAATCTTTCCCACTCAAATTTACCTTCCCAAAAGTATCTTTATTGCCTTAAAATTGAATTTTTAAAACAAAAACCTTTCAACAGCTTCATAGAATCTTTGTAATTTGTAGGGTTTTAAGAATTCTAATTTCAAAAATTTCTTGAAATTCTAATTTTAAACAAACGTTTAAAACATTTTTATTCACAACAATTCAATTACTAACCAGTAGCTTGCTAATTAAAACAACCTTGCACAGCAAACATTAATCATGTGACTCAAATAATTAGAAAATAATATAAAGTCATGCATATGAATCATGAATTTCACGTCAGTTCATGCAGCATTTATAACAAATTTCCTCAATATTATCACCATGTCCAAACACTGCAAGATGCAGTATTCCAATCATGAAGATGTAATACACCTTTCCAAAATAGCTAAAATCTAATTCCGTGATTCCTTTCATTTCATGGAGAAGGCATGCTGTATTTATTATTATTAAATTATTTATTTTAATTTTAAAAAGAGACTTTGCGTTTAAGGTATTACGAAAGAACAAAAAAAAAGAGTCAAACGAGGCATGCTGCTTTGTTGGGTGGGAATGCATAAAAGAAATAAATGCTTAAAATTACTTACATTACCTTTAAGCTCGCGCGATGATTAAGATTCGCATATTTTTAAGAAATGTGAAGACAACAAAAAATGTCTACGAATTGAAACTGGTTTTATTTGTTGGTCGATGCTGTTGTTGTTCCTTATTATTTTTCAATAAGATACATTAACTTTTTTTATTATAAAAATAAATAAGTAAAGTCAAAGGCTGAATTCATCTTGCTTTTTTGGCTTTAAAGCCTAAATGCAACAATGACAGCGCACTTGAATAAATTAGGAATCACTTAGCATCGACACAGTTCTCGTGTGTGGAGCGGTTAATAAGAAGAATTTACAGTTTTTTTTCCGACTTTGGTTGCTTTAGGAACGACCTTGCCTGTATAAATCTTCATCATCATTAATTCTTTCTTCTTGCTTCTCATACATACTTTTCGTACATTCAGCACACACCTTAATACCACTCACATGTGTTATTATTTCTCATCTTTTTGTTGCTGCTATGTAGCTTACAAGTGTCCTCTTCACACATTTTATATCTGTCATCGTTGTTTCTTTTTTATTACACACATTTTTCGGGCTATTGTTATTCTTTTAACTTTTAATTTTTCAGTCAGGTCGGTCGGGTTTAATTGGATAATTTTTTTTTTTTGGAACCGTGAAATTTATTTTATAATTTCAACTGTCAAATTTAATTTGAATTCAGTTCAGATGTTTTGGTCAAATTCAATTGAACTTTTTGTTTTGCTTTAAAATGCCATAAATCGATTATAAATCATAGTCTAAACTAGTTTAACAGAAAGAGCTTGGCATTTATCATACTGCATTCACATTAAAGTTCATACTTTTGATGTCTTGAGGATGAATTTAAGGAATTTTTATATTTTTGAAATTCTTTTGTTTACAAACAAATCAGCAAAAAATTTAAATTTTTACTTACTGTTATAAAATTAATTCATCAATCATGTGACGAGCCTTGTCAAAGGCTTAAATCTATGCAAACTAGTCACCAGACGAAAAAATTTATGCAGCTTCAAGGTATTCTTATAATCCTTGCTAATTCTTACTTAACAAATTTGCATAATCTTGTGATTTATTGACAATAAACCACAATTTGACCATACCCAATGATAAATATCCATTACTGTACATTGTTTGCTTACCATTTCTCTCCTTACTTCATTCACGTTTATAATGAAACCGAAATTCTTATTTTTGCTATTACTCTTCACATGCTCAATGGCTTGCATTTTTGAATCACATACATCACTGGCTTCTTCTTGATTTCCAACCGTTTTCGATTTACTCACAACATATGATTTACTAACCATATTATTCTTGCATCAAGAAGTTTTTACACAATTTAGAAAATATGCTTTATACTGCCTGCACTTTTTATTATTATTACATAATTTTCTTTTTACGTATATCGCTTCTATTCTTTTAACGTATGCAAAAGAAGGAATGTAACTATTTGTTCAACTTCATTAAGCACTGAACTGCACTGAGCCAATAATACAAAAATAATGTGTCTGTCGAACTTTAACTCGCGCCACAATTTTGCTTGCGGATTTTTTTCTTTCTTCCTCTCTCGTCTCGTTTTAAGCCCGACTCGCGTGAAGTTTTGATGCCGACTGACTACATAAAAAAAATATTTTACTCAAAATTAAAAGCCACTAAAGCAGCTAGGAGTCAGCGAAAAAAAATATAAATTGAAAAAATATAAAAGGTTTTTGTGTTGCTGATCGAGGAAATTAAGCGCTGTTTTGGAGCAGTAATAAAACATTACACTTACTGTTGCTAAAAAGATTTGAATTTAAAATGGCTATCAAAAACTTTAAATTTAAAGGATTTCAAAATTTTTGAATTTTAAACCGTTTTCAAAAATTTTCAAGCTTATACTAGAAGTTCTTCAGATCGATCGATAGTAACCAAATGCTCAAAGCTGAGCTGTTTCCAATATATAGTTCCTTCTACAATATCTGGTTCCTTCTACGAATCACAACATCAATAATTAGTAGATGGCTCTCAAGCGCCTGAAACTCAATATGCACTACTTAGTAACCAATTTCATCCAAAAACCAGCTAAACAAGCAGAAATAAAGATGAAGAGAGTGAGTAAGCGGCACGGTTGCACATATATAAAAAAAACCATAAAGCTTGTCGTCAGAAGAAAAAGAGGTTGTAACAGTAACAAAAATAAAGGAATCGAGCGAATTAACATCGGTTCTCTCTCATTCATATGCTCATTTACGCGAATATGCGAAAAAATGAATATAAAATTGAAATTATGGGGTTATTAACATTTTACTACCATTTAAATGGACAGTTTTTCTATCTATTAGCTTGATAACATCCTTTATTTATTCATTGTTACATAAATCTGACTTTATTAACGACCAACAGAGGTCCATCTAGATTAGATAATAAGATTTCGACAACAAAAGAAATGAAATTGTCATCATCCGTTGCACATCTTTCTTTCCCCATTTCCATCTCTTCCACATTTCGTCTTTCTCTGTTATGATCCAAAAAAAAAAACAACAACAAAGTGGACCTTATTGGAATAATTTTGACGTTACAAATAGAGCATTTTTCGGACTGGAATAATAAAAACATAAAAAATTTCATCATTGGAGATGCGGCAGATAAATAAAATAAGTGGACACGCGGGTGATATAAAAAACCAACATAATGATGAATTTTTATCGTCTTTGAAATGAATTTCACATCACATTTACGGTTGATGCACCTTTGAACATTTTAAGATATTGAAAAGAGCCATGCGACTTCTCAGCGACGACGTGTGGATGTTGTTTCTTTGATTTGTGATGCTATTTAGCAGTAATTTTGTGTCTATGACATTTTATTCCTTTAAATATTCATGGTTTTTAAAGTTGTTGAACTTTTGTTGCTCATTTCCTTGATTTTACTTGATGCTTGGGATGAGCGTCATTTGAAAATTCATTTAGAAGAACAAAACAAATTTTATTACAAATCAAAGTTTCAAAAACCCTTCAATTGTTTTCAAAGCAATACAAATTCTTTTACATTTGTATGGTTCTAGTCAAATTTTCTAAACATTTGTACGGTTTTTAAACACTTAAAAACATCTTTAAACCGCCCAAAAAATCAGCATCGAAGTTAAAGACATACATTGGTTAATTAAATCAGTTAGATATTCATATGATTATAATGATGATGATGATGATGGCTTTTAATATAATTTGAATATCATTAAAAGAAGCATGCTACAAAATGTCTATAGATAAGAAAGTTTTTTGTAGTCCAAACATCGAATCGTTGTTGACTGATTAAATGGGCTTTCGCTATCTATTGCTACAAAATGCTTATTAATATGCAATTTCATCGGCTCTTGCATATTCATTGGATCGATCATCAGATGGAGGACAGTCATGCAATGAAACAATTTTTCACTTTTATTATCAATTTGCATTTCCTTGTTATTGTTTGATATTATCGCCTATAATTTCCTGTACGCACTATATGTTGGTATTATTGATATATTAACATGTTTAGATAGAAAACTTGTAAATTGTAGGATGTTGATATGTAATAATAACGAGATGTTTATAACACTTTTTTTGTAATTAAAATTTCTTTGACTTTATTACTGTCTCATAAGTGTCCATAATCCAGTTCAATTCTCACGATTAATATTTTGTCGTGCTATATAAATGTCGTTAATCTCAGTTCTTGTTGGAACTGACCGTTATTGTCAGATTTAAATCAGAATGTTCTATTCAGCATGTTCAGCACAGAGTTGCGGGTTGTTGCTGCCGATTCTTGGATGATTTGTTGTCTGTTGCTATGAATGTCGATCTTAATTTGTAGGAATTGTCGATTTGGGCTTGAATTTATGGAAGAATTTAACAAAAGATCCAGTGATTTAAATTCAAACTTTATGAAACATGCAGCATTCCTATACAGTCTACAAACTCAATAAGAACAGTCTATAGACCACATCCTCAACCCTGATTCAGCAGGGAGAGGATTGTTTACAAACAGTATTTTTGTGATCCGGTCTTTTACTTATTTTTTAAAAAATTTTAAAAAATTAATTATATACATTTAGCATTAAGTCAATTGTAGAATAGAGAATGTCAAATAAAGATTTATTGTATTATGAAGATTACGACATAGACAATTATGATGATTCATTCGAGTATTCATATGATGATCACGAATTGACATCCAGTTACGATTTAAGTGATACATTTAATTGTGGTAAAACAGTATTAAAGCAAATATCGCAGCAAATATTTTATTTAATTTTGATAAATTTCATCTACCGTCTTATAAGACAAACAGGTTGGTCTGGTGCACGATTGAAATGTAACATGGCATAAATGCCATAACAGGGCCGTATTTGAAAAAGGGGGGGGGGGGGGGGGGGGGGGGGAGGGGGGGGGTATAAATTTTTGAAGAAATTTCTGTTAACGTCGGAGGATTTGTCTACCAAATACCCCCCCCCCCCCCCCCCCATTGGTTACGAGCCTGTGCCATAAGTGTGTATAATGAATTGATAGTCGCCTACAGATCAGATTGAATATATTTAATTAATATGCACAACACTTTTCAATTAATTCATTATAATTTTTTATACTCTTTCCTAGCTCTACTGCCGGAATTTTTAAAGCATTTATCTTCTTCCTTACTTGGATTTTTATCAACGTTTATTTTCTTTACAAATGGCAACTATTATGTTATTCTGTTGGCTTTCATATCATATGGGTTTTTGAAGCTATTACAGTTTTATAATGTTAGAAGGAAAGGTATCCTGTCCATTGCCTTTCAAATCATTACAATCTTCTCGTGGTAAGTTGGATTAACTGTAACGGTTTTTTTGAATTTGAAAAATTGTGTTAACAAAGAAATATTAACGATTAGAAATTTGCAAATTTGAGCACTTCATGCTTTGAAAACAAAAACTTGAAGTACATAATCTGATTCCTCTTATTTTGTGCTATCAAACTGTATAGAATACATTTAACAAAATTCAGAAAAATTCACGGGAAAATCAATCCGCTAGATATTCAAATTTTTATCAATTTAACCGTTACCGTAACTATTGGCAGGCAATAATTTAATTTAATTAATATTTAAATAATAATTATATCGTAACGACTGTATTTTCTATTGCTTACTAGCGAAATAATTGAGCGCGACACAACGATATGGCAAAATCTTCGCGGCAGTGCTTTAATTATATCGATGAAAACAATCTCATTAGCTTTTGACATAGGCTCGAATAAATTAAACAAATTGCCAGCAATTTATGTGTATGCAGGCTATATGCTATGTCCTGCGAATGTTGTATTGGGTCCATTTGTGTCATATACATCTTATTGCCAAACGTCGCCAAAAACTTTCAAGCTAGTGTCGCTGAAAGTCTTCTTTCAGGCCTTTCTCAATAGCTTGATGTCAATTGTGTTCATATTTCTATCAACATGCTTCCTCAACTATCTCCTATCTGATGATGTTAGGTGAATATTAAAATATATTGTTTGTCATTAATGAGCGACACATAAATCAATTAATAATTTATTTCACAGTTTCTTTGTGACATACCGAGACGCTTTGATATTTCGATGCAGCCATTATTTTGTGTCATTTATGTCTGTTGCGTGTCTCATAATTTCTGGCATTGACTATCGTTCATCATCTGAAGTATTTGGCTACCAAGTCACACGACCACTTGATATTGAATTACCTCGATCTCTCGTTCCTGTAGTTATCTCATGGAATATACCCATTCATTTGTGGATTAAGAGTTGTAAGTTCCCACTTGTACATTTTTCAAACCGTCACAATTTGAAATCTTCAGAGCCATACAAATTATTTGGTAATTGTTAAACATTTGTATGGTTTCGAAATTTAAACTTTTAACAACCGTTAAATTTTTAAACATTTTTAAAATGCTGTAAAAGACAATTTCATTGGCATTTCCAAAAGGCCATTAAATTGTGGATCATAAACAATAAAGTTTCACTTTCATGTCTCTTCTTCTCTTCCTTTTTTTTAATGCCAGACATTTTCGAGAATTTAAAGCGATACGGAAAATTTAAAGCAATAATTTTGACATACTTAATATCATCATCGCTACATGGATTAAATGTTCAACTTGCTGCAGTATTATTATCCATCGGAATTTTTTCATATGTCGAATTCCGATTGAGAAACCTTTTGGCAGAAATTTTAGATGCCTGCATAGCAGCAAATAAATGTCTGATTGATTCCAAAGGCTGTTGCATTACAAAGGGTCACGAATTTACAACAAAACTACATTGGGTGAAATTAATTAACTTTATTTTCGGTGTTTTTACCATTGTCTTATTAGCTTATCTAGGCGTCTTACTTGACACATCTATCGACGGCAATAATGAGTTCTCATTACATACAAATCTCAAAAAGTGGTATGATCTCAATTTCTTCGGCCATATAATTGTTTTAATATGGTACATAATGTACTTAATTTCAAAAAATTAATAAAAATTAAATAAACATGTGTTTACTGATACTATCATCATCGGCATTTTTTTCTCACACATTATTTTTTATTATTTACTGATTTAGCGTATACATTTTGGGGATATTCAGTTTGAAATCATTATGTTTCAGAAGAATTTTGAAAAACCGTTACAAAAAAAATTTGAAAATTTCCGTTACATTTTCTTTAAATTCAAATTTATTTTTATTAGTTTTTTGATCATAAACTGTCGATAAATGAGGAACAAACCAATTATTCAAACTGAAGACCCACATGTAACTATGAATGATCAACGGAAACAATTATTGCATCATTTATTCCTCCCAATATGTATGTCTCTTTTCTATTAAGAAAATGTAATAATGCCAATTGGTTTTATTGAGGTATTTTGCAGACGAATCAGCTTTCAATGGATCTAATAATCTGTGAATTTTGATCTCTCATTGACATATTGCAACATTTACTCAAAAAAAAAAAAAATTACGATTGAGGTGCAAAAAGTCATTATTCAGTCACGAATATGATCTTTTAATTGATCGGTATACAAAAATTATGAAAGATATAGATTCCCTGCCTCAATAAATCTTTGATTGGCGCATCTCCGAAAAGCTTTATAAATTAGTAAATTAATATGAGATTCTCTCATTTAAGCAGATTCATAAAATTATTTATTATATTCACACCGTTTTCACGTGTGAATCTATTGGTTTTGTTCAGATTGAAAAATCAGTTTTTTGAATTTTGTGAGGATATGGAGCAAAATAGCTTAAAATGTTCAGAGATGAAAAGTTTGTGCCTGAATTTCACATCTTTTGAACAGATTTCAAATTAGTTGCGGCATTGCTGAGAAAATCGCAAAATATGCTTTCTGTAAGCAAGCAAACAAGCAAACAAGCAAACAAGCAAGTTAATCAGCAAGAAATCTCAATAACGAGACATTGTAGAGACTTCTAGTTTTTTACATTTGATCCGTGCTGCTCTATAGAAGAGCTGTATTGTTTTTGGGCAAGGTAGGAACAGCCGTTGCTTTAGAAAAAGCAAAAAACTTTCCTTTCTTACGAATTTTTCAAATTAAAAGTTCACTGTGATTTTTTTTTTAAATTAAACTTTGGATGAAAAAATTTTTTGAGCAAAGAACCAAGAAAAAAAATACATTTTCAATTTTGGACTAGGGGCGACCCTAGTCAAAATCAATTTTGTCACTTTTTTCTTCGAGGGTTTATCCAAATGGATTAAAACTTTGCATAAATATTCAGGTGCTTAAAACGAATACAAATAAAACATCCTATAATTTTTTCGAGCAAAGAACCAAGAAGGAAATACATTTTCAATTTTGGACTAGGGGCGACCCTAGTCAAAATCAATTTTGTCACTTTTTTCTTCGAGGGTTTATCCAAATGGATAAAACTTTGCATACATATTCAGGTGCTTAAAACAAATACAAATAAAACATCCTATAATTTTTTTGAGCAAAGAACCAAGAAGGAAATACATTTTCAATTTTGGACTAGGGGCGACCCTAGTCAAAATCAATTTTCTCACTTTTTTCTTCGAGGGTTTATCCAAATAGATTGAAACTTTGTTTAAATATTCTAGTGCTTAAAACAAATACAAATAAAACATCTTAAACTTTTTTTGAGCAAAGAACCAAGTAGGAAATACATTTTCAATTTTGGACTAGGGGCGACCCTAGTCAAAATCAATTTTGTCACTTTTTTCTTCGAGGGTTTATCCAAATAGATTGAAACTTTGCATAAATATTCTAGTGCTTAAAACAAATACAAATAAAACATCCTATAATTTTTTTGAGCAAAGAACCAAGTAGGAAATACATTTTCAATTTTGGACATGGGGCGACCCTAGTCAAAATCAATTTTGTCACTTTTTTCTTCGAGGGTTTATCCAAATGGATTGAAACTTTGCATAAATATTCTAGTGCTTAAAAAAAATACAAATGAAACATCCTAAATTTTTTTGAGCAAAGAACCAAAAAGGAAATACATTTTCAATTTTGGACTAGGGGCGGCCCCTGGTCAAAATCAATTTTGTCACTTTTTTCTTCGAGGGTTTATCCAAATGGATTGAAACTTTGCATAAATATTCTAGTGCTTAAAACAAATACAAATGAAACATCCTAAATTTTTTTGAGCAAAGAACCAAAAAGGAAATACATTTTCAATTTTGGACTAGGGGCGACCCTAGTCAAAATCAATTTTGTCACTTTTTTCTTCGAGGGTTTATCCAAATGGATTGAAACTTTGCATAAATATTCTAGTGCTTAAAACAAATACAAATGAAACATCCTAAATTTTTTTGAGCAAAGAACCAAAAAGGAAATACATTTTCAATTTTGGACTAGGGGCGGCCCCTGGTCAAAATCAATTTTGTCACTTTTTTCTTCGAGGGTTTATCCAAATGGATTGAAACTTTGCATAAATATTCTAGTGCTTAAAACAAATACAAATGAAACATTCTAAATTTTTTTGAGCAAAGAACCAAAAAGGAAATACATTTTCAATTTTGGACTAGGGGCGACCCTAGTCAAAATCAATTTTCTCACTTTTTTCTTCGAGGGTTTATCCAATTACAGTGAAACTTTGTGTGAGTATACTAATTTTTATACAAAACAGTTTTAAATATCTTAAGCAAGAAATGTATTCTATATGTCGTCAGACCCAAATTTTATAAATTTGGTTCTACATATAAAAACAACGTGACTTAAAATTTTTCCAAAAAAATGATTTTTATTAATTCAGAAATGTGTGACCTGAGGATTAGAATGCTTATACAAAGTTTTACTGTATTTGGATTTATCCTCGAAGGGAAAAAAGTGAAAAACGAGATTTTGACTAGACCTGTCGCAAGTTCATAATTAAAAATGTATTTCTACTTGGTTCTTTGGTCAAAAAAAAATTTTTGGATGTTTTATTTGAATTGACATAATTCTGACATAAATCACACACCAATATTACTTTTTGTAATGCATAGCTTAAAAAAAATCGAAATTTAAAATTTCGACTACCCCATCTGAATTTTGTTCATACTCTTCACTGTGGAAACCAAAAAACAAATTCTTTATCTTAAAACACTTGACAAAATAGCGACATAATTCAGGATTAATTACTTTTTAATAATATTTTAACATTTACGAGAAAATGTGGTTCAAATAAGTGTGAAGTATGGCCTAGATTTGGACCAAAATCAGCTATACTGGTTCATAGTGTTCCCGAGGGTGACAAAATTCAAACTAAGTGTTTTTGTAGCTGACATAATTATGACACAAATGGGTCTCGGCCTTACTTTACGACCACCCTTCAAACTTATGCTGAGCAAATCTTGGTCTATCCATAAGACTTTTGATGGTACGGTGTGAATATATCCGAATTGGGTTTCTACCCGATACACTAGTTATTTTTTGAAATGCTTTAAAAAGCATAAGCAAGCAGGAGACAGAATTTGGTGTGAATTGCGTCATTTGGACCTTGATGTTAATTGAGAATGAGTAACAAAAATCATACTTATGAGTCACAGCTATTTTGTTCCATTTTTCAGGGATCTTTTCATTATTGAATTTTAAGATTTGAAATGTCCTTGAAAACCCCACAAATGTTTTAAACTGCTAGAAAACCTTACAATTCCAATCGAGAAGCTAAAGCATTTATATGGTTTTGTAACACATAAAAATATAAAGCAAAATCATCAGACGTAATAGAGCATATAGTTGATTGAAGATCTAGGACGAATCACTAAGGTAGCTATAAATGTATTAAACTTAACGGCTAGTCGAAATTCGTATTAATCACTGAAATATTCACACCAGTTTCAACAAACTTGAATTAAAAATTATTGAATCAGAAAATTAAAGCAAGAACAGTGTGAATATAAAGTTTTAAGCATCCATAAGTTGTACAATATTCGCAGTCGATGATTAAAAGAGTTATTGTCCCCCAAGTAATCTTTGATCATTAAAAAAGGAGAAATTAATGTGTCAGTTTTAATTGGATTTAACTAAGAACAAGTGGTTTTTTGTGTTATGCTCTACGAGATATGCTCAAGAATCTAATTCGTGATTCCGTTTGTAGTAAATATAGTAATGTAACTTACTGTTGCTTCCGAAATTTTTATCAGAAAATGCAAAATCAAGAGTATAGAAATCCGGATGCAAATAACTTTATGAGAACATCATTCAATGATGAAGACAAAAGTGTCCAGAGAGATTTACTGAAAAATTTAAGAAAGTGGGTGCCAATCGATCAAACAAATAAACCTGGATTTATCTTCACAATATTTAATTACAACATACTAAGTCAACAGTTGTTGGAAAATCATAGCTATTTATACCAAGACAGTCCTCGAGCTGCACTAAAATGGAATAATCGTCTATACAATATTGTAGGAGAGATATTCAAAACAAATCCGTCTATTCTATGTTGCCAAGTACGTGAATCTCTCGATGTCAATAGAAATGTCCTTGAATTTATTTTTAACAGTTTTTTTTTTCAATTTACATCCAATATCTTTAAAATATATATAGGAAGTTCAATGGAATCATCTTTCGCAAATACAAAACAGATTGAATTGCATGAACTATGCTGTCCTATTTAAGAAGCGTACTGGAGATAAGGTGATTATTTTTTATCATGACTTTGATATCGAAGATACCAAACTACTAATCTTGTGCCGTTTCCTTTGTTTTTGTTCCTTTTCTTTTTGTTCCGAAGTGCGACGGTTGCGCGATTTTCTACAAGAAAGATCTATTTCAACTGATAGAGGAACACAATGTTGAGTTTAATCAGCCAGGAATTGAACTACTAAATCGTGAAAATGTTGCCATAATTGCAAAGTTATGCTTAAAATCAGATCCAACTATACAGTTTCTAGTAGCGACAACACATTTGTTGTATAATCCACGGCGTGAAGACATTAGATTGGCTCAGATACAAATCTTACTAGCTGAATTGGATAGACATGCTCAGATAATTGACTCAAATGGACAAAAGACATATATGCCTGTTATTCTGACGGGAGACTTTAATTTGAAGCCATACTCGGCTCCATATACTTTTTTAACTAACGGTAAATATCATTAATATGTTTTAGGGGTCGTTTGTGCGTGACGTCAAGTCTTTTGTTATCCTGAAAACTTTGCATAAAGCACCAAGCAGCTTTGTACAAAAATCATCTTTTAAATTAATTAACTGTTGACGTCATATGTGAATGAACCTCTGGCAAAAAAAAAATTAGAAATTGCAGAAAACTTGATTTCTTTTACAACTTCGACTGACGTCATTAATTACTCTTTTCAGGCGTACTGAATTATGCGAATTTGTCGTCTAGATCATTGGTTCAAGTTAACAAAGGATCACAGACAAATCAAGCCAATGGTCGTCGCTTACTTCCGATAAAACTCGGTATAACAGACAATTGTCAACACGTGAGTGAAATCAAGGTAAGACGGATATAAAATGAGTATTAAAATCGGAAGTGTTAATCTCAAGGATGTTTTTCTATTATTTTCTAGCTCTATCATTCAGAACAGAATAATGTTGCTCATAATGGACATGAGGATATAGAATTGACAAAAGAGACAGTCAATGATTTTCAAACAGGAACCCTCCGTCATTCGTTTAACTTTAAGTCCGTTTATCACAACAACGGATATGATTTTAACTATGTGTCAACTTATCAAGATCAATGGATTCTCGTCGATTACATCTTTTATTCCAGCGAAAATAAGTCGAATAATATTAATTTGCAATTATTAAACTATTTATCACTTCCAACATCCGACGAATGTGACAGATTAAAGTTGAGAATTCCTAATCCAATATTGGGATCTGATCACTTGTCGCTTGCTGCTCAATTCAAGCTCTACTCGAATGACAACAATAATTCATCCGTTGGAAAGATGACAAAGCTTTAAACAAGTCCTAATTTTAGAAGATGAAACCTATTTTAAATGATGCTATGAAATAGTAAGTGATATCATATTTTTGCTGACATTTACAGACTTCTCAATACCTATGTAATTTAATGAATGAAAAATGAACTGTTATTATCTACATAAATAAATTAAACAGAATCAATTAACTGTAGACAATACGATCAAGTATGTTGATTTATTTCTTAGTAACTACGGCTATAAAACTAAGCCAGTCCTACACATTTGACTCAATTTGCTTTGGCTGATCACTTTCGTTTAAGCCTAGCTTTAGTAAATCCCCTAGAACTTCAGATTTTGATTCAAAATACTCTTTGTACCACATGATGTGATCTCGTTTCTCTTGGGCACTAAGGAAGCAATTTTTGGATAGACCAACACAAACTAGTTCCATGAAATGCCTTACAGGGCCTCTTGTTGGACACCAGCCTTCTAAATGCATCTCAAGCAAGACATGCTCGGTGAAATCTGTGTTCTTTTCTACTTCTAACCCTTGCTCATTGTCGATCGGAAACTTCCAGACTTTGCCTTCTTCAGTCCATAAAATCATTTTCTCTACAATAATTGACAAAACATTTATATCAAGTCTGTTGCTATAAAACTTTGTTAAACTTACCAAAATAATTTCTTGGTGGATGTGTGACTGTTAACTTCATCTCTCGTTGCTCTAATTTACTCCATGTTTCCAAATGATCAGGAACGACAGCAGAATCAGTGAAAATATTCAATGGCTTGCCACCAAATAAATTGACTATTGTCTGCTTCTGTGACTTTTCTCTTGGTGCTCTTTGAGCGTCTCTTTGCTGTCTTCCTTGACCAATTATGTTTCTTACATTTTGAGCCTTTGAAATTTGTCTTTTTGGCTTCTCAGACTCGATTTTTAAGCCACCGATAATTTCACTAAAATGTATAACTTAGTTCCAATAGAATCAATTAGTCTTATTACTTACCTCAAGCTTCCTTTTTGCTCAAAAGATGTCCCTAAGAGTGCTGACAATAGTTCGGATTCAGTTTGCTGGACATTACCTCCGATTTTACGAGCGATAGTTTGTGTGATGGATCTAAAATATTCATAATACACAATAAATTCATCATTTATGTGCAACAGTCAATCCAGCATATAACCTACTTGAGATCTGTTGGATCTTCTGAAACTTTTTGATTCATTTTCTCATCTTTTGCTTCCTGTCTCTTATTCTTTGCTGTTATCACTTGAACTTTCTCAGATGTCTTACTAGTAGGCATACTTTCAAGTAGCTCATTCAATCTTTTAAGTGCATTATTGGATTTTTTCTTTGCAAATTTACTTTTCTTCTTTTCATCGTCGCTGCTCTCTCCGTCACTATACCATCTAATGTTGACTACACTTCTACGAGTCAGTGGTGTCAACCTGTAATGTTTTTAATGATAATAAGTTGGAAAATGAGCTGTAATTAATTAATTTACCTTAAATTTTGAATAATTTTCAACATTTTCAATGTTTACAATTTTTCTGTGAATGTATGTGTGTATTTTATGCATTCAAATTATTAAAAAACGTTAAGAAATTACGAACTTTTGAAATTTATAATAACTCCAAAATAACAGTAAAAGTTTTATAAAGTTTTGCTCGAATTTAAATTAATTAATTTAAGCCTTTAAAACACATAATTAAAGTATACAAGTAAGGTATCGTGACAAAGTGATGATCCATTAATCATATATATCAAAAGTATAAGCTAAAAGACGTTTATTTCAAATTTAAAAACAACAAAAACAAAAAACATTTTAAAAAGTTTAAATTAAAATAGTTGTAGCTTAATTAAGGAACAATTAAGTAAAGCAATGGAGAAAACACCATTAAATCTATTCAAACAGAAGCATATGATGTCGCGAGAAATCCCAGCGAGTCCATTTATGAAGAAATTGGGATATGGTACTGGAATCTGTGTATATTTGCTTCCTAATAAGTTAAAGAGGAACCAGACAGCAAGTCCATGGGCTGTGAAAAAGACCCTGAAGTTGAAACATGACACGACAATGTACGGCAAGAGATTGGACTTTGAAGCAGAAGTTCTAAGAAGATTGACTCATAGGAACATTGTTGAGTTTAAGGCATACGAAATGTCACAGGATGGCAGGTAAAGAGCATAGTCTGTTCAGAGTGTGGCAATGTTAAATTCTTATTCTTATTAGATTCAACTTGTGTATGGAGGCTTGCTCAATGTCTTTGGGTGACTTGTTGGAAAAGAGATATGAAGACAAATTGGGACCATTAGAAGTCTTTAAAATCAATACACTTGGTTTAGACATATCTAAAGCCTTAAACTATCTTCATAATGAAGTACTTATGATGCACGGTGACATGAAATCATTCAATATTTTAATTAAAGGTAATTTCGGCATCTGCAAATTATGTGACTTTGGAGTCAGCTTGAAAGTGAAAAAGGACGGTTTATTGGATTTTGACAAAGATCCGAAAGCTCATTATGTTGGAACTGACTTGTGGAGGTAAATTAGATATTGTTGTCTTGACTACTAGTTTACTAAGTATAAATTCAATTACACAGCGCACCAGAAATATTTGAGGAAGACTCGACTTTAATATCAACGAAATCTGAAATCTTCTCATTTGGACTGGTATTTTATGAATGCCTGACTTGCGTTCCACCAAATACACTCGAAATGATGGATAAGAAAGCACTGGATTTTGATGATGTAGCATGTGAAGAAATAGAAGAAATTGAAGACGAAGAAGACGAAGGACCAATTTATGGAATTCGACCACCATTTCCTGAAGACATGAAACTATCAGAAGACTATAATGATATCCTGCATATCTTCAACATTTGCACAGATGATGATCCAGAACAACGACCAGACGCCAGAAAATTGGAAAATATTTTCAACGAACTTAACATTATTGTTATAGATTAAAAATAAGCATGTACACGCATATTACACATCCTCACTATCTCTTTTATTGTATCATTTTTTTCCGTTTCTTCTTACATAATATGAACATATGATAGACGTAAATAAATGTCATGAATGGGTAATATTCAACAGGTTGAACATTTTCTCAATCAGCTGTTATTGTCGCTCTCTACACCCATACATCCAAAAAATTATCTCTGAAATTTTCCACAAGAATTTTCACGATTGAGAAAATATTTTACATTTGCAGTTTAGATGTTGAGTGAAAAGGATACACGCTGTGGATTGTGGATAGAAAATAATAATTGTGTGAATCTGAATAGTTATCATACTGATAATTCCTGTATTTTTTAATTAAAGAAATAGTTTTTTAAGTGATTTTGTGAAAAGTATGACAAGGAGGAAGCAACTAAAGCCTCGTGCATTGACAAAACGTAAGTATAATAGAGATGTTGTGTGACTATAACTGAATTTCGTTTTGTATATATACATACGAAAAGAAAAGAAAATGTTTGAAGCGTTGAACGATTCAGTTGGGAATTTAATTTTTGCTCCCAAATGAAATTCAAAAATCGATTTTATTGACAGCAACCGTTATTTGCTTTTGCTACCATAATAATAATATACCTAACACACAGAGAGTATAAGAATCATTTGAATTTTGTAGAAAATTATTATTAGATAGAATTCGAGAGTGAAGTGTGAGGGGGGATATACAAAAAATATAATAAATTTTCCAATTTCTACGAAGAGATAATGCTTAGTTTAAAATTCAAACACCTATCAAAAATACGAAAGGTAAATCCAATGCACTAAAGACAATATTAAATATGTGAGTCAATTTATAAAATTAATTGTATATATATACACTCACTGTCTCTATCTCTCTGATAGTTGTAGATTGCATACTATAGAATATTTTCTATAAAACACCGCATCTTCTTCACTTAATAATAATAATAATCGTAGAGTGTGATATTTTCCCCAAAAAGAGCATATGTTGCTTACGAATGAAGGATACTTTTCACTACTATTGCAGTTGTTTGTGCTGGCTAGACCAAATTATGTCTAAGTGATACTTTTTGAAAATTAACTGTCATTTCAAATTTGATCTTTTTTTACTGAATCGGTTCGGATTAACGGGAGTTGTGAATTCAAATTGCTCTGTAACCGATTGAAATTTTGAACTTAAAGTTGCGTTTCAAATCAAAACTGACCATTGACAAAAAGCGCTCTGGTCCACTTCCAAAAAATAGTATCTTATTTTACATTCATGCATAATGTAAACTGCAGCACAGGTATTTTGGCTTAACAGAAACAAATTAGTCTCAATAAATTAGCCAATATGCATAAATATACTTTTTGGTGCTTAAAACTCCCCCCGACATGCATGCAAGAAATAAAAGGAAGAAAAAAATTATAAGTAGAATAGATATTGGAAGGGATTAGATGTATCCACAAAATAGCAATAATGCATAATTTTCCTATTTTTCCATCAGATAATGCCGAAAATAATACAGCAGAAGAGGATAACAAGACGCAACTATCGAGTCCCAATGACGATGACCAAATGCAAGGAGCAGATGAGAGCGGTACGGTCGTCAATGAAGAAAGTGAGTGTGTATAGGAATATGGCCATTATTAATATTATGTCAGGCTTCCGGTATGTAGCAGTAGCACTATAATAGTAAAGTGTCTGCTGGCAGAAACAAGCAAAGCAAGCAAGCAAGCAGCAGCAAAAAGAGTGATCCTGAGATGAATATTTTCCTAATACAAAAATATATTATCAAGAGTAAGGCAAGCACTCTAGAGAGTGAGCATAAAAATTTATATTCGAGCAAATATATTGCTTCTGCTACGTTCTCCTTGGTTATACACTAAGAGCTAAGAGTGAACTGAGTGAGACTCTTGGGATTTTATAAAATGATAAGAAGAATATTTTCACACTTTCAATGTGTGCGTTATGCCGAACACAAACTTTTTATCATTGTGTGTGGATTAATTTGAGAATTAAGTGACCATCTTCGCCTTGCATGCCTATTGACCTTCTCTTAGCCATCGACATCAACCTTACTAAAAGTGGAAATTATTATTATCATGATGCTGTAGAAGTAGAAGACAAGACGACACACATGGATGAATGGAATATATATGGATTTGGACCCAAAAAGCACATTTAGCTACAGAATATTTCCTCTGATCTCAACAAACATCGACATTATTATCTCCCTGAGCCATAAAATGATAAATTATAATCTAAAATAAACACATAATGCTCAAAACAGGGCGCAGAGCAGCAGCAGAGCACCAAAATATATGAACAAGTTTTCCTTTCCATGCTTCATATTTTTTGCACTCTCTCTCTCTCTCTCTTCTCGGCTATGTCTCTTGCTCTCTCTCACCATACTCACAGTGAAAATCCATTTTTACCCAAGTCTCTTGGGAAAATTGCAGAAACAGAAGCAAAACACCATACACAATGATATAATGTATTTTTACCACCCCCACTGCTTCAATATTTATATCTCTATACGTAGTAGATATACATATAACATCGAATACCCCGAAAATATCATACTTTCATTTACACTCATTCCTCTTTTTTTATATTTTTTGATTTAACCTCGTCGCCCATCATTCCAACATTTTATTCCCATTTGGGGAAATCTGACGCTCATAGAGGGAGGCTACAGAAAAAAGAGAAAGTCTGATCGAATCGGGACCAACTAATAACATACAATAGCAAGTCTCACACTCTCCTTTTCTCACTCTCTCACTCGACTCTTTTATATTTTTGTATTATTGTTTGTTTCTTCTTACTTTTTGACTATGCTATGCAAAATATTCAGTCATCCCATCAGTCAGTAAAGTCGATTTCTATGTAATTCACATGAACAAACATTGAATTGTGTTGAACATGTTCGTGGCTTTGCTGATTTTTAACGGAAATAAAATTTGAATTTGGTCTAATTTTCGAAATTTATACGAGTTTGGGAAAAGATTAAAATTTGACCTTCAAGATATGATTTGGATGATTTAATGTATTCTATATTGAAGAATGGAAAAGGGACTGTCATTATTCATCTTCCATGATTGTGTTTTAATTGATTTTAATGAGTTTTCATGAAGTTTTCAATTTGAACATTTTTGGTCAACAAAACAATTTTGAAAGTTTTCGAATATACCAAAATTTTGAAACCTTAAAAACCGTTAGGAATCAAAAGAAATTTTTAATTGTCTTGATCTTTATAAATTCAATCAGTTGATTAACATTCAACCAGATGAGTAACCAGCGAAGGATTTTTTTGTTCCAAACACCTGCTCTGACCTCCCCATCTTCATTCAGGAGACATGCACACGCCATTCATAAAATTATTTTAATAACATATATGAAAGTTCACAAAGTATCTTTTAAAAAGTCGTTCAGAAATGACGTCTATGAAGAAATGGGATTTCAAAATTCTTCACATTCTAATGATGGACATGATAAGTACTATCCCTGCCTTTCAAGTTCAAGATCTATTTCGACTCTGCTGGACATGCAAATAAAGTACTCAAATAAGGATAAAAAAAGCTTCTTCAAGAAGTATATCCCACACTGATCCCCAACATCAAACAAGCAACCAAAAAACATATTTAGAAGCACAAAAAAAGCAGTGAGGTACTGTGAATGTTCATGATATTTCCGTGTATATATAAAAAGAGAAGTAACATCAGACAAACAAATATGTTGTGCTACTCTTGTTGTTGTTGTGCCATTATGCTTCTCGAAAATAATTTCTCACTAAGGGACACATTGGCAATGGGTAGCTATAGCTATATGGTTGGTAGTATCATGACGTAAAGTTCAAACTGTTTTCCAAAAACTATTAAATGAGATAAAATTTTTTTCTTTTTCCTTCTTGCTTCTCTGTTTTCCCTGCCGATATAAAAAAAGTGTATAAGCTAAAGCACATCAAGGAAAGTCGAAGCAAAACACACCGAGTCTCATTGCATGTGTTTGAATAAAATCTTGGCCGTAAAAGTATAGTGTAGTCAAGTGAGCATTTCTTTTATAGAGACTCTGTATTTTCTCAAGTACTCAATGGTTTTTCTAGTTTGTTCATTCTTTGTGTTTAGATGTCCTTTGAGACTAAAAAATATGGAAAAAGTTTATATATATATATATACGAAAGAGAGTTGCCGGATCCAAAAAAAATGTAATTTTATATACGTTGGAATGGTATCCATATAAATAAAATAAAAAAGTATGAGGATATTCATCCATCCCCTTTAGAGCCTGAATATATTCCCTGATGAAAGTGAAGAGAAATGGGAAAACACAAAAAACACTGTGAATATATATTTTCGACTAAAGCTGTGTATGTATGGCAATGAGAGAGATAGATTGTGTATGAGAGAGCTACACAGCACACAGCACAGCACAGAAGGAAAGTCAGAAAGCATACATACAAGTCGTAGAGCGGAGAACAATAATAATAAAATACATGAAAATACTCAGATTAGTTCGAATGCTCTTGGGGTAGGTACTTAAGGGAGCTGAGAATAGTGTGTAGTAACAACATGAACAACCAGAGGCTCAGTCAGTAGAAGTCAATGCTGGGATGTATGTTCTCACACTCAAGCTTCGTACATGTGCTCCCAACAATTTTATGCATGAAAATTAAATTCTCTAAATTCCATCGAACTTCTGCTATGCTGTGCTATATGCTGCATATATAGTTTTTGGCAAATTTGTCATCCATCCTTTCCATTAATAACGAATATTAAGATGTTGGCTCATTCCATTGTCATTTATTTTATTATTACTATTAATTTTGGTGAGATGAGGGGGGGGGGGGGGGGGGGTGTTACTAGGGGTCTTCGATTTGAATAATTTCCACGATTTTGAGAGATTTTCTAGAATTTTAAGAATATTCTCAAAAAAATGTGGGGGGGTATGGTTTGAATAATTAAAAAATTAAATTTAAACCGATTTTATGCAAGCCATAGACCCCTCTATAAGTTATAACTTTTTCCATCGTTTCAGATGACGAGCCAGCGACCAACAAGGCAACAAATTATGACTCTGACAACTCCGATTGTGACAGTATTGGATCATACTCATCAGGTATGTGAAAA